TTCGATAAATGCCATGTCATTTACATACGTATTTAGTAATATTTAATTTGTTTGGTATCCTTAGTAAAAACAAAATATAATTTTAGATTTTTAAAAATCTTATCTAAGGGCAATTCTTAAGATGAATGAATTCCTATGTTTATTAAGATGTTTTTCCCCAACAATTTTAAATTATATATGTTCCCTCTATGATGTAGCCTAGCTAGTCCAAATGGAACAAAACGGAAGCGGGACCATCGCGCCTCCCCAGTCAGTGAAAACCACTATAGTGCATTAATGCGATTGTTGTAATTGTGTATAAGGCGAATGTAGGGTTGTACGCTATAATAGCAGATCTGTGCGGACTGCTGCATTGCAGTGTGGATATAGTGTCTGCCACCTTCCCAGTCTATTAGATAACTGTGTTTTGTGGCGACAGCTGCGGCGACCCATTACTGCAGCATAAATCCTCTTATGCTGGATATTACTAATGTCGAAATGTGAATTCAATATATAGATTAACATGATTAGTATCCGGCCTATTATGGTACCAAGTGTTTGTCTGCTGATGTGTCACATCCGATAGAAACTGTTTACTCATGGGGCTATGTAACTAATATACATATTTTACAAATATATCTACAAATTCGTAACCTTCGGTGTCACCTGCGAGTTTGTTTGTATAGGATATTCTGTGGTTCTGTGGTTTACTGATTATTGTCCAGGATTATTGCCCAAAAGGTATCCTGATGGACAATATTATAACGTTACGTAATTAATATTAGTGCTGCGTAAACATTGGACATTGAATACATCTTACCTATGTAAACAGGTTGTGACGTGGGGAACTTTCCATATTTGCATTCTGAATTGACATTGAACTTGTTGAAATGATGAGAATTTGTTAACGTAGTCTGTAGACCATTCAGTTTGGTAGGCGATTCGTACATTTGATTTTGTAGATGTATACTCTAAATGAAAATCAAGTTAAGTACGTCCTTTCGATTTTCCATAAATCCAAATATGACATTTTGCTTATTATTTCCAATCTTGTGCTAATACGGTTTTCTATCCATTTCACCAGGCTGTGCCACAACGGCACATGTGTACATTCAAACCACAGCTGGAAAATAGATTCAACTTCATCATCATAAAGCACATAATGGTGATGGTCTTATGTATAAGTCGTTATTAGTTGTGAGAATTCTATGATCACTCGGTATTGGAACTATTTTAGTTTGGTGCTATCTTCACTGCAGTTTTTCCCCTTTAATATATAGATAGATGGAGGGAGAGAGAGAGAGAGAGAGAGAGAGAGGAGAGAGAGAGAGAGAGAGAGAGTAAACTACGGTTACAACGAACTCAACGGGTTGGGTTATAACCGTAGTCTACTGTATATATATATATAATTATATATTTGGATACACTTTCTTTAAATCATTTTATATCATTTTGCAACACTCAGTTTCACTCACACATGGTATTGCGTACGAGTTGCAAAATGATATAAAGAAAGTGTATCCAAATCTGTATTTATGCTCTACTTTGTATTGAGCACTCTTCCGCAATTGGATCATACTTGTGTATGTTAAAAGTAATCCCATATATGATATACAACGGACACATGTGTCAGAGAAGGTGATTTTTAATCATTAATGTCCAAAGAAGGATTTTAATTAACGGTGGTAACCATAATTTGTTCCAAGCATCTACGGTATTCGGTAATAACATCAACAGTTTAAATCATAAGTCCCCAGCACGGGAATCTGATGGCACACAAGTTTAGTAGCGTGTATGGCCACCATGTGCGTACACATGATTGGGAAGACGACGCCATTGTTGCTGCACAATGGCGCCAAGATCATCCCAGACGTGTTCGATGGGATTGAGGTCGGGAGACCTTGACGGCCAGTCCATGACGTTGATTCCCGCATTCTGAAGGAAATTCCTTGTCAAAATTGCTGAGTGGGGTCTGGTATTGTCGTGTTGGAAGATCAAACCGGGTCCATGTGCTGCCATAAAAGGCAGAAGTTCTGGTGCCAGTACCTGGTCGCGGTAAGCAGGAGCGTTGAGGTTGCCACGGATGACAAGAAGCCTGGAACGTGCATTGCCACAGAAAGCAACCCACACCATGACACTTCCGCCTCGAAATCTGTCAACTTCCTGTGCACAACACTGGGCGTAACGTTCATGACGGCGCCTCCCACACCCTCGCCCTACCATCAGCAAATCGAAGATTAAATCGGGATTCGTCACTGAAGACGACTTGATTCCAATTCCTCTGAGTCCATCGTAAGTGTCGCTGTGCCCACAATTGACGTTGACGTCTGTGTAATTGAGTCAGAATCGGCCAGCAGTATGGCCGTCGTGCTTGAAGGTGAGCAGTTCTCAGACGGTTCCGAACAGTTTGCGCACTCAGTCTACCTCTAAACAGTTCATTTCTGATTGATGTAGCCGTCAAATACCGGTTACGGAGGTGACGTAAGACAATCTGACGATCCTCTGCATGTGACGTCACACGTGGTCGACCTGGCCGAGGGCGTTCAGCGGTGGTACCCGTTTGCTGTAGACGCGTCTGTAAATCATAAACAGTCCGTCGACTACAACCCATCGTCCTTGCGACTTCAGCTACGGACGTTCCGTCTGCAACATGCCGAGGGCACGTTCACGTTGCACATTTGAAAGGCGTGGCATGACAAATGGCTGTAAAGACTTTTGTTTTCTTGTGTTTGTTTTTTTGTTAATGACTGCTAACAAGTATGGCTGAAAACATGTGCGGTATTATGGCCACGTGAACTGTTGCACGTGAAAAAACACTTTTGCCACTATAGTGCTGTGCTTGATCGATTCACCTGCACAAAAACGGGTGTTATATGAAGACAATGCGTGGCCATTACTGTTTAAATACACAATAAGAGCCCACAATGATAACTGGTCAAAATGTTAAAATTTTAGGATTGTGAAGTTTTTAATTTGGTTCAGTATATATTACACACGCTTCCAAAGGTTCATGCAGTGCGACTTACATATAAAGAGGGGGCACGGGTGGCCCAGTCGTCTGAGGCGCCGCGATTCCCTGTGTAGAGTTGCGTCCCTTAGGCATGCCAGAAACCTATGATTGTGGGTTCGAATCCCGGTTCGCCCCGATTATGTTTCTAGGTTTGTCTGCACCATACCCGTGCTCGTGGGTTTCACCGAAGTGGTAAACGTCTGAGACCTGCATCACTTCGGGCTTTCCTCCCACATTAAGCTGACACGCAGTGATATAACTGGAATACTGTTAAAAGCAGCGTTAAACCCAACTCTCTCACTCACTAAATATAAAGACGTGTTTAATGGGAAACAACACTGCAAGTTGGAAAGTATTGAAATATGGATGGGCTTTTTCTTCCAGATTCAAAATGTGCTTATTATGGACTATTATTTCGACTGCGGTGGTTACCGTCTCCCCTTCATTGTTTGTTTTAAAGAGACACTGATATGAAACGACAATGTTCAATGTCGTATTTGCAAATATACCAGGGCCGCGTCCCACAATGCGATCTTGGCGCTATGACTTTCGTATGTCAATGTTAAGTTATGGTTGTTACGATCATCAAGGTGTTTCTTATCAGTCCATACTTTCGTTTATTTCTTCACTAATTGATGGTTACAATCTTACCTCTTGTGCTAACTGGGAAACTCACTCACCGCCACTGTGAATGTGAATATCTACCAAGGTTATTTATATGAACATAAAATGAATTGGGCTGATTGCTTACATGTTCCAGACTAATTAGACTGCCATCTGTTCCCAACTTTATAGGTGTAACATCGGTAAATTGTTACACCTATCGGTAAAATGTTGTTTAGACACTACAATCAGCAATATTCCAGCTCCAGTCTAAACCAGGGAAACCAGTTACTGAAAGTACCGCATTTCCTCTATTAGACGCTGGACCTCCAATATCAGTCACACTGCCAAAAAAATAGAAGCAGGGTTTGATTAAATGAATTAATGCCGTAGATATCAGTTTCCTATTGTATATTGCAATATGTTGGTTATTAATAATGAGTTTTCTGCAAATATACCCTTTGTATGATTGTAACATTTGGGATTCTGTAATGTGAGTGGCCACTGTGCAGGCATTAAACACAATAGACGCTGGGTCAATGGCATGCACGAAATTAAGAGATGATAGAGGAAATATGTTATGGGCAACCCTAAACCATTGGTCAAGAGAGCCAGCCCAGCAACAGAGTTTATTCACCCGATCCCAATTTTTGTTGGCACTTATGTCACTTTGGATGTGACCCTGTCTTCACAAAACAGTAAAACTTTGTTAATCTGGATTCCCACTGAAATCTCATGGAATAACAAATTTCCGAATGGAAAAGTAATGGACAGAAAGTATGGTTACTTTCTGTTAGAGAGAGGAAGGCCAAACCAAAACATGCTGAAAGTTGGTACCATATTCTACATAATAAGCGCCCTGCTCTAATAAGCGCCCACAGCGATGTTTGCTAATATATTGGCTAGTGAACAATCCCAGTTAGCACCCCTTCTGATTGATCAATGTTCACAAGACTTATTTATTTACTCTGTGTGGCGCTGGTTAAGGGGATAAAACAAAGACTGGCCGGTGCAGTGTTAGTTTAATGTGTCTGAGTGGGGTATCCATTAGTCTAGTTATACTAGTTATTATTAGACTAGTACAATCATGTTAGCATGCACACGTTGCAATATCAGCATAATTATCTTGAATGCGACGATAACCCCATTAAATCTCACCTCATATTCTATTCTATTTATCTAAGCATTCCTGGTGGTAATAGTAATTGAAATGGTGTTTTCCGAACAAAAAGGTTTCATTGTATCAACATCCGATATCACTGACTTCATCAAATGCTCATTGTGGCTTTCATGAGGTTCATAATAATCTAGACTCCTAGTATTATCAATACCTTAAAGCTCACATTTCATCTGTTTCTAACTGTTTCTTTCTTATCATATATTAATATGAAATAATCACAACACCATAAATTGTAAAGAAGTTTAATACATGTATTCTGAATGAGAGCTCTGATTAATAAATGAAGATTTTGTATTCTTGACAGGTTCACTTTTCTGGTGGTAACATCACAGACCTCTTTGCTATATCCTGAAATGATATAATTTTTTTTAGAAAACTGTAAAAAAGCCATTACGGCAATTCTTAGACATAATGCTCTGTCATGAAAGTATGTATACTTCTATGGAGTTTAAAACAGAACAAGTAACAATTTAGTGCCCAACATGTACATAACTTAGTGTAGTTTTCATTGTTTCTAATTCTGAAAGCTCTATGGTAAATTCATTCTTATCAAAAGCACCACTTCTTACAATGCCTAGACGTTATTGATCCCACTTCTGAAGAAATGTCTGTCTGTCGTAAACCTGCACTCACCTTATGTTCTGCGATGGTCTCCTTCCAGTCCTCTGCTGCTATTCTTGGGATGGCCTTTTTCAGTACATTGATGGCTTTCACAGCGTTCTCCTTGAAAACCTTTACAGCTAATTCAACATTTACCTGCAATATTAAACCATAAAAATTAAAACAACAAATGCCATACATTTATTTACATCTGAGATCACCTCTTTTTTAACAAAACAGTATCTTCTACCCTGAAAGTCACTGCAGGAAATCAGCGTGTTGTTCGAGTGCCCTGTACAAATATAGTCAATCACACAAACCAGTGGTTGATTGCATGAGTGATGACGATGTTGACAGGATGTGACATAAACAAGGACACAGCAGCATTGTAAAAAAGCAGTCTGACAGTTGCCCAGTGTCCAAATATTGTTAACTGACAGTAACCTTTCTTGTTCCAAACCCATTGTCTAATATTATAGTACTAACAGTTACAAACACACATAAAGGGGGACCAGTGATTGATATTATGAGCAACCTCTCACACCATGTCAAGCCTGACCATTGATCCATTTTGTTGCTCTTACAACTTGTATAGGATGCTGGGGATATATTTAAACCCGGAATCCCTATGGGTTCAAACACTGACACCAAGCACGCAATCTTCATTCAGTTAGACAAGCATGAGCAGTCAGAACATATTCTACTAAAGTTTCCCAGACTAATTCCTCAAAGCTGGGGTTTTGTGATGTCCCACTCACCGCCTCTGTGTCTTCCCGCCAGGAGTCGTAGTCAGTAACAAGAGCCAGTGAGGCATAACACAGCCCAGCTTCCTTCGCTAGAACCACCTGCAACAACCGCAGGAGCTTTCATCACAGTGACACACACCAACATGATTATCATTTTCCCGAGGCAAGAGAGTTAACTGACTTTAAAAGTCGAGTTTCCACCCTTGCCGAACTAGGCTGGAATTCCTGGGCTCGATTGTAGCGCGCCCAGAGGCTTTTACGAGTAAGTCCCTTCTAAGCCTCTCCCATAGACCAATCAGATTCCACTTCTCGTATCACTTGCATTTGCTTCAAACAAAATGGCAGCACTAATTCAATCTGATCAATAATCAAGATCTATATTGTGATAAAACAGGTCTCACATCGTAAGGTGCATCAAATCATGTGAGCACCTTGATTAAAAACATGAAAAGATTTAGAAAATATCTGTTGACAATGAGTGAATGCTGCACATGCTTTGCAAATCCTGCAATCAACCGAAATCTGCATGACAGATTACGAACCGGATTTCGATTTCGTTGTGTGATTTTGATTGGACTATGCATAGACTTGTTAATCCAGCCAAAATGTAACTCCATAATACCAGCCTGGTATGTTCAGTTAACTCCCTTGCCTCGGGAAGATGAATGATTATGTGCAAGTGGCCAAAATTGCCACTGCATTAAGATAGTTTGATGGACATCTTAACGAACCTTTATGACATGATTTGGCCTAACACATCCAACAAGTCCAAAATTCTTTTCTTTTTTTCTAAGGAGATAAGGGATTATTGTCAGGTATAAATTTCTGAATGGATACACATTTGTATCTTCAAGCATGGCGTATTTTGGATCAAAATGACTTGATTGTTGATGACTTTTCACTTTATTACGTCTATCAAAATTATCAAGAGACTAATGTGACACTGATTGAAACTATTGACATCTTGATGTGTCATCGGCATATTGCCCTCTGGCTATGGATCATTGCTGTCCATCGATAATTCTATCAATCGTCCTTACTGAGAGCTCAGATCACCTTGAAGAATGGCTGAAAGTGTGAGCCAAGATTCACCAACAGCGTGAGGCGATGTCAGGTGAGCCCACCTTCGAGGTGGTTACATACTCAGCAGTCATTCTCACCACCCAATCCCCATGTTAATTGGCTCTGACAAGCTTGAGGTTAGGGCTGGGATGGGTAACTCAGGTAATTAGGTTTGGTGGGTACTGAGTAGACTACGCAGACCCGTGGGAAGATCGTTTTATACATGTATCTAAATACATTTTGCCAGGGCTACAGTGAAACTATTCACAATCAGACATTTTGTACCTATCTCTTGAAATCTACAGTGGGTAGTTTTGGGTTATAGGGGTTGGGTACCCGGGTAGTAAATTTGGAAGTACTTGGGACATATTCTGCCAAGTAATGACAGTCCATGCGTGAAACAACCAAACATATCAAACCATGGGGACCTGATTGCTTTTGCCTAATCTAACTGACACTGTACCATGTTACAGTTAAAATGATAAAATACAGAGATATAAGGTCCTGAATGCCAGTCGGACGAGGTACCTCCGGAACTGTGCTCATATTGATGACCTCGCCTCCCCACAAGCGGAACATCTTGCTCTCAGCTTTTGATGAAAACCGCGGACCTTCAATTGTCACCATTGTCCCTGTTGTATGATACCTGTAACCCAGATCCTTTAGACACCCAGACAAAATCTGAAAAGAAATAAAAGAAAATCTGTACATAAAGAGAATTCTACAGAAGGGGTTGCACAACAATTCAGTGTATTCAGCGGTTTACATCTGAAATACTCCTAATCATCTTTTAAGTGAGTCATATTAGTTGCAACATATTTTGATCAGTCAGTACTAGTTCCTTCAAAAACATCTAAGAGGCTGTAACCAAATTTTTGGTATTTCATTATAACATGTTTCAATCAACAGAATCAAGTCTTTGATCAGTACTTATGACTACATGACACTGGTGTCGAATAACACGGCTACATGACGCTGGTGTTGAAGAACTAGACTACATGACACTGGTGTTGAAGAACACAACTACATGACGCTGGTGTCGAAGAACTAGACTACATGACACTGGTGTCGAACACGACTACATGACACTGGTGTTGAAGAACTAGACTACATGACACTGGTGTCGAAGAACACAACTACATGACACTGGTGTTGAAGAACACGACTACATGACACTGGTGTCGAAGAACACTACTACATGACACTGGTGTCGAAGAACACAACTACATGACACTGGTGTTGAAGAACACGACTACATGACACTGGTGTCGAATAACACTACTACATGACACTGGTGTCGAAGAACTAGACTACATGACACTGGTGTCGAAGAACACTACTACATGACACTGGTGTCGAAGAACACTACTACATGACACTGGTGTTGAAGAACACGACTACATGACACTGGTGTCGAAGAACACTACTACATGACACTGGTGTCGAAGAACACAACTACATGACACTGGTGTCGAAGAACACGACTACATGACACTGGTGTTGAAGAACACGACTACATGACACTGGTGTCGAAGAACACGACTACATGACACTGGTGTCGAAGAACACTACTACATGACACTGGTGTTGAAGAACACGACTACATGACACTGGTGTCGAATAACACGGCTACATGACACTGGTGTCGAAGAACACGACTACATGACACTGGTGTCGAATAACACAACTACATGACACTGGTGTCGAAGAACTAGACTACATGACACTGGTGTTGAAGAACACGATACATGACACTGGTGTCGAAGAACACTACTACATGACACTGGTGTCGAAGAACACTACTACATGACACTGGTGTCGAAGAACACTACTACATGACACTGGTGTCGAAGAACACTACTACATGACACTGGTGTCGAATAACACAGGTACATGACACTGGTGTCAAGTATTCAAATCAACAGAATGTTCATGACATAATTTTTTGTCATCAATATGTTACATTTATGCAGAACACTAAATGATGTTCACGACTCTCTAAAACTATGCAGTGAGTCATGATGACTCCCAGTTTTCATAAACCTCAAATCACAATTGTGAGTTCTGACAGACATTTCTGAATCAGAGACAGAAACTGCGATGACAACAGACTCGGTTGACAAAATATTTAGAACATTTAGTCAAGACAAATCATTTTAGAAAGCTGACATGAAAGGCAAAAAAACAAAAGCATCTTTTATTCTGACGCAGGTCTTGATGCAGGGTGGTATCAACACAGAGAAAAAAAATCAGATTCCTACCTGCCTGGTTCTTGAGCAGAAAGGTTCATTCATGGGAATATGGCAGACGCCTGGCAGTGAAGAGGATGACCCATCATAGAACGTCTGAGCTCTCTTCTGAGTCCTACAAGAAAACAACACAGGAACTTGTGAAAGGCTGATTGTTTTTCTGAATGGTAAGACAAGAGTTACGTCACTCTCATTATCAATCTAGTTTGAATATTTTTGTGTTCTCATACCTGTAAATGCCCACACAAAATAGTACTGACTTTTGTGAAATGTTGGAATTGATAAACTATATCAAAAAATACCTAAAAAGGTTCTGACAACTACACTGAATACAGTCAACATCTACATAACTAGAAGAGAACCATGTTTTCACCTGTCAATAAACTGGTCAATAAGGACAATATCTCCGGGGTGCATGTCTTCGTGTAGAGACCCACATGCAGTTGTAACCACCAGATGTGTGCATCCTTCTGCCTTCAGCGCCTCAATATTCGCTCGGTAGTTTATGTTGGATGGCATTATTGTGTGTTGTCTGCCATGTCTACAAAATAAAATAATGTCATTTTTTCAACACTTTTTGTTTGAATTGTGTGTTTGTGGGGGAAATGGGGGGGGGGGGGGGGGGGGGGGGGGGGCTCATTGGGTTGATGGGTGACAACAGTAAGTGTTTCCTTACATATATTGTTTTTTATGTTGTAACTAATGCAAATAATTGCAGTGGGTGTGCAACTGAGTGAGTTTTGTTTTATGGCACTTTGAACTGTATTTCTGTTTGATGTAGGAGGAAAGCCCGAAATCTGAAGGTCTTAGACGTTCTCCACTTTGGTGATAATGCATAATTGGGGTGAAGTGGGGTATCATAACAACTAATCTTATATATATGGATTAAGATGTGGGATTTTAATTCTATCAATTCTCAGAAATGTTATGCCTTTACGGAGGTCAAAATAATTTCTCCTTGATATTTACAGATTTTCTTGACCAAAATACCAAGAGGCAGACAAGGAAAATGTCATCGTATGTGACAATAACATGTTAAAAGAAAGCATATTTCCAGTCAAACAGCAATTACAATTAGTTTTACTTTGCAAACATTTTTACCAGGGTAATCTATATAACAAGAAAACAAATTTGTTTGGCCTGATAAAGAGATGACATATCGGCCAACTAAACGTCTTCCTGGGAATTTGAACCTGCATAGCAAATCTTCAAATAAGGACTAAGCTAACCAAATTACTTGTGAATGGTTTAATCATCTGGTAGATGTCGTTAGTGACTTACCTGGGCAATAGGACGCATTTAATGCCACTTATATTTCCAAGGACCAGGCTATCTGAAGGCTTAAAACATAAACAAAATAACAGAAATGTGGCAGATATATATTTATGATGCATCATCTTTAGATTGACTGTAACTAAACGTAACTCAATACTACGTTTTTCATGTTTTCAGGACATCCAGCATATCCACCTAACATTAATTTTTTTAATAATATTTGCATTTAATTTAAGAAAAAGATGACTCACCTTTCCAAATTGAGTTGTAACATGCTTTTCTTCTCTGTTTTCCAATATGTCAGGATTATCCAGGCCAGAGCCTCCTATTATTCCAACCTGAAGCAATACAAAGACATATATCACCAATGGGTACATCACAGCATATTTTAGAATAAAGAGACAAAATTCTTTAAATTTGATCACCCAGCCATCAAAGGTGAAACAATACACCAAGGTCATGATACGATATGAATCGTGATACGCACGTTTACCTCAAATCCTGTGGAAACTTCTTGGCTTTTAATATTCCAGAGCAGGTTCAAAAGGAAAAACTAGCTGTAGACACATGTTGCGGAGTTTTCTATCTCTTCATTTCTTTGCAAGAGAAGCTACCAAATCACACGGCCGTACAATGCCTTGTTTGTTTGATGTTTAATGCAGCACTCAGCAATATTCCAGCTATATGATGGCAGTCTGTAAATAATTGTGTCTGGACCAGTCAATCCAGTGATTGACATCACAAGCATCGATCCATGCAGTTAGGATACGATGACATGCATCAACCAAGTCAGCGAGTCTGACCACCCGATCCTGTTAGTCGCCTCTTACGACAAGCATGGGTTGCTGAAGACCAATTCTAACTTTTGCATTCTGTCCTCTTCAGACCAGGTATTTCTATCATTGTTTTAACTTTAAGAATCAAAAGCCAAAAATGAACAAGCATATAGTTGACGAAGACATCTATATCCCCTGCCCATTTTAACACATTATGGTCCCAAACCAGGTAACTTACCCCAAAATAACACAAAATCAAAATTTTGTCAAAATAGCTGTAATGGAAGTTCTAAAAAGTTTTTTCTAAAAGTGCTAAATATCAAAAGGCACCAGTTCAGTATGGGTCTGGTAAACATGCAAAGTTTTGTTAGAAAGTATTGAATTGGTTTTGAGTTATGCTCCGGAAACGAACTCTACCCTATAGAACCTAAGTCCAACTTGTTGCCATGGAAACATAAAAAATAAAAATGTATAAAATTCCTATATAGCAAAAGGCACCAGTTCAGTATGTGCCTGGTAGACATGCCAACTTCGTTGGAGCGGGGGATAATATATTTCTACTTACAACCATACTTTAGTCATCTTGCCCCAGTTGGTGTGTCTCACCCAAAGGTTAAGTGAATTTCAGACATTTTAAGGGGTTATTTTAGGGGATGCTCTTATATGAATATCACTATTCAGACAAACAACAGTTTCAGGGTAAGCTGCATCCCTGAAAATAACATGAAAAACATCGATTGTGGTAACCTGTTACCACCCTTTTTTCTTCAATTGATGGCTCACAACATGTTACATTCACTACACTCAGAATGTACCTGCTGAGCAACGGACCCATTGCTCATCTTTTAGAGCTTCTAAACAGGTGAGTCAGTACTCACAACTCAACATCAAGGGCCAGTCAGTCAGCCAGGTACAGTTGATTTACTACAAACTGAAATTCATGCCTGTGTAGCAGACAACACCAGGTGAAACAAAATGTAGAAAGCTTACTGCAGCCGACAGACAATGCACGATATACTGTCTGTGGTACCCATCTCATCCCTCTGATAGTCTGGTACTGTAGTGAGTGAGTGAGTGAGTTTGGTTTAACGCTTGGGCTGGGACGAGTCCAAATTTACTACCCGGGTACCCCATCGCTATTACCTGACCCTACCCGGGTACCCACTATAGGTCTCAGGAGATATCTCAGAATGTTTGATTGGGAACATTTTTAGCATAGCCCTGGCAAAATGTATTTAGATACATGTATTAAACAATCTTCATACACTGAAGTTGAATTAAGTTATATTCATATTCAATGATATGAAAAATCTGAAGGAATTGGTGCACAGTCAGAAAGAAATGCGAACAGTAGTAACTTGTAGTGTAACCATAGAGTTCTAGATAATTTTTGTCATTAAACAATACATCACGTGACTAACCATGGGCCCGGGTAGTCCTGTGGGTACCTGGGTCCTACTCAGTACCCACCTGACCCGAGTACCCGAGTTACCCATCCCAGCCCTATTTAATGCAGCTTTGAACAATCATAGATTTATCTACGATTCAAAACTAAGTGCCCTTAGCAGGAAAATGGAAAAAATATGTGATATTATTAAAAATTGAACCTTTTCAATATTCTATATATTCGTAAATTCTGAGAAATTGGGATTTAAAAAAATTTAAATTGGAATTTTTACTGTCATTTAATGCAGACTTGGGGCTGAGCGTCTGAGCTGGTCCAGACAAATCCCTGACAGTATTTCAGTTGTATCATGGCGTGTCAGCTTGATGTGGGAAGAAAACCTGAAGTGATGCAGGTCTTTAGATTTATTGATGAAATATTTAAAGCAGTAAGAAAACACAAAACAGAAAACATATAACCACAGGACCATGTAACTAATTATAACAATAACAATAAAAAAAAGTCGCAAAATAAATCATAGACGAGGCATATCCATGCATGACATACTGTCATCTTGTCACATATTAATACTTTGTTTACATGCTTGCTCTTTTGTACTCTTTTGTACCACCGCCAGTGGTTTGGGGGGAAATAAACTGTTGTGTAAACTGTTGTGATAATCATCACGTAACATCCATCGGCGCGGCTGGTAGTAGTAGTTGCATTTTGACGACGAGAACGACGAAATGGGTTGTTCAAATCAATTCAAATCGAATCATGATTTATGACAAGTGTGTTTACCTTTACTGTCGTCATGATTGGGGGTGTTTCCAGTGATGTGCAGATAACATATGCTCTCTCCCAGGGACTTGACCCTTCGCATTCAACACAATTCAGTCTTCGACACGACTGCCACAAGAGTTATCTCCCGTTACGTTTCATTATTCAAGCTCCTTCCCAGCGCGTGACACCTTCGTTACACTCTCGGTAACGTATAGAGATCTCCGCGAACGGACTATCGCTGTGAGGAGCTTGTTCATTTTTAACATTCACTGATAGAATCGTGTTATTTCAGAGTATCCTTCAACAGGAACATGGAAGTGTATATTTTTAAATCAAATGAAGTTCTTTTAAATAAGGACTTGTAGTAGTAGTAGTAGTAGTAGTAGTAGTATAATTTATCTATATTTAAAGTCTCTTGATGCTGCTGGCAGAGTCACAAGGGCTACACATATCAAACATATTCTGTTTCAATCTGGGTTTGGTTTTGTATGGATATGCCAGGATGTTGGGAATATTAACATTTCTATCAGATTATTTAAAATAAGACTTCTTGATAATCTAAAACAAAACTGGTATTATACACTACACACTTCTCATAAATGTTCCGACTACGTGTTTTATAAGACACTTTTACACGTGGAAAAAATATGTATGCATTGCTATTATTTAACATTTGAGAATATTTTGTCACAAGATTTAGATGTGGTAATTTTAGACTTATGACAGACAGGAAGATACACTAATGTACCATACCATCTCACGTTAAAAACTACATAACGGCCACAACAAAAAAGTCATAACGGCCACAACAAAAAAGTCATAACGGCCACACAAAAAAAGAAGACTTAACGGCCACAACAAAAAAGGCATAACGGCCACAACAAAAAAGGCATAACGGCCACAACAACAAAAAGACATAACGGCCACAACAAAAAAGTCATAATGGCCACACAAAAAAAAAGACATAACGGCCACAACAAAAAAGGCATAACGGCCACAACAAAAAAGTCATAACGGCCACAACAAAAAAGACATAACGGACACAAACAAAAAAACAAAAAACAAAACAAAACATAACGTCAACACAGAAAATATAGAAGGCAAACTCAAGTATTGTTTCACATAAGGAGTATTATATACACTGTATAACAGTTCATGACACCATATGCACACTGGCATTGTAACAGTGTTGGAACACAATCCTGTATGTTTTATGTGTATTAAGTTGACACTGAGTTTTACTACTCACAAATAGATCAGTTTGAAATAAAATCACTGAAAGGTTTCATAATTAGGATAAATTATACGATTATTCATGTTTTCCCAAAAGATTGTTACACTGGTCAGTGCAGAGATCAAAGTAAATTGATGAGATTGGTTAAAACAACACATGAATTCTACTGGAAGATATTACATTGTAATAACATCCAACGTGTATACTCTGTACACATATCCTGCTTACTTTGGATATTCATTTATGATTAATATTGTTTATTTGTGTTTGTTGTTTAACGCCGCACTCAGCAATATTCCAGCTATATGACGGTGGTCTGTAAATATAATCGAGTCTGGAGCAGACAATCCAGTGATTGATAGCATGAGCATCGACCCATGCAATTGGGATACGATGACATGCATCAACCCAATCTCATTAAAATCAGATCTTAGTTCTCGCTGCCGCTTTGTTTAGCGGTAGCGAGAACTAAGATCTGATTTTAATGAGATTGTGCATCAACCATGTCAGCGAGCCTGACCACCCAATCCCTTTAGTCGCCTCTTACGACAAGCATAGTCGCCTTTTACGGCAAGAATGGGTTGCTGAGGACCTATTCTACCCCGGGTTTTCACGGGTCTTATCATTATTAACAACATCTAACATGTATAAGATCTAACATGTATACTAACGTTATTATTATCATGGACATTTTGACTATTTTGTTGTGTCCCTTATGACTTTTTTGTGGTGGCCGTTATGACTTTTTGTCGTTTTTGCAGTTGCCCCCCTGGATTTTTTTTTATAGAAAACAGTTTTATTTGAATCAAGTTGGGGACAAGTCATACTTGTACAAGTATTTGCCCTCCCTGTTAAAAAGAGTTAACTACGGCCTTGGTGTGTATATGTCTGTGCATGTATTTGTCTACCCACAAAAAGAAAACTACTACTTACACCCTTCAGTACTTTTTCCTAGTATATATAAATTGTAGCACTTAGAAATGTAACTTATATGCGTCTGTATTTTGAGCCATTGGCCTCTGTATTGAATAAATTGTGATGTTTTATCTAAGGTTGGCAAGTCGAATTGCGGCATCCTATACAGCTATGTCACACTGGGCCTAGCCCGGAATTACCATGGGTATAATATGGAATATATACTTTCGTATAATTATTTTTAGAATAGTATACTATCCAACCATCCTTAAACTAGGATATCCAATCAACCTATTAGGTAACGTGAAGCGTCGCTGCTAGTTCTAGATAGTCCGCAGAGGTGGATACAGCTTTTTTGAAAAGGGTGGGGGTTGCACAACTAAGATCTATTTATTGTCTTTGGTGGTAATTTATACAGAAATAAAGATTTTTTTCGAAATAAAAAGGGGGGTGTATCCGCCCATGGTCCACTGTGATGCCATGCAGCAGTTAAACATAGATACCACACACAGACTTTATACTGTCTCCGAGTCGTCCAGGTAGGGTTAACAATAGCTACCAGCTTTTAACGTATTTTGGCATGACTCGACCATGCAGGGGAGCGAACTACCGACCTCCCGCACTCCGGGCAGACGCTCTATCCACTTCACCACGAAGGCGATCACCAACACTTTAGCAAATGCTAGGTATATATAAGTACTCTCTAATTTCGTTCAGTAATACTGTGAATTCTGTGTATAATACCCCTGCCATCTTTATCACTGCAGTAAATGCCCTTGAAGCAAATATTCCTTGTATAAAATCCTATAGAGCCATGTTTGAATTCTCCACCAAACATAGGAACTGTGCATTCAATTTTTGTACTTGCTTGACTTCGGGGCTGAATAGAACCGCACTATGAAACCTTCCCGATGGCACCCGTTGCTTATTCTGTTAACCACGGATTGTCTCACTGTCATGATATAGCTGGACTGCGGCAAAAAATAATTTTATGGTCTCTGGTTTAATAAACATATTGTGGAGAAACGACAACTCTAAAACCTGCAGGGGCGGTCGGGTAGCCTAGTGGTTAAAGCGTTCGCTCGTCACGCCGAAGACCCGGGTTCGAATTCCGACATGGGTACAATGTGTGAAGCCCATTTCTGGTGTCCCCCGCCGTGATATTGCTGGAATATTGCTAAAAGCGGCGTAAAACCAAACTCACTCACTCAATAAAACCTGCAATAGATCCAAGATCTATGCATGGTCAAATTATTTTTTAGTGGTCTACATAAGGTAACTACACTTGGGAGTTACCCGACTTAGACGGAAGCTGCATGTTTTCATTCGGAGATAATCGGGCTTGTTCGAGTTGCGCTCTTCTGAGTATGTTCTCTCTCAGAGATATCGAAGGTTAAACCAAGAAGCATCGATTGTAATGGAGCACGTGGGATTTGTTTGACGTGTGTTTTGATTTTGATTAAGAAGATGATTTATGTTTAGGTCACAGGTAATTCACAGATTATTTACTTAGAATATGTCGTTTTTTTAGGGTGTCACTGGGAAGGTGTGTCACTGTCACCGGCACCGTTTACAAAGACTGACCTCGTGGATTGATGCAAGGCTTTTCGATCGCCGTAACTGTATTTCAATGTAGTGTTCGAGTCCACTTGAAAAAAATACAATGCGAGCCCCATGCCTGACTCCCCAAAACATATTTCACGAAGGGGTTAATCGCGGAATTATACTTAGTCCATGGTGTATGTAATTTCTGTAACCCTGATAATTTCGTACCCCTACAAATTACGATTAAGAAAATTCTCATATTTCTAACGATTCGTTTATTTTATTTTCATCACCAAGCAATCTTTGCATCCACATTTATAACATCAACCATTCGTTTATTATAACATTCACATAAAAATTATCTTCATACACAATCAAGTATTAAACATGTTTCATTGGCATGTCATGTGTGAAAATACCGGACAAAAAACTTTATAATCAACCCAGTATATTCTTAAAGATCAGCCTAAGTCAACAGGTAAACTTCTAATGTTATTCTTGTTATATGTTAAAATAAAATATTGCCACTATGCACTTACATTGATGGACACTTTAAGGGATTTAGGTCAAGTTCTATTATAGGCACTTTGAATGTTATATATAGATCCAATTCTAAATTAATATTTTATTTGTAACATACTTTATCAGAAAGAGTTCTGGAATCACTTTTGATTTGGGTTACGATATTACTCATTTTGAGGGTTACGAACTTGTTTGGATTATGAAATTACTGCTACCCCTGGCCAAAGAATCCACTTAAAATATGGATTTTTGTTTGTCTGCATACCCTGGATATAATACACTCATATAAGTTCGCTTGTAATTAAGACATGATAGATGTTGCTACATTAAAATGTTATAAAACATATGTCTTTATATATAATATGAAATGCATCATTACATGTAGATATAAAAAAGTCACCTGGGTACAAAACTATGGCACCCAGGTTGAGAACGACACCATCATTCAGCATCATATATAGTCATTGTGGATCATCATGCCCCGATGACATGGATTATTGCTCATGCCATCAGCCATTGGTTGAACTGCCTCAGACATGATTATTTAAAGCAGAGACCATATACCGATCAGTATATGGTCTCTGTTTAAAGACTGCTGTGATTTGGTTATAATATTGCTTTCTGTAGTCCAAGAGACCATTCATTTTAGCAACACTTTTGTTATTTTTCAGTTCAGGGACTGCATAGTGTGGATAAAAAAATTAGATACAACTTGTTTAAATGCTTTGATTTGCAAAATTAAAACATATAACTTTGGAAAGAAATCAATTAGAAATTGCATAAAAGTTGATCAAATGAGTTACATAGTCTGGCCACTGACAACACATGATGATGATGAAAATGATAACAAAACCTTCATTTGTTCTTTTACTGAAGTAAATATGTTAAAACATCCAGCTCTTTTAACATAATTGGCCTTCATTTTAGGCCATGAAACCAACCACCCAGAACATCTACAGTCAAAACTTTTTTCAGTTTATTTACTCAGTTATTGACCAATGCTAAAAATTGGAAAACACATTTAAATAGAGAAAAGGACTAGTCTTCTTTCCGTCAAATGTAACTTCATCTGTTCTGCACAAAAAACAACAACTTCTACTGGACTATTCTTAACTGTAAGCAATAGGTACTAATGGCAAAAATCAGGTCAATCACAATCATTGCCCGCATGCCAAAATATTAGGGCTTTTTGAAATATAGAATAAAATATATGGCCTCGTTTGCTTGGTTTTCTAACTTCCAACTGCCTGGCTCCAGGCAGTGTATCCTGCACTTGGATAACGGTTCTATTGGTTTTGCATGTATCAGGTGTTTCTAAAAAGATTTGACAAGTACTTCAGCATGTTCTACATAAATGTTTTGCAGCATCCATGATTCAAGATGGAGGACTTCAGTGCTGAAATACCTGTATGTCGCCTAAGTGAAGTGTCATTCCGGCTATACACCAGTGAGGAGATCAAAGCTCTCAGTGTCCTCGAGGTCAACAACCCTCAGACTTTTGACATCTTTTCACATCCTACATATGGAGGTCTTCATGATCCTTGCTTGGGTATGTCTTTCAAAACATCGTCTTGGAATCTGAATGATATTTAAGAAGTGGTATTACTGTTACAAATTTGTTCCTGTTTTTAATGAGATGATGTATATGATGTTATAGACATTGTATTGTGAGATCACAGTCCAATATGATATTCAAAAAAGTTAGGGATGACCTGATTCTTTCACATATTAATAGTTTATCTTGCCATGACAGGTTAGGTGAGCTGAAATGGGGTTTAATGTTGTGTTCAAGATTAATTGCACTCATATACCAACGTGTGTATGTGTGTGGCTGCTTGTACTAGTATGGACTAATGCCGATTTTATGGTGCTAGTCCACTGAGATACCATGCCAAAGCTTAACATCAATACCCCACTCAGACACAGCATACTGACCTTGAGCCGACCAGTCCTTGTTTCAGCCCCTTAATGCTGAGCTCAAGGCAGGGTAACAAGTACGATTTTATAGCATCCCTCTACCTTCCACTCTCCGGGCAGATGCTCTGCCACTAGACCATGGAGAAGGTGCCTTGACAGATGAACTATAGCAATATGAAAGAATCAGTTTTTCCTTCCCTTTTTTGAGTAGTATATAATGTTGTGAATCTTTAATAAAAGATTAGATGACCTGTCATGTGGTTGTAATGTTTCCATTCCCTCCCACAGGACCTAACCACCGCACTGAAGTGTGCACGACATGTGGCCTGAGTCACGTGTTCTGTCCGGGGCACATGGGGCACATCCAGCTCCCTCTACCAGTGTTCAACCCCATCTACTTCGGCACACTGTTTAAGGTGATGTAGCAAATGGAGTGCTGGTGCTTCTCCAGACATTTTTTATTACTATGACAAAGCATTGGGAAAGAAAACACATTCTCTTTTTGAATATTATGAGTTAACAGGCTTTGTTCACATGTGGAGTTATCAAACAGGTTTATATTATTAGGGTGTGTAATGGCATGTATTTGTGTTCACTGCTCATTTAAAACTGTTGTTTTTTATGATCATATTTGATGATAATCCATTTCTGATGTGAAGTGGAAGAAACATTTCCTAAAGTATGTTGACAAGTGAAGAAGTTCCCATTTTACAGGCTGCTATTCTTCATGGCAAAATTGAATGTGAGTGAAGCTGTAATGTTTAGAAAATGTGAATACTCTCAATGCAGACCAGTGGACATCCTAAGGGAGAGTTTTGGCCCAGCAAAATGATGCCTCTGCAGTGGAATCCTGTTTATCCTCATCCCTACACCCGGATTTTCGCGAAACTAAATAAATTCTACTTAAGGTGCTTCTTTTAACCAGAAATCTGGTTGCCCGTATCCAGACAGTGAATTACAATTACCACCAGTGCTAAATACACACTAGTGTGTCCCACTTTCCAGACAATGACCACACTTGATGCAGAAAAAGGCGAATCGAGTGTCTGCCAACCTACTAAGCAGAAACGCAGGGGCAGCTAGGGAAAAGAAGGAAATCTGTCCATATAAGAGTACCGGTACTAATACTAAAGTTGTACATGTATATGCAATTTATCCTTGTCCATTTACTGATTTGGGATATACAATGTATTGCATAAAGATATGCAATATATATAATACACATGTTTTTGCAAATGGCGAACGGAATAATTCACCGTAACAGTTGTTTATTTGCCTCTTTCAATAAAGGTAGATACTTGTTCACTATCAATTTATGAACTTTGCAAACGTACGTATTAGCTATTGGCGATTTCATCTGGGGTTTATATATTATAGCTGTGAATTACATATATTGTTACATGTAAAGATTGTGGAGTTTATGAAGAACGATAAACTTTGAACATTCAATTGAAAACTTATTATCGGAAGTATTAACATGCAAAACATTTTTTTGATAATGACAACATTGGTGTATAATAATAACTTTATTGATAATTTATAACAATAATGGCTGTAGTTGTGGCAACTTCCAAACTTTCGGGAAGTTGTATTCTATCGGACCGTCATTCAGGCGATGTTTCTGAGGGATCACGATCTGAAAAATACTATCATGAAAGTATCCCGTGGATAAGCCGACCCCTTTCTACAGAATCTTTTTTCTGGTCCTCAAAATTCGGCTTATACGCGATCATATACGGTAAGAGTTTTTATGCCTCTGTAGAATTTGGATAGGGCAGGTATCTCAGTTATCAAGTGATTCATATATCTGGAAACTTATTTATCTGTACAATATTTTGAAAATGAAAGTGTCCGGGATAAGCAAGGTTTAAATGTATGACATGATGCATATATTATATATTGTTATTGTTGTTTATCTCAAAATCTTTGAACATGAGGTTGGAAATAAAGAAATTTCTTTGAGTGAATTACTTACTAGATTTTCATGCCTAGGGTACATAACATCCAACCTACAGATGAAGAAACTTGCTGAGTGTGTTCCCTTCTTTCAATGCTTTGTCAAATACACCATATACCCTAAAATAGTTAGTTTAATCAGGTACACAATAAACATAGTTTTACCAAACATTCATGCTTCATGTGAGTCACATCTGTCAACAGCTAATGTACGTAAATATCATGAACAGTTTATTTAAAATAATAGCTAAATGAAAAAATAATGTGGATCATATTTGGATGAAAATCAAACAATTAAGTTGCATGACCTTACCGCCAGTAGGTACTAAGATCTACAAAACTTTGTGCTTTCCTCCCACACTAAGCTGACAGGCTGTGATATGAATGAAGTACGTTAGAAGGGGCATCGAAACCAACTCACCCACTCACTAGACATTCTTTGATCTGCAGTTGCTGAAAGGAACATGTTTCGACTGCCACAAGCTGATGGTGGACAACTTCTACTGTAAAGTCTTCATCCACCAGATGGCGCTGCTTAATCGCGGCGAAGTGTCGGGCTGCTTCAAAGTCTCGGCATATGGTGACCACCTCGTGATGGAGAGGGGCAAGGAGAAATACGACCTCACTGAACCTTTAGATCAGTATGTAGCAGACAATTTCCCAGGTATGATACATGTACTTGGTTTAAGATTTGTCATAAACTTTTAAATGATGAGGTATTAATTGTAATACTATTATAAAAGCCCTTATTGGCCTGCTCGGACTGCCAAGTTTTGTATTTGGAGGATGGTTGAATTCGTTCTTGTGTTTTTGACACTTTAGCCAGTTTAGCTTTGTTGTAATTATATCAACTTTAACACCAGTTATATGACTATTGTGTGTGAACTTACTGGAGCAAGTCCTTCTCCCAAACTATTATTGTTATGAGAACTTGGTTCACCGACTTGCATGACTCCCAAATTTTGAAAACTTGCCATTTTCATTTGCCATGACAATGTAGGTAAACCCCAGTGGAGATTTCTAGTTAGAATGGGTCCCAAGCAACCTGTGCTTGTCATAAAAGGCTAATATATGGATTGGATGGTCAGACGCTGAGACATGCATGTCATCGTATCCTAGTGTGGAATGTTAAGCTATGATATTAATCACTGGTGTCTCTGGTCCACACTTGATTATTTACAGGTGACTTTGATATGGTTGGAATATTGCTGAATGCAGTGTACAACAACATTCACTTGTTTGCCAGTATTAATTTCAGTAATCATGAACGTTAAATAGAAGCTTGTTGGTCTCCAGTTTTAGTTCGTGTTTACAGTTCCGGATGCAAATGAGAAGGTTGACCCTCATCTGATGAACCACAAGAACATTCAGGCCGTGCGGAACTCACTGATCAAGCAGTTCATGGATAAGCTGACCAGCAGTAAAACCAAATGTCCGCAGTGTGGTGTGTCACTGAGGAAACTGCAGCAGAAGTATAACAGGTCTATTGGGCTGTACGGGAAGTCGGATGTCAAGAAACACAAGAAAAATATGTAAGTTTTGATTTTTTAAGACTTTGTAGCCTATTGACAGGCAGAAATTGGCAGATCTGTCTAGTGGGACTCTCAGTAGTGCCACCTTCAGTGATGAAACCCTCAGTAGCGACACACAAAGTAGCGGCACCCTCAGTAGTGCCACCTTCAGTGATGACACCCTCAGTAGTGACACACAAAGTAGTGCCACCTTCAGTGATGACACCTTCAGTAGTGCCACCTTCAGTGATGACATCCTCAGTAGTGCCACCTTCAGTAGTGCCACCTTCAGTGATGACACCTTCAGTAGTGACACACAAAGTAGCGACACCTTCAGTAGTGCCACCTTCAGTGATGACACCCTCAGTAGCGACACACAAAGTAGCGGCACCCTCAGTAGTGCCACCTTCAGTGATGACTACCTCAGTAGTGCCACCTTCAGTGATGACACCTTCAGTAGTGACACACAAAGTAGCGGCACCCTCAGCAGTGCCACCTTCAGTGATGACACCCTCAGTAGTGCCACCTTCAGTGATGACACCCTCAATAGTGACACACAAAGTAACGGCACCTTCAGTAGTGCCACCTTCAGTGATTACACCCTCAGTAGTGACACACAAAGTAACGGCACCTTCAGTAGTGCCACCTTCAGTGATGATACCCTCAGTAGCGACACACAAAGTAGCGGCACCCTCAGTAGTGCCCCTCCAGTGATGACACCCTCAGTAGTGACACACAAAGTAGCGGCACCTTCAGCAGTGCCCCTCGAGTGATGACACCCTCAGTAGCGACACACAAAGTAGCGGCACCTTCAGCAGTGCCCCTCCAGTGATGACACCCTCAGTAGTGACACACAAAGTAGCGGCACCTTCAGTAGTGCCACCTTCAGTGATGACACCCTCAGTAGCGACACACAAAGTAGCGGCACCTTCAGCAGTGCCCTTCCAGTGATGACACCCTCAGTAGTGACACACAAAGTAGCGGCACCTTCAGTAGTGCCACCTTCAGTGATGACACCCTCAGTAGTGACACACAAAGTAGCGGCACCTTCAGCAGTGCCCCTCCAGTGATGACACCTTCAGTAGTGACACACAAAGTAGCGGCACCCTCAGTAGTGCCCCTCCAGTGATGACACCCTCAGTAGTGACACACAAAGTAGCGGCACCTTCAGTAGTGCCACCTTCAGTGATGACACCCTCAGTAGTGACACACAAAGTAGCGGCACCTTCAGCAGTGCCCCTCCAGTGATGACACCCTCAGTAGTGACACCTTCAGTGATGACACCCTCAGTAGTGACACACAAAGTAGCGGCACCTTCAGTAGTGCCACCTTCAGTGATGACACCCTCAGTAGTGACACACAAAGTAGTGCCACCTTCAGTGATGACACCCTCAGTAGTGACACACAAAATAGCAGCACCCTCAGTAGTGCCACCTTCAGTGACGGGTAGATCAGCTGATCAGTCTGTGCCTAACCTGTTCTTTGGACATAATGTAGTTTTACTGTATGGTTTTACCCTTGGCGCAGCCATTGTCACATTTACCACAATTAGCAGTCAAATAATAATAAATTGTTTTAGCTTGTTTACAGGTCCTGAGTTTTGGTAATAAAATATTATAAAAAAGATGATTTGTTTCTAATACTTTTCATAAAAGCCTTAATATTGTTAGATGTGGGAATCATGATTACAAATTAAACTTGACAATAATTATGTTGATATTAAAAATTGGCTCTATTTGGTGTCGGCATCTCTGGATTGTGGCTAACTTCAGCTGTTCAACATAACTGCACTTATATAGTGATGTGCATGTCAGTTTTATATTGCTAGCCCAAGGAGATATGTTGCTGGAGACATTAAGGTCTTGGGCGGTGGGGTAGCCTAGTGGCCTAGTGGTCACGCCAAAGGGTTTGATTTCCCCACATGGGTACAATGTGTGAAGCCCATTTCTGGTGTCCCCTGTCGGGATATTGGTGGAATATTGCTGAAAGCAACGTAAAACCACTCACTCACTCATTTAAGGACTATGATTCAAAAAATGGTTCAACGACACAATCAACATGCTCATGTCATTGTTTGCAGGGAACAGAAAAACACGGAAAACAAGAAGACCAAGCTGATTGACCTTGACGAGGACATCGAGAGAGAAGCAGATGTGGAGGAACTTGAAGATGGTGAAGGATCTGATAAGAAGCTTGACAACACACTGTTCACAGACAACAAGGCCTTCACCATGCTGACTCCGTCATTGATACGCCAGCATGTGCAGCAGGTGTACACCACTGCTGGACCACTCCTGCGAATCCTCTTTAAGTCGTTGGCCAAAGTGACAAAGGCTTCCCATCCAACTGACATCTTCTTCCTGGAAGTGATTCCTGTTTGTCCTTCACGATACAGACCTGTAAGTAGCTGCTGTCAAGTTTACAATAACAAGAGTTCTGTTTATGTCAGATATCCATGTTGATGGGCTTCTCTGCTGTGTTTCAGATATCCATGTTGAAAAGCCTCTATGCTGTTTCAGATATCCATGTTAATGGGCTTCTCTGCTGTGTCATATATCCATGTTGAAGGGCCTCTCTGCTGCTTCAGATATCCATGTTGATGGGCTTCTCTGCTGTGTTTCAGATATCCATGTTGATTGGCTTCTCTGCTGTGTTTCAGATATCCATGTTAATGGGCTTCTCTGCTGTGTCATATATCCATGTTGAAGGGCCTCTCTGCATTGTCAGATATCCATGTTGATGGGCTTCTCTGCTGTGTTTCAGATATCCATGTTGATGGGCTTCTATGCTGTGTTTCAGATATCCATGTTGATGGGCTTCTATGCTGTGTTTCAGATATCCATGTTGATGGGCCTCTCTGCTGTTTCAGATATCCATGTTGACGGGCTTCTCTGCTGTGTTTCAGATATCCATGTTGAAAGGCCTCTATGCTGTTTCAGATATCCATGTTGATGGGCTTCTATGCTGTGTTTCAGATATCAATGTTGAAGGGCTTCTATGCTGTGTTTCAGATATCCATGTTGATGGGCCTCTCTGCTGTTTCAGATATCCATGTTGATGGGCTTCTATGCTGTGTTTCAGATATCCATGTTGAAAGGCCTCTATGCTGTTTCAGATATCCATGTTGATGGGCCTCTCTGCTGTGTTTCAGATATCCATGTTGAAGGGCCTCTCTGCTGTGTTTCAGATATCCATGTTGATGGGCCGCTCTGCTGTGTTTCAGATATCCATGTTGATGGGCCGCTCTGCTGTGTTTCAGATATCCATGTTGATGGGCCGCTCTGCTGTGTTTCAGATATCCATGTTGAAAGGCCTCTATGCTGTTTCAGATATCCATGTTGATGGGCTTCTATGCTGTGTTTCAGATATCCATGTTGAAGGGCCGCTCTGCTGTGTTTCAGATATCCATGTTGATGGGCCGCTCTGCTGTGTTTCAGATATCCATGTTGATGGGCCGCTCTGCTGTGTTTCAGATATCCATGTTGAAGGGCCTCTCTGCTGTGTTTCAGATATCCATGTTGATGGGCCGCTCTGCTGTGTTTCAGATATCCATGTTGATGGGCTTCTATGCTGTGTTTCAGATATCCATGTTGAAAGGCCTCTATGCTGTTTCAGATATCCATGTTGATGGGCTTCTATGCTGTGTTTCAGATATCCATGTTGAAGGGCCGCTCTGCTGTGTTTCAGATATCCATGTTGATGGGCCGCTCTGCTGTGTTTCAGATATCCATGTTGATGGGCCGCTCTGCTGTGTTTCAGATATCCATGTTGAAGGGTCGCCAGTATGAAAACCCCCAGACAGCCAACATGTGCCTGATTCTCCAGGACAAGGAGGTCATCACACAGATCATCCAGAAGGTGAAGTCTGGCAAACACGACACTGAGGTGGAATCAGAGGAGGAGCTGCTGCCGGTATGTTGGTGTACACAGGATGGAGCTGTCTTAATACCGATGTATCCTTGCATCTCAAATCATCATTTCTACTATTTGCCTTGCACATCTGCTGTAAGTGGTTTGAATTCAAACTAGTTTCAATACAATACACTTTCTTTGTTTGCAGCAATCAGTTGTCAGTCAAAAAGGCACCTCCCTCACACAGAAGCTGAACAATGCGTGGATGTCACTGCAGTCTCACGTCAATGTCATGGTGGACAGTTCCCTGGATAAACTCTCTAAAGACCAACAGGGCATCAAACAGGTACTAGAGCCTTCATTACCTACCCCCAGGACTTTTATAACAGACTTTTATTACAGACCTTCAGGGCAGATTAGGTCAACAGTTACACTATGTGTGGCCTGGATGAATGTGCAACATCAAAAATTGGTTTTTGGTCCAAATATCTCTTTTTTTATTTATGTGAAGCTATGCGAAAGCTTATGTCTTTCTCCCCCCTTCAAATCATACACGGATCCAGAGGAGATGCAGGGTGTGTGCACACTCTCCTTTTTGAAGCATACTGATCATCTTGACATATAAGTAAAACATAACTAAAAGATTTGGTGACATGTTTTCCACAATAATAACCAAGCACAGACTAATTACATTAAGTAATACGTTACCACTGTTATACCGAGGCTGTTGTCTCCCACAACTGCTGCTATAGCGAAATCTACCACAGAGATCTCAATTACCTCATGCAGCACGTGCGTAGCCACCTAGCTGCCATGTGACACCCTTCACTCTTGTCTCTTCGCTTGCTCTAGCAAGACGTACAATAAACTGCTCAAGCGTTCCTGTTTCTCCGACCATTCGGTGATATTTATTACTGTTTATTCTCTCTAATAAACTGTGCCTTTACGGGGCGTTTGCTGTAACTACGCTTGGAAATATTTTTCCCGCCAAAAGGAAATATTTTTCCCGCCCTTTTTTTTCTATATACTTGCGGGGTGTCTCGTATGCACGTTGCGTCTTACGTTCCCCTGTTCTAGTATATCTTGGGGTTTTTACATCACTTATTCCTCTATATGTTATATGTGTATGTTCTATATTCCCATTGCTCGTTTATTTTCTTGTGAAAATACTCGTTTGTGACTATTTGTGGTGCGTGTGTTGTAACCATGTTTTGCTCTTTGTTCATAGTACAAACAAAATGTCTGACATGGATGTTTCGCCGTCCTCCACCCCCTCTACCCCCGCAACCAGGAGCTGCGGGGTGTGCCGCAAGCAAGCGCTACCGGCTGTATGTGCAGTCCGTTCCACCCCTGTGGTGGCCGGCTCGTCCGGTCGGGGTCCCCTTGCGGGTACCACCACCACAGCTGCGGTGGATCCCTTGGCGGCCCGTGGGCTGTCCGGGGTTTCCGTCGCTGCATTACTTGCATAACTTGTGGACTCCAAGCTGGCGGCCTTATCTCAGGATAGGCCACTGGCTGTTCCGTCCCCAGCCACTTTGGTGGACGCGGGGTCGGACGCGGGGTCCACCGGTACGGCGGCGGCTCCCGTGGTCACCGGTCCTTCCCCCGAACCGTTGCTCCCGCTATCGGTTAAGGACCACGTGGCCATGGTTTATGACCTCTTTGAGGACATGCCCAGGCCGGTACCGCGGGGAATCCACGACTGTGGGTTCCTCCGAGGTATACGATGAGTCTTCCGACACGGCTTTCCCTGCATCAACCTTGCTGCGCGGTATCAAGCCTTCCTTGGAGAACGCCTTCGCCGCGGCCTCCGGTCGGGGTCTCCCGTTGCCTCCGACGTCGTGGAGAAAGGGTTTATTCCCGGTACATGACCTATCCTTTCCCGAGGCTGGTCCTACCGCGGAGGCCCATGTTGAGCGGTTGGGTGTCCGTGCCCCACCGGCTGCTACGGTAACGCAAGCTACCTTGCACCAGCTGGACGCCCTCGCTCGGCACTCCATGTCTCACGGAGACACTTACTTGGCTGCAGCGGCCCGTCTGGTCGAAGGTTCTCCCACGGACCGTGACCAGCGCATTTACAACTGCCTGCTCAGTTTAAATGCTTCCCTGGAGTACGCTGCCGAGGACTCTCGGCACACACTTGCTCTTGTTGGGTCCCTGCATAGGCACCTGGGTGCCGCTCCTAACCGGAGCGCACCCCAGGCTGCTGCGGCCGGTAGGTCTAAGGGGTCGGGTTCTTCTTCCTCTGGGAAGTAGCCCCGCCCTGAGGGCTCCGGTTTGGGCAATCAGCTGCCTTTTCGCGGGAAGACGGGGAACTGGGGGAAGCCCAAGTCGTCTAAGGACGGCAAGGGCCCCTCCAGGTGACTCTCATTGGAGGGGTTCGTATGCCGACAGCGCCAACTTCGGTTGGCCCTTAGGCGAACCCGAGTCACTTGGCCCTGGACAGTTGCGCCTGCCGCAGCCTGTCAGGGCCCCCTCTCCTTCCCAAGTGGGAGCCAGACTCCAGACTTACTGGGAGAATTGGGAACATGTGTTCGACAACCCGTGGGTGGTCAACACGATTCGGTACGGCTATCGGCTTGATCTCAAAGCGAATCCGCCGCTCACCGTTGCCCCGTTGGCAGGTTTCGATTCGGAAACCGATCTTCCCATCCTCGCCGATGCCATCGGCAGGTTGGTGGAGAAGGGGCAGTACGGGAGTTAGCTCTACCAGAAATAACACCGGGGTTTTACTCCAGGATATTTCTCGTTCCCAAGTAGGACAGTGCCAAACTCAGAATGATGCACACGTCCGCTCCCTGGCTGTTTACCCGGTTAACCACCCCCATAGTGGGGTTCCTCCACAGGAGGGGTGTCCGGTACTTCGCGTAACTGGACGACTCGCTAGTAGCAAATCGAATGACGGACACCCTGTCACGCCATCTCGTTTTCGCACGGCGGCTCTTGGAGCAATTGGGGTGGATTATCAATCTCCCCAAGAGCGAGTTACCGTATTTTCTTGAGTATAGTGCGCACTTTTTTTCGAAAAAACACAGCATTGTAGAAGGGGGTGCGCATTATACACGAATTATGAGTTTGGATGTTTTTTTTCCCCATGGAAAGACATTACCGTGAGCACAAAACACCGGGAATACCATGTCAACAAATCCATACTGAAGTACGCAAAATAATTATGGCTATAAAAAGTGTTCTTTGTATATCTGAACTTATGTTTGTAACTTATGTCATTGATTTTATTCAAAATTCCTTATAGTATTGTTTTTATTAATTTCGGCGAAATCGTGTGTGAAGCGATCGGAAGATCGCACAACTCACCGTTATTAACAGCAACCACGGTCAGAATACCGCTATTGACGCCTTGAAACAAACTTTAGTTGACAGAGAATGGATACATATATCATAAATGACATACTTTGACTCGTTAAAAGTCATATTTGTTTTTGTTTGACGATTCTATGTCAACATGAAATTCTCGTGATCACGTGATCATGTGCGCGTGAGCCTTGACGGTGACTGGTCAGACATGTTCCATGTAAAAAATAATACCCGGGAATAGCGATCAGCTGCTTCGCTTAGGGTTATTATTATTTTAAATATGTTTATTAAAGGTTGCATATAATTAAGAAAATAATGGAATATATTATTCCTGATAAATAAAATTGTTTCAGATACAATTGTTGCCGATCCTTGCATTAAAAATCTTATAAAGTTATATCATTGGGTGTGTCTTGACCGAATCACCGGTCGATTCCAAGAAAACGTGTGTACAGCTGATTGCTGTTTCCAGCTTAGTTGACGAGAAAATACGCAAGGTAATCTTAATCCCTAAATATAAAACAATGCCTAGCAGAACAATAAATACTATTTAAACGGTAAATAAACATGTCTGGTGATTTTTTATCTCAAATTTCGAATTTGTACTGACGAAGTTTCTCAGCACCCGTTCGTTTGCCGGACTTCGCTGAAAGGGTACGGTGTAAAAAATTTCTGCGCATAATATTCAAATTTCTTTTTTTCCAAAATATTGAACCCGCTAGAGGGGGGTGCGCATTATACATGGGTGCGCACTATACTCAAGAAAATACGGTAACCCCTTCTCAGAACTTGCTGTTCATCGGAGGTCGTGTTCAACATGGTGTCCCATCGCCTCTTTGTCCCCCCAGACCGGTGGCACAAGATTCAGGTGATGATTGCCAAAGTCTTAGCGGTGCAACAGACTGTTCACTTTTGGGAACAGCTGTTAGGGCTAATTGTATCAGCCCAGGACTGCACCGAACGGGGTCGTCTCCAACTCCGCCCGCTGCAACGGTTTTTAATCCAGTTGTTAGCAACGGAGGTGAACAGTGCGACCGTCGCCCTCCCGGATCGGCTCCGACCGCATCTGGAGTGGTGGACGGTCCCTTACAATGTCTTATCAGGAGTCTCTATGCGGCCCTACCGGGCCACGTTGAACCTGTATACAGACGCCTCTCTAGTGGGCTGGGGCGCCCATCTAGAGGGGGAAGTGAGCTCAGGGCTGTGGTGCGTAGACGAACTAGGTCTTCACATCAATTGTCTCGAGTTCAAGGCAGTGATCCATCCAGTCAATCACTGGAAGCATCGTCTCGTCGACGCCCGGCTCATGCTGGCGACCGACAACACGACGGTAGTGTCCTATGTGAACAAACTGGGGGGAACCCACAGTCACTCGCTACTCGATCTCACGTTCGAGTTTTACGCTCTGGTGGACAGTGTCCCGTGCCAGATACGTGCCCGTCACATCCCAGGTGTGCGGAACGTACTGGCCGATGCTCTATCGAGGCCTCAGGATCCGAGCCCCACAGAGTGGATGCTGAACCCAGTAGTGTTTCAGTGGCTGTGCGAACGTTTGGGTCGTCCAATGGTCGACCTGTTCGCAACGCGGTTCAACAATCAACTCCCGTTGTTTGTATCACCAGTCCCAGACCCGAGGGCCATCGATCACGATGCTCTCGCGTTAGACTGGACGGGCTTGGACGCTTATGCTTACCCGCCGACAGCGTTGATACCACACATTCTCAGCCGGCTCCGAGGAGTTCGCTGTCGAATGTTACTGATCGTGCCCATGTGGCCGAACAGATCGTGGTACCCCGACTTGCTGACCCAGGTCACGCAGTCGCCACTCCCACTGCCTGTGAGACCGGATCTCTTGATCCACCCTCACACCCGTCAGCTTCATCCAAACGCAGGGCAGTTCAATCTGCACGCGTGGATGTTGTCACCGAGCGTCTGAGGAGTAAAGGTTTTTCTCGCCGGGCGTCTCGGGCATACGTTAGTATGCATCGTGATTCTACCCAGAAGGTGTATAATGCACGTTGGGTTATTTTCACGAAGTGGTGTTGTAAACATCACATTCATTCGCCAGATAAGGTATCTGTGCAGGATATTGCTCGTTTCATGTCTCACTTGCGAGAGACCTGGAAACTCTCCGGGGGTTCCATTGCCAACTATGTCTCGTCCGTTGCTACGGTACGGGACGTTGCTATGGGTACCAGTTTCTCCAAAGAGCCGGTGATACGGGGTATTATCAAGGGTTTCAAACAGCACGATCTTAAGAAGGGCCGCCTTCGGGCACCGGCCTGGGATCTTTCCCTATTGTTGCAATCACTTACGGAAGCTCCGTATGAACCCTTGCATAGTGCTTCGTTCCGGCATGTGACTTGGAAAACAGCATTTCTCCTCTCCTTTGCCACGTCGGCACGTGTATCCGAAATTCATGCACTCGATGTCGCCAAGGTACGATTCGATAGGGGTGACGAAGGAGCGGTCCGCCTGGGCCTGCTCATGGGCTTCGTCGCCAAGAATCAGAGAGTCAGGCAAACGGAGAGAGAATTCACTGTAAGATCACTCAAAGAAATCTTACATCCTGCTGATACTGAGGACAGAGCGCTGTGTCCGGTTAGGGCCCTTAAGTATTATCTTAAGGCTTCGAATGAACGTAGACAAGGGCGTGACCGTCTGTTCATATCGTGTAACCCTAATCGCACGGTTGACATAACTCGCAACTCGATTGCGTTGTGGCTTCGTTCTGTCATCAATCTGGCGTACCGGTCTCGGGGGTTACCGGTAGCGGGGTCAAACCCGCACGAGATCAGGGCGCTAGCGGCAACATTTCACCCATTCTCACGAAGAATGTACAATAACAGTTTGGAAACTTGAAAAATTAAAGTCTCAGCTTTCACCATGAAATGATATTTTATTCGTAGAACAAACATTAAAAAACAAGTATATAAAATTTTGGCACTCAAGCTTTGCCAATAACAAAGTTATTAACTCTAACCCATAAAGCAGGATGTAATCTACGTGACCACCATATGTCTATAAAATAATGTAAATGTTAAGTTATTGCAAATCTGTTTTCCTTTTTATCATTATGACTTTGTAGAAAACCATCACGTTATTAATTGTTCACAAGTAAGGTATGCCAATCTTGTTGAACAATGATGGAGCTGACCTTTAAACAATAAAGTGATTTTTAGACGGTTGTTTTCAACAAAACCTGTTAATGATTTCTACATGCCTTAATATTCAGGAAAACAAAGTCAACCTATGATCGTATGTATCTATACGTTCATCAACAAAGAATAACATGACAGAAAATCTAAACAATAAAGTAATACATTTTTGCAAGATAACAAATACTTATTCAGTCACGTAGATTACATAATACTATACAAACAAACAAACAAATTTACAATGGAGCTTCCAGACTTGTAACAATGATTCAGGTATGTAATCATTTCTTGTTATTGTCTTCTTAAGAAACATAAAGAAGTTTTAAAGTGAAAACCTTTTAAAAAAACAAAATCTAATAATATCAAGGAAAATCTTCCTGATTTTTAATTTGAATTAAGAATATTCAATAAAATAAACTACATCGTGGTGTTTAAATAACATGGATGATATTTTTGTTCATACATTCTGGAAATACTTTGTACCTCGATAGTCAAACTAACGCTTACAGTTAAATACAACATCAGAAACTGCTCTGATATGATTATAGTAATCTACGTTACATAAATTGTAATCTATGTTACCTTCATGAATATTGTGATTTCAGCAAGACTAACAAGGATAGACTAAGTATTTACTCTTCAATGTAAACTGTCATCATTACATCTGGCACCTAGGGTGTGAAAATGTCCACCAACAAACACATAATGACACAGATCAGGTAACAAATATGTTCTTCACAGAAAATGTGTAAGCTACGTTACCACCAGTAATAAGCAGCAAACATTATAAAAAAACTGTATATACTGAAACACTATTGGAAAATTATTTATCTGGAGAGAAAACTTGATCAACAAATCTATTGATTTCCTTTTAGATCATGTGAATTTTGATGTCAATGGCCTTCAAAACATTAGTATTGTTTATTCAAGCAACAAACATATCATCACTGCCATGCACTTATAACACTAAAAAACGTAAAAAAGGCAAGTGATTTATATTTCAATAATGCTTGATTTTATGTAAATTCTGACCTATTAAACTTTCAAAAGAAAAATATATACATATTCACACCTTTTTAATTCAGAAAATCTGTAAAAACCTACACAGTTTTTTCCTGTCTTGAAATCACCTGTTTTGACTGGAAACATGTGGTAAACAAGGGGAACAACTGCTGATTGGTGGGAATTAGCACTTATGCCTTCTCAGTGTTGGCATAAAGTGTAGACTTAATGTTCCTGTAATTAACTCCCTTTTTTATTTCAAGATGTCACGTAGCTTACATCACGTAGCTTACATCTCGATCTATAAAACATCCTCAACACACGTGGAATATATTTACAATCTTGTTTCTCACTTTGACAAGCAGACAGCACTTAGGCAACATGAGCATAATCCCTGTACCATAATCGGGAGACCAGTTTTTATGTATCGGCAGTAACGTAGCTTACAAGCTTAACTCAACTCTCAAAAATGGTGCTATTTTCGTGACATAAAGTGCTTATACATATAACCGGATGCCTGTCACCACTTTGGCTCACCAACGTGTGTATTCGTGTTGTCTTATGAACAATTATATTGTTTTTATCTCTCAAAATGACAGTTGCTGTTTCAAACAGAAATAAAGTAACGTAGCTTACCTGAAAACTGGCGACACGTTTTTAACAAGCATAACTTCGTCATTAAATAAGATAGCTCTGTGAAATTTGGCATTCTAGTGCATGATATATCAGAGTTACTGAAAAACCAAGAATAACTTGCTTAAACATAAGGACATTTAACCAATCACAACCGTTTCATGATTGATATTAAAATCGACAATCACATTATACTAAAATGTTGCTATTATGACCGATGCTGCAAAAATATGGTTTGGAAAGCAACCAAAATGTCAGTGTAATATCTTTCCCAATACCATTCCCAACATTTACTTTCTCTGTCAAGTTAATTTAATGCAAAATATATGGCTAGTGGCTAAGCGACAGGTTAAATTTGAAATTGTACATTCTTTGTGAGAATGGGTGATTTGCCCTACACTCGAATATCTCTGTTCGCAGAATATTACGAGGTTGTTACTGGCGTTCTGACTCGGTTTTTGCCAATCATTACCTCAAACAGGTCGCTGATGCCGTCGTGGAGAGTGTGCACCGTCTTGGCCCGCAGATCGCGGCGCAAGCGGGCACCTAAGGGGTGTGCCCAGCGCAATTCCGAACTCCTCAGGCGTCAGACCTTGCATGGTGGTCAATCTGGGTCGACTCCAATGTTCCCACTGCCGTGGGTACAGGAGTTGGGGTCCCGCAAACCAGCGCACTCACACCACAGGTGAGGGCGGCTTTTTGTGTGTTTTGTCCTTATTTGTATTTTGACAATTATGTATTTAATTGTCTGTCGTGTATCCCAACCTTGTGATGCATGCTTACAAATACTGGAATTAGGTCACGCGCCTAATGCATACTTTAAGTAGGCTTGCTCTGGGATATACGGTCTGAATGAAATTAATTTCCCTCTTTTCGACTGTTTAACCTGATCTAAGATTAAGCTCACGCGGATACAGTGTTCTCATCCGCTGCGGCGATGAAATACCTATCCAGTGGGGCTGTTTGGAGTCACCAATCGTTTTGGCAATGACGATTGAGCCTTACGGTATGCGCTTGACAGTGCTTTGGTATTCCTATAGACTAACGCCTAGCTAGGTGCATGCGCATCGAGTGCTTCCGCCTTGGTGTTTACTTCCGCTGGTCGGAAGAAACGCTAGCAGTCAGGATTCGGGTTGTAGGTGCTCCCCACCGCCTACTGTGGTAGTCAGCCTCGGTATAACAGTGGTAACGTATTACTTAATGTAATTTGTAGAATTTTCCTATTCGGAATATTCTATAAGTAATACGTTACCACTGGGCTGCTGCCCGCCCGTCCGTCCCCCGAGCACTTGCTCTCGCAAGAGACAAGAGTGAAGGGTGTCACATGGCAGCTAGGTGGCTACGCACGTGCTGCATGAGGTAATTGAGATCTCTGTGGTAGATTTCGCTATAGCAGCAGTTGTGGGAGACAACAGCCTCGGTATAACAGTGGTAACGTATTACTTATAGAATATTCCGAATAGGAAAATTCTACAAATTTTAGCTAGCAAATGTGAATTTTGTCACATATTACGTGCTGACATGTTTGTGTTTAAGTTGTCCTGCTTCATAATGCTGTGCCTGACCTCTTAACAGTTGCTTGAGAAGAAGGCTGGCCTCTTCAGAAAGAACATGATGGGTAAACGTGTCAACTATGCTGCCCGGTCAGTTATCTCCCCTGATCCCTGCATCAACGTTGGTGAGATCGGTGTGCCCCTGGTGTTTGCCAAGAAACTGACTTACCCCCAACCAGTGACGCCATGGAACTTCCAGGAACTGAAGGAAATGGTGATTAACGGCCCAGATGTACATCCAGGGTTAGTGTTGTAAATACTTTTACCTTACTACTGAACATGAAGTGGGCTAGTGTGTCCCAGATGTCTGAAGTGCAGCATTTTGCTGTGCAAAGTTACATCCTTTACATGTGCCAGTAACCTGTGATCTGTTGTTTCAATACAAGATTCGCCTTGGTTTGGGAGCAACCATTTGATTTGGAAGGGAGGGGTTTTGGATTTGAGAACAGTATATTTTTTATAATGTTTAGGAGCTCAATTATTTTTTCCAAAACAGGTGCTCAGTTATCAGGATTATTTTCTTTTTTATATTAATAAATATAATAAACTGTTATCTTTGGACACTTGTCAGGCATATGTCATTTTTTTCACTGAAACAGGGACTTGATGATGTTTTTTTGAAACAATCCCAGCCCCTTCCCCCTCTGATAACCAAATGGTTGCTCTCTTATGTCCTAGGGTTTGTCAGCCATATTCTTGTGCTTGCTGGTTAACATCAAACACCTACCTTGTTGGGGGCTTCGTCCCACCTGTTATGACTGAACTACTGTTCAGAGCAACTTAGGAACCAAACTCACTCACTCATTCACTCACACACTGCTGATGACAGGGCCCTGCTTGTTGAGCTGGAGAATGGCTGGAAGGTGAACCTGAACAAGGACAAGACTCACCGCGAGGCCGTCGCGAAACAGCTCCTCACCCCCAGCACCTCCAGCAGCATGCTGATGAAGCCAAAGATTGTGAGTACCAGGATTCATTCAGGCTTGAATAGGCCTTGAATTTTAAAGTCCCTCTTGAAAAGCCGTGAAATTTAGTGTCAACCTTGGAAAACCCAACATTGCTTGAAAAGCCTTGAATTTGTAAAAAATGACATAAACTGTATTCGACGTAATAAGCGCCCACGGCGATATTTGCTAATATATTGGCTAGTGAACAGTCCCAATTAGCACCCCTTCTGATTGATCAATGTACACAAGACTTATTTATTCGCGTATAATACGCACTAGTGTGTTATATGCACCCTTAATTATGGGAAAATAAATTCTGGAAACATATATCTGTCTTATATAAACATTTCAGGCTGTCAGCATAAACCAGGAAATTTATCATTCAACTCTGTTTTTTTTCCACCAAAATAATATTCCAATAAGAGCCCTATATTTCTAATTTTGAGAGCGCCCTGGGCGCTTATTACGTCAAATACGGTACTTGTTAATAAAAGTATTAAAGCACACTAATATATGTTGTTTAAGTGAGATTTATCATAGTGATATATTTGAATGATAGAGACTATGAAAGATTCATGACAAACTTAATTTGTTGGGTGTGAAAATAAATCTTGTTGGAAAATGTGTGATGGTCATACTGCTTTGTATAGTATCAAATAATAGTAAAATAGTAAATGTTGGTTTACAAAATATAACTAATGCAATAACCCAACTAAATAAACCTTGAAAATGGCGGTTGACATCCTTGAAAAGCATTGAAAAGGCCTTCAATTTTACTGTTCCATATCTGTATGAATCTTGGAGTACACATCAGGGATGGGAATGTATGTGGGGTGGGGGAATATGTCTGTACTCAAGTCTAGCAGCACCAGGCTGATGAAACCCAAGATCGTGAGTACATGTTGGGGGTGGGGATGTCTGTATGTGGGGTGGGGGAATATGTCTGTACTCAAGTCTAGCAGCACCAGGCTGATGAAACCCAAGATCGTGAGTACATGTTGGGGGTGGGGATGTCTGTATGTGGGGTGGGGGAATATGTCTGTACTCAAGTCTAGCAGCACCAGGCTGATGAAACCCAAGATCGTGAGTACATGTTGGGGGTGGGGATGTCTGTATGTGGGGTGGGGGAATATGTCAGTACTCAGGTCTAGCAGCACCAGGCTGATGAAACCCAAGATCGTGAGTACATGTTGGGGGTGGGGATGTCTGTATGTGGGGTGGGGGAATATGTCAGTACTCAGGTCTAGCAGCACCAGGCTGATGAAACCCAAGATCGTGAGTACATGTTGGGGGTGGGGATGTCTGTATGTGGGGTGGGGGAATATGTCAGTACTCAGGTCTAGCAGCACCAGGCTGATGAAACCCAAGATCGTGAGTACATGTTGGGGGTGGGGATGTCTGTATGTGGGGTGGGGGAATATGTCAGTACTCAGGTCTAGCAGCACCAGGCTGATGAAACCCAAGATCGTGAGTACATGTTGGGGGTGGGGATGTCTGTATGTGGGGTAGAGGAATGTGTCAGAATACAGGTGTAGGGGAATAGCAGCACCACTATTCTGTGTTTAAGTATTATCCTGTTCAATGACTTTGTAGTGGAATCATTTCAATAATAAATCACTGGTGCTGCTGCAGGTTTACAGGCATCTGAAGAATGGCGACTACATGTTGCTGAACCGTCAGCCGACACTCCACCGGCCCAGCATCCAGGCTCACAGGGTACGAGGAAGCTGTAATGTCTGCCTCGGCTGTATCTACGGCATCACTTGCTGAAAAGAGAGGCCGAGTGATATTTGTGTAGCACCTCTTTAAATATTCTGGCGTCTAAGGCGCCGCAATTCGCTGAGTTGCGTCACTTGGACATGCCAGAAAGCTATGATTGTGTGTTTCGAATCCCGGTTAGGCCCCGATTATGTTTCTAGGTTTGTCAGCACCATGCCTGAAGTTTCACCGAAGTGGTAAACGTCTAAGACCTGCATCTTTTTGGGCTTTCCTCCCACATTAAGCTGACTTTCCGTGATATAACTGGAATACTGTTGAAAGCGGTGTTACTCACTCACTCACTTTAAATATTCTTTCTTCACTTTCATGAATTGTGCATGTAACTATGATGACAGAAATGGCCAATACAGTGATACCTTGTTAATCAGAGTTCCCCACTGAAATAATCAGGATTAACACATATCTGGATAAATGAATCATGATTACGTCTATAAGGCTTAAAAAAAATAAAAGAATTGGTTCTCAGGCTATGGCTTTTGAAAATATAGTGCGGGCGGGTGGTGTTTTTTGTTCTTCTTCAATCAACCTGGGAAAGGGCCTCTGTACATAAATGTATTGATGAGTAAAATACTGGAATACAGTATTTGACTACCGTTGGACTACCAATGTGTGTATAATACATGCATACAAAGAAGCTTTGAGTTTATTTCACAATGCGAAGTCTTTATCGCGAGCACACAACACGAGAAAAAGCAAACCTGTACTGAAGTATGCAAGTTAGTCGTGTTATTACACTATATGGCTATAAAAGTGTTCATAGTGTATCTGGACTTATGTTTGTAATCCATTATATTACTTTTATCCAAGATTTTGTTCAATTTTCTTTCCACAAAATTGTGAATGAACTGATCAGCAAATCACATCAACTCCCTATTAACTTGCCTTGAAACAAACTCTAGTCATTAGAGATACAAAGTCTTCGGTCTTCCTTTGAAATTTCTTTTCATTTATGATAATGTCCATGACATTAAGTATTTTTTTAAACTAAAAGACCCATAGATAGGGGAGAAAATGTGTGAACAGCTGATTGCTATTTCCAACTTATTTTGCGAGACAAATACCCATGTAGGTCTTCAGCAACCCATGCTTGCTGTAAAAGGCGACTATGCTTGTCGTAGAGGCGACTAATGGGATCGGGTGGTCAGACTCACTGACTAGTGTGGATGCATGTCATCGTAAACCAATTGCGTGGATCGATGCTTATGATGTCAATCACTGGATTGTCTGGTCCAGATTCGTATTTACAGACTGCCGTCATATAGCTGGAATATTGCTGAGTGTGGCATTAAAAACAAACAAAGAAAACAAAACAAATCCTTGTAGACTGTTGCACAGCTAATGACTTGGTATGTTTAGGTTCGAGTTCTGCCTGGTCAGAAGACTCTCCGTCTACACTACGCCAACTGCAAGGCATACAACGCCGACTTTGATGGAGATGAAATGAATGCTCACTTGCCTCAGAGTGAATTGGCTAGGGCAGAAGCAATGGCATTGGGTACGTTGGGTATTTACCAGTTGTTCTATAGAGCAGTGCAGTGTTTCCTACAGTGAAGAGAGATTTAATAAAATATTGATTTCCAGAATATATAAATGAAAAGTGGCAAGAAATGAAATTGAACAGCACTTTTTTTATCGCTCCGATGGCAGATCTACCTGTTCAGCATAAAAAAAATAAGACAGACGTGACATGCTTAACACAACATATTTAGGTTATTATTTGTGGGCTGGAATACTGCTAAAAGCTTCTTGGAATGTTACTCTTTCGTTCTTTGAGTGAATGTTACCTTGTATTTTCAGCTGGTACTGACAACCAGTATCTGGTTCCCAAGGATGGCACTCCCCTGGCAGGACTCATTCAAGATCACATGGTGTCGGGAGTGTCTCTCACAGTCAGGGGCAGATTCTTTGACAAGTAGGGAGTGTTTTCCACCCGAAACCTGTCTGCTTTGTACCGGATAACTGTTGGTGCATCTTAGAGGTGGCCAAATTGAAAAATATGTGTCAAATAACTAAGCATTAAACTTTAATATATTTTATGGAGATGTATGAGGGGGGTATAAACATGTTTTGACCTAGAATTGAAATATTGCCGTGAGCTTTAATTATGTTTCAACATAGTCCCATTGCCGTTCAATACACTTATTCCATCCTTTCTCCCGGACAGTTATCACTATTTTGTAGAAGGCCAAATCTGGTCTGTCAACCATCCTCCACAACAGCAACAAGTTCTTGGTCCTCTTTTTATCTGTGACCAAACCGGTGTTGTTTTTTAAGGCTGGTTCAATTGCGACAATTGAAATTATGCTGATGCGACGTTAGATTTTAACTCACTCAATTGCAACATGATGGATGTGCAGTAGAGCATTGCTGCAATGCTTTTCTTTGATAGATTTGCCCAATCTTTTCAATTAAGTTGGCATATTAATCACCATTTATGGTTGTTCCAATTGTAAATAACCAATGTGTATTGTGCCTTTGGTGTCCCAAAGGAAGGGGGCCATCCTTAGTAGATCTGGATGCTTTAAACTCCCGGGTTTCTTCGAAGTGTTTCTATTCCATGGATTCTTGTTTGCTCTCAGATCCTAGTGATGGATCCAGGATCAAACAGCAGGGGGTCATCTTCCAAACTCTCTCCGATGCCAAAATTCATTCACCCAATATTAATTGTGGCATATGTGGGGCAGCCTTCCCATAAACAGCATGCATCCATTCATCAATATTCCTTGGTGATTGATCCAATTAATGACTTAAGTCAATTGGACAATCCAGATTGTAAAAGATGACTCCAAAACACAGGCAAAACAACTTAGATATTCAAGGCTCAAACATTCTGATATCCATTACAAGTTGATGAAAATGGCAGCTAAAAAACTTTCAGTAAAATGGCAGAAATTAATCTGTAAACTGCATGTTTTAGTCTGTTTTCAGTCGTACAAATGGGTATCTCTCATACCCTCACGTCTAGTCGCACGTTTAGAGGAAGCCAGTAGCTGGAATGTAAACATTAAACTTGGTCGATCTCGTTACCCGATCTATGGCATGCCGTTTTCGTCACCCATGACTAGGGATTTGGACTGGGGGCTACTCTTCAAGAGACCAGCACCCTCCACATTTGGAATCCATGGGCACTGCTGTTCTCACCAGCTGCAAACGCTTGCTATGCTGTCGACAGCGATCAAGGCCCTCTCAGTGTACTTTGAGGTGAAAGAACCCCAGGACGAGGACGACAGGACGGTGCCATCGGTCCTCACCTGTATGCAACGGTGGATCTAGGACGTCCTCGCCCAGTCCCGATATGTATCGGGACAGATTACTACGGCGCGTCGCCATGGTTACATCGACTGCACTGACCTACCTAATCGTCATGGCAGGTCACTCTTACGGGCCCCGTGGACATCGCAACAGTTGTTCGACGGTCGTACCAACGACGTTCTGGACAAGTACTCCAGGGAAGCCGAGCGTGACATCATCATTTCGGCTTCACCCAACCTGTCCAGACGGCCACCGGTTTCGAACGCCCCACGACGACGTTACCGAAACGAGAATGTGCAACGGGCCTTCCGTAGGGACGTGCCTCGACAGCCGTCCCGCAAGGGAGGTTCCGACAGGAAAAGTCGCCAGGTCTCCTTTTCCAAGTTTCCCAGAGGGGGAAAGTACCAGCGGGGGAGGAAGTGAGGTCCCTTCCCCCGCCGTCGCCGTGGTTGGAGTCTCCCCCGGTGACACTACCTTTAGACCAGCTACCGGTAGGGGGGCGACTTTGTCACTATGCCCACAAGTGGGTTTTCCTCAACGAAACATACCTCCAACCACCCGACACATTCACCTTGACATCCCTCAGCTCTCTGCGTCGGATGATATTACCGAACGACTTCCTCGTCTCGTTAGACCTTCAGGATGCGTATCTACATGTACCAATAGCTTCCGAGTTCCAGAAGTACCTCCGATTCGAATGCCAAGGTATTCATTACCAGTGGGCGGCCCTCCCGATTGGAATTTCTACGGCCCCGTGCTTTTTCACACGGATCATGAAGACGGTCGTAGAATGGCTAGAATTACCTAGACGACGGGCTCCAAGCTCACCAGTTTACAGTAGCCCTTCAAGGTGAGTTGGCGACCACCCTGAGTCTACTACGGTACCTCGGGTGGATCGTCAACTTTCAAAAGTCGGACTTGGTACCACCTCGGGTTCTACAGTACATTAGGATACGCTTCCAGACGGGAGTCAATCTGGTCCAGGTACCTCAAGACCGTTGGGACAAGATTGTCAGCAGCGTTCCGTGACGTCTACATGCCTCGTCGTCGGTGCACACGTGGCAGGAAGTCCTCGGTCTGTTGACATCGGCCCAAGACTTGACCCGTCGAGGTCGTCTTCAACTTCGTCCGCTGCAGAGATTGCTGTACCCCCACCTGGAGTTTCCCAATCTCCTGGTTCCACTTCCGGCGCAGCTACGTTGTCATTTGGAGTGGTGGCTCCAGCCGTCGAACGTTTGCGAGGGCGTCTTTATGAGCGAGCCTCCGTTCATACTACACCTATTCGTAGCAGCGTCATTGGAAGGCTGGGGAGCGCACTTCAGGGACGACCAAGCGGCCGGGCGGTGGTCGCCAGTAGAAAAGGTCCTCCACATCAACTACCTCGAGATGGAAGCAGTGATTCGGGCGGTCGAGTTTTGGAAACTTCGACTCCGTCGGAAACGGCTGATGATACAGTTGGACAACTCCACAGTCGTCCACTGCGTCAACAAACAGGGAACAACTCAGTCGGCGGCCCTTCTGGACCGGACATTCAGGTTCTTCGCCCTCGTTGACGACTTGGACATGGGCGTACAAGAATGTGATTGCCGACGCCCTGTCGAGACCATCAAGGCCGTCTCCCACGGAGTGGATGATCCATCCGACAATCTTTCATCTGCTGACAGATCGACTCTGGTTGCCCCAAGTAGATCTCTTTGCTGCCCCGTACAACAACCGCCTCCCTCGATTCGTGTCGCCGGTTCCAGACCCATGGGCATGGGACCATGACGCTCTAGCGATATCGTGGGGGGTCCAGACGCTTACGCGTTTCCACCAACGGTGCTGTTACCATCGCAACTGGTGAAAGTTCGTCAAACGGCCAACCTATGTCTGCTTTTGGTCGCGCCTTATTGGCCGGCCAGAACATGGTTCCCGGAACTTCTTCAGATCATCGTTCAACCACTGTTCCCGTTGCCAGATGGAGACGACCTCCTTCTTCATCCTCACACCGACGACTTGCATCCGGTTCACGCATGGGTTTGCTTAAGACCTCGTTAATGAAGAAAGGCTATTCGGCTAAAGCGGCAGCGCTTGTCTCGTTGGCACATTGAGTTACGACTCGTAAGCTGTAAGATGACAAGTGGACCACTTTCTCCATTTTCGCCAGGTCTCATGGCTTCAACCCGGCGGTAGCGACCCCACCACAGGTGGCGGAGTTCCTAGTCTCTCTCCGGTCATCTCGGCGTCTGAAAGGGTCGACGATCTCGACATATCTGGCAGCTTTGGCTTCAGTAGTGCCATCTCCTACGGGCGACAAGCTCACTAACATACCGGAGTTGCAGAAGATTCTACGTGCCTTCATGGTTGAAAATCAGTCACGTAAATTCCAACCGCCGGCCTGCGACCTCGATGTCGTTCTGCGCAACCTGTCTAGTCAGGCTTACGAGCCTCTCGATAAGGTCGCGTTCAACTTATTGTCTCAGAAAACGGTTTTTCCTTCTCTCGCTGGCTACGGCTGCGAGAATTACGGAAATACATGCCATTGACGTCGGTCGGATTACGTTCGATCAGCGTAACCATGGCAACGTCCATCTTGGTCTCCGATGGGATTTTTTAGCGAAAAATTAACTTCCTGGCCAAGATCCGAGAATGTTCAACATTCCTTCCTTGTCTGCCATTATGGGCCCTCGTGATCACGCTGATCTCACCTTGTGCCCAGTTCGTGCGCTTCGTATTTACCTGCAGCGTCCTGAACAGCGACGACACCATTTTCGACGACTGTTCATACCGCTCTCAACCAATGCAAAGAAAGAGATTACACGTAATACTCTCTCATTTTGGTTGAGAGCGGTAATTCTCTGAGCTTACGAGGCGCAAGGACTCGCACCTCCCACCTCATCTCATCCGCACGAAGTTCGAGCCTTCGCTTCAACATTAGCACTCCACAGTAATTGTTTGCTACAAGCTATTATGGAGGGCTGCTTTTGGAGATCTACTTCAGTGTTTGCTTCGCATTATCTTAGAGATATCTCCACAGAAGAGGTTGAAGGACTCAAACAGTTTGGTCCACTCGTGGTGGCACAACAGATCTCTCAGAAAAGACAGTGAATTCGTGTTTTATTCACTTTGGAGTTTTTGCTCGACACTTCGTGACATACTACAGGTTACAATAAAAGCTGTTGGTGAATGTACGCATTCTTATGGTTTTTTGTTGCGTGCAGTACTTCTGCTTTTTATTATGGTTATTCGGTGTATGCATCGTCTTCCCATACATTATAGTACTGCTCGTATTTTTTAGTTACTTTGTATACTGCGAGTTGCTCTGTAACTAAATTATGCGCCGACCTCACTTCGATCCGGGTTCAACTGACGTGTGCAGTTGTACTGTTGCATCGATAATTAGTTGTGTGTCGATGAGCATTACCCATGCTATTTTAGTTACCTTGTCTATGGCGAGTTCTGTAACTAAATTATACGCCGACCACATTTCGATCGCAATTCAACTGACGTGTGCAGTTGTCCTGTCGCTTCGATAATTAGTTGTGAGTCGAAGAGCATTAAACATGCTGTTTTAGTTACCTTGTATACTGCGAGTTGCTCTGTAACTAAACTATTCGTCGACCACACTTCGATCGCAGTTCAACTGACGCGTGCAGTTGGCCTGTCGCATCGATAATTAGTTGTGTGTCGAAGAGCATTAACCATGCTGTGCGTTCGTGATAAACAACTTGTCTCGTCCGTGCATCTGGTCGAATGTTCTATTGTCACTACAGGGGTGAGGAACTTGGTACATTCGACGTGAAAGTGGTCACTGCCTGATTACTTTCCCGACCCTCCTTCTAGTGTTCCGTCGAATTCTACCCATTTGTACGACTGAAAACAGACTAAAACATGGGTTTTTCAGATTAAAAACGATGTTTTATTGGTCTGTTTTCAGTCGTACGTTCCCACCCAGCCATCCCCACAGGGAAGTAATCCAGACCAGTCCTGCTTGATGGCTTATTCTTCGAGATTTGTGACACGTCATAGGGAGGTGCGTGCGCAACCGGACGGAAACAAGTTTAATGTTTACATTCCAGCTTCTGGCTTCCTCTAAACGTGCGACTAGACGTGAGGGTATGAGAGATACCCATTTGTACGACTGAAAACAGACCAATAAAACATCGTTTTTAATCTGAAAAACCCATTTTTGACTTTTCAACCATGACTGTTGTCATCTGAATGATATTTGGTTGGACTTGTGTCACATACCTTCCTTCATCATGTTCTACATTTGAATGTTTTCCAAAAATATTACAATATTGTCTTTCACAAGATGTCCATATAGAAATGATTTTTTATCATGTCCATCATATTGCAGTGTTTATTTATTCCATACAGCAATGATGTTAGAATGTTGTTTTCATTCTCTGCAGGGCGGACTACTTTCAGCTCCTGTTTGCAACTCTGACAAATGTTCCTGGGCGTGTGAAGAGCCTTCCTCCAGCCATTGTGAAACCCTACCCTATGTGGTCTGGCAAACAGGTGAGACGGCTTGTGTTTATAACTTTGTGATATTGCATGCAAGGTTGGAGTAGAATAGGCAAATATTACACATAGGGGCATGCATATCAGGGAAATGGGAAATGAGGATTATGTTTTTTGCTTCATTGGATGACCTCATCTATTGTTAATGACATCATAACGTTCAGTGTTATGTGGCATCGTTCCAATATTAGATTGACTAAGATCATGTTTCTAATAGTGATCGTGAAACATGCATACACTACTACTCCACTTTTGATAGGGATCATCAGAGATCTCACTCCATTGAAATATACACTTGACATTATGAGCATCAGTTTTGTGTATCATAGAAAGATAAAAAATATCCCTTTTGAAAAGTGGAGTAGTATATTTCTACATTTTCTCAGAAATGAAACAATAGGTAAAATATAGAATAACCTTCTCTCTTGGCTTGAAAGTCAGATGCTGTGATGTAACAGGGATGCTGTTTCTAGCAGCATTAAACCTAACTCACATGCTCACTAGAAAGGGAAAGCTTAGTGTGTGTCATCGTACCCGTTATTGATTGTTTGTTCTGTCACCCCAGTGGGAAAGGTTTTGGGCTTAATTAATTTACTCAGGACTGATAATACATAACAACTTGTAGCCACATGTTATTTTCAAAGTATCCCTCATCTTCAATGTGTGAGACCCCTGTACTTGTTGCTTTTGTGAAGCATGTGGTAAGTTTGGAGCAAGCTGGTCTCCATTACCTAATCCTTGTTGTCGAAGCACACCAACATGATGATTGGGTTGTTGTATTGCTTGGTCAGTTGTGTCATGGTATTGCATCAACATAGAGCCATGCTCATGCTATCAACCTCTTGTTTGGCTGGCCAAGATTCAATTCTACTAGGCAGGGGCCCACTTGCGCTATGACTGTTGAAGGTCAAAGTATAGGAGCTAGAACAATCATAGCGCTACAGTTGCTTTGTGAAACTGGGCCCTGTAATGTCTGTCTGGTGAAAAGCATTTACTTGTATTTGTTGTCCTTCAGTTGTTATCATCCGTCCTCCTGAATGTCATTCCCCCGGACAGGAAGCCACTCAACATGAATGGCAAGTCAAAAATACCAGAAAAGGTATGTTAAAGAATTTTCCTGACATATATCAGTAAATGTGATGACAATCTTGATGCATTTAAACCATGTTGGGATTTCAAATGAATATGTCCCAAATGCCTGGTGTGTTTTATGATTCCATATGATTATATGGTGATTCCAGGTTAGAATTGGTCCACAGCAACCTATGCTGCTGGTAGTAGTAGTAGTAGTAGTAGTAGTAGTAGTAGTAGTAGTAGTAGTAGTAGTAGTAGTAGTAGTAGTAGTAGTAGTAGTAGTAGTAGTAGTAGTAGTAGTAGTAGTAGTAGTAGTAGTAGTAGTAGTAGTAGTAGTAGTAGTAGTAGTAGTAGTAGTAGTAGTAGTAGCAGCAGCAGCAGCAGCAGCAGCAGTAGTAGCAGCAGTAGTATAGTGCTTGGTATCATACTCACAGAGAATTATTAGGCAATAGTAATGGGAGTAATAGGCAACTAAATGGCTCGGAGTCTTGTTTGATTGCTTGATATGCCCTGATGGTTTAAATAATATCGATCACAGGCTTGTCTGGCCTTGACTTGAACATTTGCAGGCCGCTGTCATATATCATGATATATAGTTTGAATATTGCTGTGTGTGGAGTTAAACAATATATGAGCTGACTATTAATAAGAATGGATGATCACAGTGTTTGACCAAGTTTATTGTGTGTATTTGTAACCCAATGAAATGGGTCGATGCTCTTACTGTCAATCAGCAGTTTGTCTGATCCACTCACTGCCGTAATATGGCTGTCAACTGTTTTCGTATAGTCTCAACTTTGGTTCACATGCTCATCATCTTTGTAGAGGAGAACTTATAAGCGTTAGAGTTGCTGCCTTCTCTTGGCTCTTGTGGACATTTAAGATGCTGCATGACATGGATGACTAGTAGGACGTGGATGAGTGTAAGACACTGTCGTCAAACCAGAGGTGTGGACATTACACTCATGCTCCCTTTATGACAATCATTGTCCGTTTTCATAATTAAGCATGAAGGTCAAGGGGCCTTTGTCTTAACCCCAGTGTTAAAAGTTGAAAATGAACATGTACTAGGATTAAAATACAGCAAACATCAAGTAGACAGGACTCGCCATGTACTGGACGTTCAAGTTGATTTCATGAAAAAAATAAATCATAAAATGTGTTGTTTACCTGCAGTGTTCATATTTGTTGATCATATTTGTGATTGTTTCCTGCAGAACTGGTCCCTGAGAAAGAGTGGACAGAGTGAGATGGACGACATGGGGGAGGGGACAGTGGTCATCCGGGATGGAGAGCTGTTGCAAGGGGTCTTGGACAAAGCCCACTACGGCCCTACTTGCTACGGCATGGTCCACAGCTGCCATGAGGTACACCGAAACAGGTCATGTTACAGTAATAACATGTAGGCCAAATGTGTTTTAACAGTTATGGTACTGGTCTTTGGAGAATTTGGTGGCAAATTTGAACTTACATGATAAAAGCTGGGAATGCAGGTTCTGCTTGATTGGGTGGTCAGATTCAGTGACATGGTTTATAGCGTGTCATTGTACCCTGACAGCTTGTCGGTGATCATAATATCAATCACTGATTTGTCTGATTCAGACTTGACGGTGTACATGACGCTGTCATATAGCTGGAATATTGCTGGGAGCAGCGCAAGGCGACAATCGAACATGCTGTAGTGATGTATCAAACTGCTGTCAAGTGTCAACTTGTCAACTGTGTTTATCAGTATGAGATCGTGAAGAGTCTAAATCTTTGGAGGTTGTTTGTTGCAGCTGTATGGAGGTCACGTAGCGGGAAAGCTACTGAGCTGCCTAGGGAAGCTGTTTCGGGTGTTCTTGCAGCAGCGAGGCTTCACACTAGGAGTGGAGGACATCCTCGTCAAACCAGAGGTGCGGACATTATGCATGTTCTCTTTTCCTGACGATTAGGATCAGTGTTTGAAAATAAGCATGAAAGTCAAGGGGTCTTTGTCTCAGCTCAAGAGGTTTCGTCACAGGTTTGGGATACTATGGCAGCAAACCCAGAGTACCTCAGGACACCCCTTACCTTGGAACACTGAATGTACAAGTGCTTGTTTGATTGTCTTGTTTTGTTGCATGACATGCTCTGATGGCTTAGGTGGCTGCTCAATGATATACACAAATACACTATTAAATATATGTGTTGTCCCCTAAGAAAGTTTGTAAACAATGACAGATTAACACTTTTTGATAGTTCACTTGACTGACAGTCATTTGAGCATTTGTCATGGCCTGCTTGTCGTCTGTCTTCATCCATTGTCAGTTGTGCACCCTCCTTTGTAAACATCTTCTCAGAAACAACTGGACCAATGACACTTTACATACTATTCCCTTCAATCATGACACCCCAATTTGTTCCAAGAGATTCAAATCCGATTTAAATATGGCCATCACAGCAGCCATATTGAAACACCTATTAGATAAAGGTGTCTGCTGTCTGTTATCAAAACTATAACCAGCAAAATGGAAAAGTGCAAGTTGGTCAGGAAGGTCCTATCTCCAGGAAGATTTATCACTACTGATTGATCTATTTTATATTTTCCTCTCATATATGAGCCCCATGATGGGGATTCCAGGTTAGAATTGATACCCAGCAGCCTATCATCATATGAGGCTATTAGTGAATCTGGTGGTCAGACCTGGTAACTAGGTGGATAGCATGTCATTGTACCCCGATAGATCGTTGCTCACAATATCATTCACTGGTTTGTCTGGCCCCAAGTTATTTTACTGGTCATCTCATAAAGCTGGAATATTGCAGATTGTGACTTTAAACAACAAAGACAAATTTCACATGAAATCAATCAATCTCCTAGGCTGATAAGAAGAGAGGGAAAATCATCAAGAAGTCTCCAGCATGTGGCCGAGAGGCTGTCATCAGGGCCCTCAACCTGGATGAAAACATCTCAGACAAGGCCTTGATTGATAGTATGAAAGATGCACATCATGACTTGGATGATCGTGGTTTGCAGGAGCAGGACTTGGCCATGAAGATACAGACTGATCGCGTTCAGAATGATATTGTCAAGTAGGTTACCTTCAAGTGGTTGTAAACCTTCCTCTATGAATTTACAGGCAAGCTATTTGGAGGATGTGATGAGATAGATGGAAGGGGGAAAAGCTAAAACATTCATGGTTTGTTGATCAGGAGATGCACTGTGTTTTGCAATGTTAATGTAAATGTGATAGTGCTAAGTTTAATATGGCTTTAATGCATCAGAGTGAGATTTAAAGTGTTGAATTTTAATGTAAGGTAGGACCAATTTTCTTTTATGGTTTTCTTTAGCAAAATTTGTGGGTTGATTTTAGGTTAAGTATTTACAAAATCTCAGAAATACAAATATGTTAAAAAAAAGAGGCTTTTTAAATATTATTATATTTTTGATTTTGTAAATTGAAGGCAGGCAGGCATGCTTTGCCAGATACAAGATAGAAGTAGGACATACACAGATGAATCAATGTTTCTTCCAGATTATATGTTCCCCATATTGAAGTCTGTGTTTTTTTAGGGCCTGTATTCCACAAGGTCTCCACAAGGCGTTCCCAGACAACAACCTGCAGCTGATGGTTGAGGCTGGGGCTAAGGGATCCACGGTAGGGTGGTTTCTATGATTATTTGGTTTACCATGGTTACTGATCTCCTGAAAAATGTCACAAATGAAGACTAAATTTAGACTTTAAAGCTTATCCCAGCTGTCACTATACATTTCTTCTTTCTTGTTCAATCCTATGCTTGAACCATGTTTCCAGCTTCTAAAACAAAACACATCAAACAATCTCCTTAAAGTAAGATCTTAGTTCTAGCTATCGCTAAACAAAGATCTGAGGACATCCCATTAAGGGTTATGTCAGAACGACCTTTCATCCAACCAATCAGAGCGTCGCTTACCAGATCTTGAAAGTGACTGTCAGAATGTGTTTTCTAATCATGCAACCACGAAATATTTAACACGGGGTATTCTGAACGACAGTTACAGGTTTTATGATTATATCCATACAATCTAGGCTATAAGCCATTCAAGAATGTTCTTCTTATCAGTTTTAATTTTTTTAATCGAGAATACGTCAAAATATGTTTCCAAGCGTAGTCACCAGTTTGAAACTAGTGCCGTAAAGGTTGAGAAAGCTGCCTTCTGATTGGCTAATGTTGATTTCTTGTCAGTCATTTCAATGGTCGGTCAAAATTTGCGAAAGGTCGTTCTGATGTGACCCGTAATGGGATGTCCTCAGATCTTTGTATAGCGGTAGCGAAAACTAAGATCTGATTTTAATGAGATTACACATCAACCGAACACAACCCAGCATCCACCTGGTTACTGACCAATAACTGGGTCAGTGAAGTGTTCGGTGCAAGGTAGCCTTACACATGATCATGTATGTATCTCTGCCAACTCATTTTCTTTCTAAGGGCCACACTGTTGGGACGTGTTTTTGGAATATTAGAGAACCCATTTGGGTTCTTTTGGTTGTAGGTTCCCCCTCCTTGATAATACACCTATGATACTAATGGAGAAGATGGGTGCAGACCAAGATCAACGCCCGGCCTGTGTAAATTGCAGACATACCTTTTCCTTGGCGGACCCTCACGACCTTTGCTGTGACTGTTGTGGTCTTTGTTCAAAGGACAGTAGCTGTTCCCAGTGTTCTCACCTCTCGAACGAAGCCTTTTGTATTATCCTATGTAATGCCATAAGTGAAATATTGAATGGTGGTCTTATCTAAGGAAGCAGAACATGGGCCTTCCTCAGTTAAGAAGCCCTATTGTGTTACTAAGTTGGCTGTCTATAACAGCTGTGAAAAGCACCTCTTTCGTCAAACATCCCATCCTTGTTTTTAATGTGTTGTAGTGGATGTCGTATTTGATAGCCTCTTACTGATGACGTTCCCCCCATAACAAACCAACCATTTCATCCTAGTGCGCTCGTTACTATGCCAACGTTAGAGCAACCTGCTCCCACAGACAGACACATAGTTATGTCAAGGAGAGTTTGTTTATGCCAGCCTTAATGGTATCGACCGTCCAATACCATTAAGTGTGTCCTGGGTGTCAGTTACGACGTTCATACTGTGCCAGCTCAACGTAGGAACCACCAGCTACATCGGATGTTGGCAAGTTCTCTCTTCCATCAGTGCTTCTAAAGCTGCCTCAGATACGCCTTCGGTCAACCTTCAACCAACCCTCTTGGAACTCTGAGATCGTGCATTACCAGTTGTCTTTCATCTCACGCTCATGCTAGTGATTGTTCCTTTCTGTCCAACGTATTGGTGCTCCTCCATCGACAGTAATGAATAAGGCTTCCACTGATACTTATAGAACGGATTCACCCTCTAAGGATCAATGTAGTAAAAATTGATCTTGCGCTTCTTCCAAGAGTCGATAAAGTCGATGGCACGATTGGCACTCTAAGGATTTCTCTCCTAAGAGGGGTCATCTAAGGATCGCTCACTTAAGGATCGACGGTCTCAGGATTGTCGTTCCAGTCGGCCTGGTCGCTCTCAGGATCATCGCTTTCGGGTTCAACGGTCAAGTTGATCGACTCTCTCAGGATTGGCGATTTTGTGATCAACCTTCTAGGGATCGACTCTCTCACAAAGAAACTGCCCATTCTTAACCTTACTTTCCTGTAGGACTTGACCCTGGTTGCCCTCGGGATCAACGCTTTGGGGATCGACTGTAAAGGGATCGACTGTTAAGGGATCGACTCTCTCAGGATCAACAATTTGAAGATTGACCTTCTAGTGATTGGCGCTTTCGTAAGGACATGGTTCCTATACAGGCTCTGTCAAACGTTCTTCTACTTTGGGGTGCTCCTAGTCCTCCAGTTGAATGGATCGACATCGTCAACAGGATCGTTCCTCGTCACGATATGGCTGAAATATTGCCGATGTGACGTAAAGCATTAACTCACTCACTCACACTCCTACAATATAATCATCTATCAGGCTTGTGCCCTATGCAGACCACCCATGTGGCTAGAAGAGCTACCCCTCACACTTGGAATCCTCCTTGGCATGGTATTCCTTAAGACTCGTCCTATCTGCTCTCATGGGCATCAACCCTTTGATCGCTGTGAAGAGCCTCGACGACCTTCTATTTGTAGATGTTCGTCTCTATCAGATGCTTGTGAGGATCGCCATTCTCTGAGCTGCTCCTGAGAATCATCTCCAGTTTCCAATTCAGGTTCCTACAACCTTGTCTGTGCCGACCACGCTAAAGATCTGACGCCAAACCTAGAATCATTTGCTTGCTCTAGAGGGCATGCGATCTTCGTCGTACTACAGACCTTGCCACGTAGGGAAGATACCAGTCTAGGCAAGGACACAGTATTCATGATGTTTGCAATCCTGTCAGGATTTTTCTCTGGGTTGTAACAAACCCGCTGATGTTGGAATCAGAACAGAATCAATACACCTGTTGCGAGCCGTTCGGTGCACTTTACTTACTGTTGTTGACATGACAGTGAGTTTTTTACATCTAAGTAGCTGTATCGATACTTTTAGTTCGACCTCGATGTGATGACACTTAGCTCTCAAGACAGCTTCCTCACTGACTATGTTCCTGCCATACCAGTTCCTACTTCTATTCCCATTAGCTTTGGACATCTGATAGTTCTCTTTAACCTTTAGCCTGCCAAAAGTCAACAATGGCTGTTTCTGGTAGTTGTGTGCTGAGAAGTTTGGCCGAAACTTTTTTAACTCGCGATATTTTCTCTTTGAGGTAAATAAACTACTGAAAGTTTTAATACTGAACAAGCTGAGCAATTATGCATGTCATACGTAATTTAAATGTTACGCAAAGCCTTCTTGGTAAATAGATATGGAGAGTTTTATTTTGGGGTGTTGTTATGATATTCGCCTGTCGAATGGGTTCAACATCAGATGCACAGGAGGTGACACCTCTGTCGAATGGGTTCAACGTTAGCATGCAGAGCTTTAAGAAAGTTTCGTCCAAGCCAGTTTTGACAGCGCCTACCATTTCCAATCCTAGAGCTTCCTGATCATCAACCACTGGTTGTTCCTTGTCTCCCGTGCTTTCACATATTGTTCCAGTTGGAGTTGATCCGACCACTTTGTCTCAGGACACAGTTGCTTCCAATGATGATTTCAAGCTCGCCCCAGAGCTATCGTATGACTTTGTCATCTACTGCTAACAAGGATTGATGTAGCCGGGATCGATTGTGAGATTCTGACAGGGGATCAACCTTCTCAAGACGTTCAACTAATTAAACTTGCCTGGACCACTCCTGCTCATCATGATGATTGCTGTCTTTTGGAAGACGATTATTATATAGATTCGGGGGATCGATAGATGACCTGGTATCTTTCTCCGTCTACAATCGTGAATCGTTGGTGTCATGGGGATGGCTCCCTCTCCTACCACTCCAACCCTCTGTGCCAAGCCTTCCATCTTTCGTCTGGGATGTCAACCACTGGGCTCCAGCAAATTGTTGTCCCTCTCATCACTGACGCTGAACTTCAGTTTCCGGGATCCACGATATCTTAGCTGACTTCCTATCCTGACCAAACCAGTTATCATCAACAGGATGGCATCTCCACTCGACATTTTTTGGTGACTTTACAATTTCTACCAAGGTCCAGACTTCGGACTACGAAATACTTGGGTTGGAGAGTGGATTCACTCATCTGACTTTGGTGATGTAAGGTGACCGTGCATGGAGCACAGAGTTGATCCAGTAATTGGTCAGTAACCAGGATGATGATGGGTGTGTTTGGGTGAAGTGTTTTGTTTTAGAAGCTGGAAACATGGTTTAAGCACGTTTCCACCTAGGATCGGAGAAGAAAGAAGAAATGCGTAGTGTGAGATAGGATAAGTGTTTAAATATACAAGTTATAATAAAATTTCCAATTTTTGTTTTTCTTCAGGTTAGTAATGAAAACACCCCAAGTTAAGTTACCATTTGAATTGGCCCTACATTGTTTTGCTTTATTTCAACCTACCTAGCAAATTTTTCAATTATAAAATCTCTAGCCTCTGATCCATGTTTAACACTGATATGACTTCTCTGTCTTCCAGGTAAACTGCATGCAGATCTCCTGTCTGCTGGGTCAGATTGAGCTGGAAGGTCGCCGACCCCCTGTGATGGTCAGTGGGAGGTCACTGCCCTCCTTCCTGCCCTATGATACTGCACCTCGAGCAGGGGGCTTCGTGGCTGGGAGGTTCTTGACGGGCATCAAAGCCCCGGAATACTTCTTCCATTGTATGGCAGGGAGAGAGGTGAGTGGGCAGGGGGCTCTTTGGCTGGGATGTTCTTGACATCCATCAACTCCTTAGTGTGTGTGTTAGTGTGTGTGTGTGTTAGTGTGTGTTTGTTAGTTTGTGTGTGTGTTAGTGTGTGTTTGTGTTAGTGTGTTAGTGTGTGTGTGTGTGAGTGTGTGTGTGTTAGTGTGTGTGTGTGTTAGTGTGTGTTAGTGTGTGTGTTAGTGTGTGTGTTAGTGTGTGTGTGTGTGTGTGTGTGTGTGTGTGTGTGTGTGTGTGTTTGTATCGATGAGTAAAATATTGTACTTCTTGTAATACAAATAACAAATGTATATTTCAATTCATGTTCAAACCATTTTACATGTCACCTCTATATCTGTATACCTGTATACTGCGCAAATGAAGTTAAAACCCTTATTCTTTAATATTACTACAGTTAATCTGTCATGTCATGACACATTAACTGTAGAACGTGTAATTTGAAAGAATAGGGTGTTTTTTAACTTCTTTTGAATAGTACATTGTATCGTTGTGTATCGATAAAGGACACTAAGATATGATACTTGTGTTAGGCTATGCATGGAGAATAGTGATGAAAGCAATGCTTGGTAAATCATTACATGCTTACCGGTACTTGGTTTGTTCCAGGGCTTGGTTGACACAGCTGTGAAGACAAGTCGTAGCGGGTACCTGCAGAGGTGCATCATCAAGCACCTTGAGGGGGTGCAGGTGGCGTATGACATGACTGTCAGGGATAGCGATAATAGTGTTGTACAGGTACAGATCTTTCTATAAATATGTATGGTATATATAAATTATATAAATTAAATAATATAAATTATATAAATTATATAAATTGTATAAATTGTATAAATTTAGATTTGAGTTGAATGGAAGCAATCTTAACAAGTTTACCTTAGTTCTGTTATGTACTTCTCCATGAAACTTTGTTCAATATCAGTCTAAGTCTGTTATAGAGTCTTTGTTCTTTGAACATTTAAAAATTATGTTTTCTTTCCTATGTCAAGTAAATGGCACACCAGTAGACACTGCAACAAACAAGCTGTGATAGGATTCATGCTAGATGTATTAGCAATTCACCAGGTTTTGGGGGGTCAGCATTTTGTACCCTATTTGTACAGTGTACCTTACTCTGGTAACTGCCTGTAAAAGGTACAGATGCAACAATACCTGCCTGCATAACAATGCAATTCATGATATCTAAATGAGTGAATTGTGCAGTGCTCAAGGATACAAAATATCTTAGCCTTCACATACTGGAAGGTGATTTTAACCTTTGTTTGTCATTACAGTCTTACTAAAGCAGATATTTGTACAAAGTTTTTACTGGAGATGTTATGCAGTGGCTCTTGTATTCAACCTCTTCCACAAGCAGGTGGAAAAACTATTACTTTACAATGTCACATTTGATTGCACATATGATTGTCTTTAAGATTGGACAATGGGCAGGGTGTATGCTGACTTGACTTCTTGTTTATGGCTGGTATATGGCCGAGTGCGGTGTTAAGTAACAAAGAAAGACAAGAGTTTCATTTTGTTTTGTAACATACCTGCTTCACATTAAATCTAGGAATGACAGGACTGCTAGAATTTTCATGGAAGAGGGATCTTTATTTGCTTAAAATATGGTTGTTAATGAGTTTGTGGACTATTCCGAAACAAAAGGGGGAAAAAAGGGAGGTCACTTGGTTATTTTGGAAATAATTGACTTCAAGGCCATATGCAGATTAAGATCCATCTCAAATATAAATGGAAAATTTAACAAATACTGAACACAAGTGTACCACTGAGAAATCATCGAATGACTGATTATAATTTATTGATATTTCCAGTTCTGTTATGGGGAGGATGGTCTGGAAACAACAAAGACACCGTTTTTGTCTCCGAAGCAGTTCCCCTTCTTACTCTTGAACAGACACACGCATGCTGAGACTGAGGCTGAGGACAATAAGATAAAGAAGAAGATCCGGAAACTTAACAAGAAGGTATCTGTCACTGAATGAGGATGCCTGATGTGGTTTGACTGTGTCGTGATGCTATTTTCACAACACGGAGTAATAACACAACCCAAATATGGATTAAGAATAAATTTATAAAATAAAGTTAAGAATTATACTGTTAATGACTTAACAACTTATGTACTCACACCCATTCAACTAGCATCCACTAAGTAACACCTTTCACACAGTTCGCACAATTCACACACTTCACACCCTTCACACAGTCAGTCTAACATACACTTTCAAAATACCTAAGGTTACTCAACCCAGCAAACAAATACACTAATATTGTACTAATATTCTACCTCCTAAATCCTGACTTTTACATCAGTGCAGCAACATCAGAACATTAATACATCACAAGATCAATATTTTAATGCATCAAACACTGCCTCATACGTCGTACAGGTGCCCTACTGGGTCCTCCGACACTATATAACAAACGTCAGTTTATATACTAGTAACCATTCACCTTACATCAAGTATTGTATACTCAGAATGGGACACTCATAGTTATTCAACATACAGATGAGCATGGGAGCATGCTCTGAATAACTACACATGGATATTCAACATACATCAAGCATGTTCTATACTCAGAATAACTAAAAAAAGCGTAGAGTTATTCAACATACATTGAACAAGTACTACTTAGAAAAACCAATTGTAATATCAACAGTAAATGTACATAATGATATTAAAGTGGTTGTTTTGAATACAACGACGACTGCCAAAACACGGCCAAATCAAACTTTGTGTGAGATCTTTAAGATTGTAATAACTTCATTCCCGATGAATATACAGTATGAAAGACATGTTCCTACATCCGTTTACTATTCTATTATTACATACATACATACATACATACATACATACATACATACATACATACATAAACAGACGTATAAGCATAAACAATTTTCAAATAGAATGCAAGATTGGAAAAACACACCAAAACCAAAATTCTCATAAACTGTGCTGAATTTTAGTTGATAGTCTTCTTAAATACCCATTCAATCACACAGCTCCTACAACAAAATTCCTTCACTCCTGACCCAAGCAATCTTACATGACATCTTTATAGCTCACAGCTTACATACAGTCAAACCACACTCTAATACATACAGTCAAACCAACTTTGACTGCTTTGGAAGATATCTGAGTGTAAATAGTCAGATGTTGCTTGTATTGTTGCTTAATTGTTATGTTTGCAACAGAGGTGTCGGTTTCATAAAACTGATGTGATGACACGTATGTGTTTTGTATAGTATTCAGAATGCATACCAAGATTCAACTATTCAAAACCTATTGGTATGCTATTGTAGCAGGGTGTGGGGTCATCCCACAGATGACATCCTTACCATGTCGGCTTGCTGGGTTAACCTCTGTAGTAAAGTGGACAGGGTGTCTTACCTGCTATCAGAATGTATGTCGTTTGAATCTCATCATGTTACTCAGAAATGGTATGGACACTAATACTTAACTGCCCCTGCACATAATGAATGGATAAATGTTCTTTCCCAGATCAAATCGTGGAAGCAGAAACATGGCGGAGAGCTGAGAGTGCGGAGCTCTGGCTTCCTGCACTTCTGCAGCGAGGTGATGGAGGATATGGTTGAACATTCGGACCTGAAGACAGTCAACAACTCAGGCCGGACAATGGCTGCCATAAAGCTGGAGGCGGCATGGCGGGAATTGGATGAGGAGACGAGAGAGGAGTAAGTCAATTTTAATATTTTTACATGGGAACACAGGTAACAGGTAACAGTTGCCTCCCTCAGGTCAGCTGGATTACTATCATCATGATTATGTGATTATGATTCTAAATTTTTATACCGCTATACCCACGCTTGTTTTAAAGTTAAAGACCTGCATCAGTTTCGGCTTCCTCCCACATTAAGCCAACAAACCATGATATACTTAAATTAAGTGGCCTTAAACCAAAGTCACTCACTGTCTTTTTACTGACAAGTCTGTGCATGTATCCAAGCCTTTGTGATATTGGGGACAGAATAGGTCCTTTGTACACCATGCTTGTTGTAGGAACTGTCTTCTGGTTCTGGGTGGTAACAAAGGGTGGTTTTGATGATGTTTATGTGATGCCATTATTTGTTGCTCATGCTATCAACCATTGGTTTCCAGTACAAGTATGCATCCACACATACATCGCTATATAATTTCCATTTCACCTCACCTGAATGTTTGACACTAATGGTTGTGCCGGCATCTACATGAGTGTTGACTGTGTGCAGGTATAGTCAGCGGAGCAGTGTGTGCCCCTCCCCAGTGATGGACAAGTACCGGCCTCTACTGCACCCAAGTGTCATGTCGGAGAAACTACAGGAGGCTGTTAACAGCTTCTGTGATAACAAGTTGGATGAGGTTAGTTGATTGTGGATAACTTGGTAGGGGGGTTAAGATAGATATAGAGGGGTAGCAGAGGTAAGTGAAGAGAAGTGGTACAGAATGCCTTCCATTACCACAATTCAAACATTCCAAAAACTACTGGTATGCTGTTGTAGCAGGGCATTTGAAGGAGAGGGGTGGTGGTGAAGGAGATATTTGAAGGGGAGAGTGGTTGTGAAGGAGATATTCGAAGGGGAGGGGTGGTGATGAAGGGATATTTGAAGGAGAGGGGTGGTGGTGAAGGGGACATTTGTAGGAGAGGGGTGGTGATGAAGGGGACATTTGAAGAGGAGGGGTGGTGATGAAGGGATATTTGAAGGGTAGTGGTGGTGGTGAAGGGACTTGAAGGGGAGGGTGGTTGTGAAGGAGATATTCGAAGGGGAGGGGTGGTGATGAAGGGGACATTCGATGGGGAGGGGTGGTTGTGAAGTGGACATTTGAAGGAGAGGGGTGGTGGTGAAGGGGACATTTGAAGGAGAGGGGTGGTGATGAAGGGGACATTTGAAGGAGAGGGGTGGTTGTGAAGGGGACATTTGAAGGAGAGGGGTGGTGATGAAGGGGACATTTGAAGGAGAGGGGTGGTGGTGAAGGGGACATTTGAAGGAGAGGGGTGGTTGTGAAGGGGACATTTGAAGGGCAGGGGTGGTGGTGAAGGGACATTTGAAGGAGAGGGGTTGTTGTGAAGTGGACATTTGAAGGGGAGGGGTTGTTGTGAAGGGACATTTGAAGGAGAGGGGTGGTGGTGAAGGGACATTTGAAGGAGAGGGGTTGTTGTGAAGTGGACATTTGAAGGGGAGGGGTTGTTGTGAAGGGACATTTGAAGGGGAGGGGTTGTTGTGAAGGGACATTTGAAGGGGACATTTGAAGGGGAGGGGTGGTTGTGAAGGGACATTTGAAGGGGAGGGGTGGTGATGAAGGGGACATTTAAAGGTGAGGGGTGGTTGTGAAGGTACATTTGAAGGGGACATTTGAAGGGGAGGGTGGTTGTGAAGGGGACATTTGAAGGTGAGGGGTGGTGATGAAGGGGACATTTGAAGGGGAGGGGTGGTTGTGAAGGGGACATTTGAAGGGGAGGGGTGGTTGTGAAGGAGACATTTGAAGGAGAGGGGTGGTTGTGAAGGGGATATTTGAAGGAGAGGGTGGTTGTGAAGGGGACATTTGAAGGGCAGGGGTGGTTGTGAAGGAGACATTTGAAGGGGAGGGGTGGTTGTGAAGGGGACATTTGAAGGAGAGGGGTGGTTGTGAAGGGGACATTTGAAGGGCAGGGGTGGTTGTGAAGGAGACATTTGAAGGAGAGGGGTGGTTGTGAAGGAGACATTTGAAGGGCAGGGGTGGTTGTGAAGGGGACATTTGAAGGTGAGGGGTGGTGATGAAGGGGACATTTGAAGGGGAGGGGTGGTTGTGAAGGAGACATTTGAAGGGGAGGGTGGTTGTGAAGGGGACATTTGAAGGTGAGGGGTGGTGATGAAGGGGACATTTGAAGGGGAGGGGTGGTTGTGAAGGAGACATTTGAAGGAGAGGGGTGGTTGTGAAGGGGATATTTGAAGGAGAGGGTGGTTGTGAAGGGGACATTTGAAGGGCAGGGGTTGTTGTGAAGGAGACATTTGAAGGGGAGGGGTGGTTGTGAAGGAGACATTTGAAGGGGAGGGTGGTTGTGAAGGGGACATTTGAATTGAGTGCATTTAGGGACATTTAAATGGAAATTTAAGTTCAATGTTTTGAAGGGTTCTGAAGTGGTATATTTTAGGGAAGGATGGAAGGTTGATTTAGACAGTAAGATAAAGGAAACATGCAGGTGTGTTCTGTCCCCAATGTTACAAGTTGTCCAGGGTCTGGCGGTTGTGTTGCAGGTGAATGAGTCCATCCCAGGTGCAGGAGATGTAACAGCCAAATCTTTCCAGAAATTATTCAACCACAAAGTCCTCCGAGCCTTTGCTCAGCCTGGAGATGCTGTGGGCCTCACCTGTGCACAGGTTGGTGCTTATCCTCTTCCTTTGTACTTGGAATATCTTACTTACGATGAAAGCAGGTGTGAGTTATCTCCCTTGCAGTGCAATGGCAATCGCCAGTGATAAGTAACAATTATGTTTTGACACAATCATATTTTAGTTTTTCACTTATCCAAATTTAAGAATTTAAACATGTTGTTATTCCTTAAAAAATGGAAATCACATATTCTTAATAGTTATTGCCAGTCTAATTTACTCTGTCACAATACCAACCTGCGTGATGATCTGACAAACACTCCACAGGAGTAATGGGTAGTGAGATGGAAGTGTCAACAGAAATCTCTCTAATGACAGCTTGGGTTGTGTTGTTTGATTGTTTTTTTGTTTGTTGTTTAATGTCGCTCTCAGCAATATAGACGGCGGTTGTAATGAATTGAGTGTGGACCAGACAATCCAGTGATATACATCATGAGCATTGATCTATGCAATTTGGATAAGATTAAATGCACCAACTAAGTCACCAAGTCTGACCCACCCCTTCACCTCTTACCACAATCATGGGTTGCTGAAAATCAATTCTAACCCAGATATTTTATGGGTCGCTTCGGCTGTATACTCCCCAGGGAGCTTAAAGTGCAATTTGGGGACAACCTGTTCTGGTGACCAAGGTAGAAATGCAGTACAGCAAGCATGCTGTATAGGATGGATACAGCAAAATATAAACATGCATTATTATTGTTGTTGTTGTTGTGAGCCGTGGAGTCATGTTTCCCTTGTTGTGCAACAGTCTATTGGGGAGCCGTCTACCCAGATGACGCTGAACACATTTCACTTCGCTGGTCGAGGTGAGATGAACGTGACACTGGGTATCCCTCGACTGAAGGAGATCCTGCAGACGGCCTCACCCAGAATCAAGACCCCCGCCATGGACATCCCCGTCATCAACACCCCCGAGGCCTACCTGCAGGCCAAGCAGCTCAAGGTCAAACTGGCCAAGGTCACTCTCTCACAGGTAGGTTACGGTTTATGAGTGAGGATGGAATACTTGTTTGTAGATTGCTGAGTCCTTACTGAGGAGTTTCATTTGCATGACACAAGATACCAAGGCTGTCAGACATGTCTGCTGTTTAGAATATTGCAGCGACAGGTTATGAGGGAGTTAAGCATGTTAAGGACATAAAAAAGTTATAAAATGTTGTTTATTATCATGTGATTTTTTTATTTATGAAATTTATTTCTGGGCAATCAATAATTTGTGGTGAAAATATTGTGGATATTTAAGGTCTATGAATGTGATGATTATCTGGATTTTCCAAGAAGTTATCTTTCCTTTCTGTACAGGCTGTCATGTTTTCAAGGCCTAAGTAAGGTAGCCCTTATTGTCGTTGGTTGGCTGGTTTGTTGTTTAACGCTGCACTCAGCACTATTCCAGCTATATGATGGCGGTCTGTAAATAATCGAGTCTGGACCAGACAATCCAGTGATTAATATCATGAGCATCGATCCAATTGGGATAGATGACATGCATCAACCAAGTCAGTGAGCCTGACCGATCCTGTTAGTCGCCTTTTATGACAAGCATGGTCACCTTTCAAGGCAAGCAGGCGTTGCTGAAGACCTATTATACCCCAGAATCTTCACAGGACCCCTTATTGTCAAATTTAAGTTATAAAGGCATTGAATATTCTTCAAACAGGGATGCATTACTGACATAAAAGATGGTCAGTATTTCTCCATTTGATCATGTCTATTGAGACTTTGTCATGATATAGCTTAAATTTTGCTCTTGTGACATTCCGTTTAAACTCATTCTTTCGAAACTATTGATCGCATGGCAAGATGTTTTGTTAGCAATTGATATTCTCAGAGGTCAAGGTCACTGTTAAGATTTTTATGAAAAGTACTTGTATCATTCATTTTTTTAAACTGCTCAAAGATTGACAATATATCCTTTCATAGACTCCTTCCACATGGACCTGAGGAAATCTTGTTTTGTACATGTCATGAGAATGTCAAAGGTCAAAGTCGTGAGAATGTCCAAGGTCAGGAGACAACAAATAATACTGTTTCATAAAAAAAACTTAGCATATACCCCCAAGGAACATCAAAGTATTGATTTGTGTTCTTTTGTCTGGTGGTGACCTTGAATGTTGTGTTGCAGGTCATACAGGATGTGAAGGTTACAGAGTTCATAACAGCTCCTAAAGGAAGCCCACAGTAAGTACATAGATGACATTTCAAGTGTTTTGAAGGCTTATGGGGAAGACCTTGTATGTTTCCCAATTTGTGTCAGATCCATCTTTCACTTAGAAAATGTTAATTGAATAATGAGATAGATTGTAATCAACTTGCAAACATCATGAACAATTAGGACACAATCTGGTGTGTGTTGCATTCATAGTGATATCTCCGTGGTCTAGTTGTAGGGAGTCCGACCAGAGAGAGGAAGGTCGAGGGTTCGATCCCTGGCCGCATCATACCAAAAGAAGTTAAAAGATGGTACTTGTTGTTATCCTGCCTGGCACTCGATATTAGAGGGCTTAAACAAGGACTGGTTGGTCGGAGTCAGTATACTGTGTCCGGGTGGGGTATCATCTGCAGCATGGTATCTCAGTGGGCGAGCCCTATAAAATCAGCATGAATCTGGACTAGTACAAGCAGCCACACACAGTAGAATAAGTTATTAACTCAGACCCCATTCCTGTTACTGAAATTTGTATAATATTCCCTATTCATTCCAGTATTTGAAACATATATGGCGGTATATTAAATATGTTATGGGTTAGTACAGAAAGTGAGGCGATGTGAGTGTGAATAAGTGTCTATGTCCAATTTTTAAATATCCTTGTCCATCATACCTATCTTACTAGTAGTATCACCATGCATAACAATAGCTCCTGGAACTCCTTTAGTAAACTTGCTTGTGTCTTTTAAGTTGTCTGTATATCTTTTCTTGCTTGGGTCAGACACAACCCTGGGTCTCAGGTCCTATCTGTAACAGACTCAGAAAAAAATGTCAATTACAAAAAAAGAAAAAGTAATTCACAATGCAATTCTCAATGTTTATTGGGGTAGACTGCAGTATTTGGGTCCCCACTTCGAAAGGAATGTTTTTACGTGTTTACGGAAGTTGTCGAATGAAAAACGTTCCACGCATGCGCAGTTCATTTTTTACGGTCGAAGCGAGAGGATTTGTTGGCCGCCATTTTTCTACCGAACGCTGTCTGCTGTTCAGTATTTTCTTACCCAGACAACACACGGGGGGTTCAAGGGGGGTCTGTCCCCCATTGTCGAAATATTAAAGTAAAAATGGGGGGTAAAGGTGGGTTACACCCCCCTTTTTTCAAATAAATCGCACGACGGTAAGTTCATTCTGTTACTTGAACAATATATTTTGTTGGGCGGACAACACTGCGGGGTTCAAGGCAGGTACAACCCCACTTTTATGACATTTTAAAAGTAAAATACGGGGGGTAATAAATCGCAATATGATATAACTTCATTCATGAAAGCATGTGAATTTTCATAGGAATATGATCATCGATAGATACTTTCTCATTCAAACAAATCATTTGAAACGTTGTATTCGTTTTGACTGTCATATAGATTCTAGGACCTAAGTCTGTGGATCCATCTAGACCTAGTTCAATTTCTTTTTCTGCTTCTTTTTCATCTTTTTCTTAAACGATCATTTTGCTTCCTAAGTTTAATAAATGTAACCACGGCTGGTGAACTTAGAAACTCATCAATTGAACAACTGAAATATTTCTTTTCTGATAATGTTTTGAACAAAATAATTGTCATACATTCCCGCATTTGTCCCATACCTATGCAAAGATGTCTTCACTGTACTCCAAGTCGACTCTGTTTTATTTGTACAAGCCACAGTTTATGAATTTACAAGTTAGGAGCGAAGTTGCTTTCGTAGTAAATATTAGGAAAGTCACATGATCAGACACATGACGTCTTACGTCATTTATGTCCCGCCCACAAACAACAAGAAGTTGACAGTACGATAATTCGGCTTCACTTTCTATCACAAAAAACACTCGGCCCCCACGGGGGCGGAGTTTTAGACCATACTTTTCACGTCCAGCTCATTTTTTGGGGTCCTTTTTGCTAAAAAATGCTTCCTAACGGATTTCGGCACGCTTGCGCGTGCGCGCTTATATATAAGCGAAGCTGCCGAAGGCAGCGGTTTCCTTACGGAAACCCCCGAAGTGGGGACCCAAATACTTTTTTTTCTCTGAGTAAAATTTGAAAGAGGTTTAAATACTAGTTGCTGGTAGTGATCCATGATCCATGATCCATGGGTTAAAGAGGAATATATTACATAGATGAGTCATTTCTATAGGATCGCACTGGGATTCCAGTCAGAATAGTCCCTTGTAATCCATGCCTGTTGTGAAAGGGGAAAGGTCCCTTTTTTGAAAATGTGTGACGAGACTTGTGTGGCATCATGAACCAATGCCGTGAATTGTCGCTCATGCTATCAACCACTATTTTGTTATTTACCAGTTGCCATGGTACCACAGGCATGTTTCTGACAGTGGCATGGAACAACATTCACTCACTCATTTCTGCAGGTGACCCTCTCGAAAATGTTCGTATTTGATACATAATTTGTCATATGTTTTTGTCAAAGATATTTGATATATGACAGCATTATTGAATGAAGAATGGTATTATTGCATATGGAACATTAAATCTAAAGATTATATATTTTGTTCTTGGATGCTCAGATGAATATTGCTATTACAGTTTAAGTCAGCGGAACTTCCGAGTGCGCTTTGTGTTCCTGTCGGAGAAGGTTTACCGGGACACCTGTTGTGTGAAGCCAGAGGACATCTTGTGCTACATGGAGAGGAAGTACCTCAAGTCCCTGCTGTCAGTCTTCAGGGCCAAGATGAAGCACATCACGTCCTCAAAGTAAGTATCTGGTTGGAAGGGAGTTGTCATGTGGCTCTTGAAATACATTTACAGTTAACTTCCTACTTTATTTTAAACTTAGTCCTTTACAGAAAACTTCCTCCTGTTCAAAGCGGCTTTAGCACCAACTCACTGTTTTCTTCAGAACTATTGACACTGCCAAAGTCCGGGGATCTGCCATGGCAGCCGTGGGTGATGAGGATGGTACTGTCAGAAGAGATGACGAAGATGACATTTCTGATGTTGACCCTAATGACGGGGATGCTGCTACCGAGAAGGAGCAGTCTCGGCAGACAGACACCCAGGAATATGAGGAGGGGGAGGATGAGGAGGAGGAAGAGGAGGAAGACGAGGAAGAAGGTAGGATGTCATAATGAGTTATCTCCCTTTATCATATTTGCTGAAGGCCTGAAGATCAGGGTTTCCTTTGAACATTAGAAGAGGGCATGGGTGGCCAACTGGTCTTTGGTGCCACAATTTGTTGTACAGAGTTGCCTTTCTTAGCTGTTCTAGGATCCACCAATTATGGATTTGTATCCCATATTTGCCCAGAAAATGAAAAGAGGTAAACATCTAAGACCTACAAAACTTTGTGTTCCTCCCACATACTGTGATATGACTGTAATACTGTTCAAGGCAGCATTAACTAATCTCCATTAACATCCAACACAGGATACATATAGATCATCTGCACATTTATTCTACATGCATAATAGTGTGGACACATGAAGATCAGGGTTAGAATTGGTCTTCAGGAACCTATGCTTTTTGGTAGATGTGACTATACTTGTCGTAAGAGGCGACTAAGGGGATTGGATGATCAGATAAACTGACTTGGTTGATGCATATCATCGTATCCCAATTGCATAGATCTCTGCTCATGATATCAATCACTGGATTGTCTGGTTCAGACTTGATTATTTCCAGACCACCATCATATAGCTGGAATATTGCTGAGTGCAGTTGATTACAATCTGCTGACAATATGCAGACACATCTAAACCAAAATGTGCTGAACCTTCTCCAAGGATCCGACCTATGTCAATCGTTTACATTATTATATACAGACACACTATGAAAATGGATATTGAATTTGGGAAATAAGTTTAAGCAAACTGACAGAAAAGATGTTGTAGTGAGGCCTGAAGGTATGCAACATTGCAATATTGATGTATGAGTATGATTCCTCATTAACATTGTCATCCCTGTACATAACCTTCCAGTCTCTTGTTACCTATCAAAATCCACTATGCGTTTTCAAAGTGTTATAGTGTACAATTGAACATATAAACCTACACAACAAAGAATGTAAGGACTCTAGTGAAGCACCTTGTGCCTCTAATGAATCCAGAAGAAGTAATGCAAACTGAAGTAGAACTTGATTTATAACAATAGTGTTGGTAGATTCATGGACTTGCCGCTCAGTAATGGCTGACTGGTAAGCCAGTGAACCAAACAACATTCACGCACTCATTTCTGTAGGTGACCCTCTCAAAAATGTTTGTATGTGTGGTACATAACTTGTCACATGTTTTTGTCACCTTCCTACGTGATTATGAAAGCTATTTGATATATGACAGCATTATTGAATGAAGAATGGTATTATTGCATATGGAACATTAAATCTAAAGATTATAGGTAAGCCTTAACTTATTATGCTGTAGGCGTGACTTAGATTTACTTATTTTATCTCGACAGATTTGGATGTTAGTGAACCGGACAACAGTGAACCCGAGGAGGAGGAATCTGACATCAGTCAAACTAATGACAGGCAAAGGAAGAGCTCTGGACATTTCGCCAAGCGGGCTACTGCGGTAAGGAATTCTTGTAATTATCATTAAAGCATGACACCGAGGTTTTGGTTGAAAATGTCAAACCTTGAGTGAGGAAAACGGAGAGGGATCGGGTATGAATTGACTTAGATGACAGCTGGTGAGAGAAAGACCATTTGCAGCATGCAGACAACTGAAGTCTTTGTTTTTGGCAGATATTTCTTATGAATATAGAAAGGGTATTTTCGCTTTCATATAAATACTTTAAAAATATTCAGATTATTTTAAACTCACTCAATCACTCTTCTTGTTATGATCAACCACATTTGCATGTACCCATGCTATATCGTGTACTTTGTGTGTTTGTTACTTGTTGTATGTTTACACTATTATGCTTTGCCTCCCAGGTGAATGTCTTGAGCCAGTTCATCACTCAGTACACGTTTGACAAGAAGAAAGGATCTTGGTGTGAAGTCGTGTACTCGGTATGTTGTTTAGATTCACCACGGTGGATACTTTTTGTACTTTCTCTCTTCATTGATTTTCTTTTTATAGTATGACTCTGTATTATCACGGGCTCTATTTTATCCCGTTATCGGCAAGTCTTGTAATCCACACCTCCTGTCGCCTGTCTACTTATGCAAATCTAAGCACGATATTTCATCGCTTGATCGAATACAGGACTCGTTGCGGTATGTCACGGCTACTCATAAGTATACATGTTAACTTTTTTATGATAGTTTCTGGAATGTTTATGAAGTGGAATTACCCCAACCTGCATTCGAAATTGATTAGAAAGGAATCCATTTGTTTGGACGATGTCCCTTGCCCCAACCTATGTTGTATGAATACTGATTATGCATAATCCAAAACAGGAAGTGAAGTAAACCACATAGTACACACGTATCACACCACAAAATAGCCATACGTATGCCATTGCTATGATATTGATGAAAACATCATAAAAACTCTTCTTTTAGAAACAAAATGAAACTTGATACCTATGCTAATTCAGTGCAAATGTCTGGGAACCAAATGTTTTTATTACAATTTATGTTTGATGGTTGCTGTATTACAGTTTGATCTGTACAAGAGTAAGATTGATGTGCTGACGGTGATCCAGAACAACTTGAAGAATGCCGTGATCCACCAGGTGAAGGGCATCCGACAGACATTTCTGGTGGAAGAGAAGGGGGCACACGGCTCTGAGTGGCACCTGAAGACAGAGGGGGTCAACATCGAGGTATGACTTGGCCTATTCAGGCTCGCTGACACTAACGCCACTGCATGACAGAGGGGGTCAACATCGAGGTATGACGTTGGCTAGTCAGGCTCACTGACACTGTACGACAGGGGGTAAACATAGAGGTATAACTTGGACAAGTCAGGCTCACTGACACTAGCACCACTGTACGACAGGGGGTCAACATTGAGGTATGACTTGGACTAGTGAGGCTCACTGACACTAGCACCACTGTACGACAGGGGGTCAACATCGAGGTATGACTTGGACTAGTGAGGCTCACTGACACTAGCACCACTGTACGACAGGGAGTCAACATCGAGGTATAATTTAGACTAGTCAGGCTCACACTGTACGACAGAGGGGGTCAACATCGAGGTATAACTTGGACAAGTCAGGCTCACTGACACTAGCACCACTGTATAACAGAGGGGTCAACATCGAGGTATAACTTGGACTAGTCAGGATTAACACCACTGTACGACAGGGGGTAAACATAGAGGTATAACTTCAACAAGTCAGGCTCACTAACACTAGTACCACTGTACGACGGGGTCAACATCGAGGTATGACGTTGACTAGTCAGGCTCACTGACACAAGTACCACTGTACAACAGAGGGGGTCAACATCGAGGTATGACTTGGACTAGTCAGGCTCACTGACACTAGCACCATTGTATAACAGAGGGGTCAACATCGAGGTATGACGTTGACTAGTCAGGCTCACTGACACTGTATGACAGAGGGGCTCATCATCGAGGTATGACATTGACTAGTCAGGCTCACTGACACTGTATGACAGAGGGGGTCATCATCGAGGTATGACGTTGACTAATCAGGCTCACTGACACTGTATGACAGAGGGGGTCAACATCGAAGTATGACGTTGACTAGTCAGGCTCACTGACACAAGTACCACTGTACGACAGAGGGGGTCTACATCGATGTATGACTTGGACTAGTCAGGTTCATTGACACTAGCACCATTGTATAACAGAGGGGTCAACATCGAGGTATGACGTTGACTAGTCAGGCTCACTGACACTGTATGACAGAGGGGGTCAACATCGAGGTATGACGTTGACTAGTCAGGCTCACTGACACAAGTACCACTGTATGACAGAGGGGGTCATCATCGAGGTATGACGTTGACTAGTCAGGCTCACTGACACTGTATGACCGAGGGTCAACATCGAGGTATGACTTGGGACTAGTCAGGCTCACAGACACTGTATGACAGATGGGTCAACATCGAGGTATGACTTGGGACTAGTCAGGCTCACAGACACTGTATGACAGATGGGTCAACATCGAGGTATTACTTGGACTAGTCAGGCTCACACTGTATGACAGAGAGGGTCAACATTGAGGTATGACGTTGACTAGTCAGGCTCACTGACACTAGTACCACTGTACGACAGGGGGTCTACATCGAGGTATGACTTGGGACTAGTCAGGCTCACTGACACTGTATGACAGAGGGGTCAACATCGAGGTATAACTTGGACTAGTCAGGCTCACTGACACTGTATGACAGAGGGGTCAACATTGAGGTATGACGTTGACTAGTTAGGCTCACTGACACTGTATGACAGAGGGTGTCAACATTGAGGTATGACGTTGACTAGTTAGGCTCACTGACACTGTATGACAGAGGGGTCAACATCGAGGTATAACTTGGACTTGTCAGGCTCACACTGTATGACAGAGGGTGTCAACATTGAGGTATGACGTTGACTAGTTAGGCTCACTGACACTGTATGACAGAGGGGTCAACATCGAGGTATAACTTGGACTTGTCAGGCTCACACTGTATGAAAGAGGGGTCAACATCGAGGTATGACTTGGACTTTTCAGGCTCACACTGTATGACAGAGGGGTCAACATCGAGGTATGACTTGGACTTTTCAGGCTCACACTGTATGACAGAGGGGTCAACATCGAGGTATAACTTGGACTTGTCAGGCTCACTGACACTAGAACCACTGTTCAGTCAAAATGAAACCCTGCTACTGTGTCAGCAAAGACCATGTTAGAAAACCTGCCCTGAACGATATCTGATAGGAATGTCTGCTGAAAAATGTCACAGTGGGACACCATTCCCATGGTTTGTTGTGGGATATTCTGATTGATAAAGCATTTGTTGCGCAACAACTGTCATATATATGCAGTATAATGTAGACTTTCAGCTATCGTTGCTCTGTAGTTTAACCACCACTTTTGACGGTTGAGCTGTGACTGCTTTTAGGATGAGAGCACTTGACTGTTTCCATTGATCAACAATCTTTCAGTGAAATGTACAAATCATTTGTGGTTGAAAATTCTACTAATTGTTTAGTAACAGATGATTATGTAAGGTTTATAATGGGGGATGGTACCCCTTGATCCCCGTTCTAAATACTCCTTAAACATAATCACAGGTGGAAACCATGAACCTAACAAAACACACCTAATAAGTCTGTTGTTGAAATGATGTTATTTGATGTCACCGTTCAGGAGATGTACAACTACTCCCACATCCTGGACATCAACAGACTCTACACCAACAATGTCTTCGCCTTCGCTGCTGTCTATGGAGTGGAGGCTGCTGCTAGAGTGCTGCTCAAGGTGAGAGATTGACCTGCATGTTATTATCGTGTGTCTGGAGGATGTCTGCTGGTTTAGCGTGAGGGTTGAAACTGAACCAGGTATTTTTGCAATCTGATGTTCTGGATCTGGAGCAAGGATGTAATTGGAATCTTAAAAAGAGCAGCTGTGATTATTGTTGTGTTATTGTTCAGTGAGACATTAAACAACAAACACAAACTTAAATTATTTATTACTACAGGTTCAAGGTGATCAGAGGTCACATTATGAAACATGGTGCAAACTTAATGAAACATGGTTTCAGTTCATGAGAATCTAAGGCTTGGTCAATCAGTGTTTCAACACTATGAATACCTCTATCAACACCTGGGATATGTCAAGGTTGTGTCAAGCATCACTGTCAAGGTCATTCACTCTGTTATCTCTTTGTTCCCTCCCCTGTGGGAATTCCAGGTTAGAATAGGTCCCCAGCACCGTTTGTGGTCATTAGAGGCAATCAAAAGGATTGGGTGGTCAGAATTGATGACTTACAATATTAATCACTGGAATGTCTGGTCCTACTTAATTATTTACAGAAAAACGTCATAAAGCCCCCCCCAGCAGCTTGTCCTTGGAGAGAACAGGGCTGTTGTATCTGATGTTTGTTTTAATAGGCCTCTAAAATTGGGGATCAGAAGTTTGCACAGTGATGATGAAATGCAATCTCTTGCACTTTGTTTTTGTCTTTCCAGGAAATATCTTCCGTGTTTGGTGGCTACGGCATCAACGTCGACTACCGCCACCTCTCCCTCCTCACAGACTACATGACATTTGAGGGCGTCTACAAGGGCATGAATAGGGGTGCCATTAACAACAACATCGCTCCTTTCCAGAAGATGACGTTCGAGACGTGCATGAAGTTCCTAGTGGACGCCAGCATCAACAGCAATTTGGACAATCTGCGGTCGCCATCGTCACGTCTGGTGGCCGGACAGGTTCTTCAGTGTGGGACAGGAGCCTTTGATATCCTACAGTCTTTGGTGTAGATCCATTAAACCGCAGTGGAGATTCCTGGTTAGAATAGCTCCAGCAACAAACATTTGTCATTTCTGGTGACTACTGGCTTGGGTGGTCAGACTCAGTGACTTGGTTGACAATGTCATGGTACACTGATGTGTGGGACAATGCTCATGATATCAACCACTGGTTTGTCTGGCCTGAGATTCCATTGTTTAAATGCTGCCATGATACACTGAGATAATGCTCATTGTGGCATTATCAAACAAACAAACCAAATGCATTTGGACGTCTGCTGGTGTTATCTTTGTGGTCATGTACTGTAAAGTAAAAGAGGGCTCTAGCAACATATTTTAGGCCAGTCATTCATGTTTGTCACTCATGTCCCTTGTTTGTCTGGCCCAGATTGAACTGTTTCTAGTCCTCTGTGATATGGCTGGAATATTGCTGACTGCAGTGGCAAACAACACTCATTAGTCACCATCACACTGTATTTATTCGCTATGGGTTGGTTGAGGAAATGAGTGGACATAAGGTATTTTGTGGACTTGTTGTCCACATTTGTCGTAAATGTGTATAAAATTGTGTCTATTGTTGATCATGAAAAGAAAACGTTTCTCATTTTGTTCTTTTGAACTGTACAGTGCTATGAAGAAAATATATAAAGAAACGTGATGCTAAAACATCACATCATCATATTTTTTTTTGTGTGTGATTTCTTGATTTACACTAATTATTGACTTTGGTACCTTGGGTTTGGTACAATTCATTAAAATGGTTCATTTATCTGTTCATCTATGTCCTTCTAGGGTTGCAAGGGGCACAGATTGCCTCTCTTAGCAGTACCAGGATCTGCTGGTCATGGGTTTTAATCCCAGACCACCCTGATTAGGATGTTTAGTTTGTGAGCATCATATTCATGATTGTGTGTTTTAGCAAAATGGCAGGTCTCAGACCTGCACCACTTCGAATATCCATCTGAAATTCAGCCGGCACGTCTAACCCTGAAGATCAGTGTTAATATAGGTCTTTAGAAACCCATGCTTGCCATTAAGGCGACTATGCTTGTCGTATGAGGCAACAAAAGCGATTGTGTGGTCAGGCACACTGACTTGGTTGATGCATGTCATCATATCCCAACTGTGTAGATTAGTGCACATGATGTCTATCACTGGATATTCTGGTCCAGATTTGATTATTTACAGACCACCGTCGTACAGCTGGAAATTGCTCACATTTACACCAAAACTCACACCCACAAACGCACACACCCACAAACACCCACAAACACCCACAAACACACACCACCACAAACACACACACCACCACACTCACACTCTCAATACAGGTCCCCAACAAAATGATTCAATAAGAGTCAGTGTTTAATGAATTTATACATAACATCTAAGAATGTATTTTTGATGCAAGGGTATCTTGGTGCATTGACTGGCATCATATCCCGGCACGCACACGCACGCACGCACACGCACGCACGCACGCACGCACGCACGCACACACTCACACACACACACACACACACACACACACGTTGCTATATACATGCAATAATCTTGGACGCGTGAGCCCCATTTCACCTCAGCTCGCTCATCGAAGAAAAGTTACTGACACACCCACTCACGCATCCACCAAAAGTTATTAATTCATCCAGACATCCGCCCCAAGTTTCTCGCAGTCCACCATCTCACTGACTCGCCGCATTCATCACCAGTTGCCTCCCCTGCTAGTTTGTTTCGCGTCCGCACCAATGCACGTGTCTACAGCAGGGCGAGTTTCTTGCCTGTTGTAAGTCGGTCTTCTGATACCCCATATCAGCATGAGCAGTGATTTATCTACAGCAGGTGTCATCAAATCACATGGTTTGTGCATGGAGCGTTAATTTAAAAACAAAATCGCGCCCCATCCAACAAAGGTTGACAGGGTAAATCGGTCCACCAGCTGTGTTTGGTGTATCTGTTAAAAAGCTAAGGACGGGATGGGCATGAACAAAAGGTATGATATCACGATAGGAAATTATTTCATCATGTTTTAAAATCACAAAGAACAGTCTACGTACGGCCCCTTTAACATCTGAATGCACATTGATACGCTTAGGATATTTTATTCCCCTCGCGTTACGCTTCAAATCAATATTCAATACACATACGGTCTCGATGTAGGGGGCAAATTGGTGAAACCAAAAACAGGATGGGACCCCCATTTAACATTTGAATGCACATTAATACCTATATGATATGTTTCAAAACAATATTCACACATTCGGCCTCGGTGATGCAAACACATATACTATTTACAAAGACCCAAAAGAGAAAATCTGTAATATAAGTAGCGTGTTAGCCGAGTGTTTAGACCCAGCTTGGATCAATTCCCTTACTGTTATACTGTAAGAAGCCAATCCATACTCCCATGCTATTACTTTACAGCCAAACCAGTAATGGCGGAGTTATAAGCTATACACAGTTTGGCTGTTATCATTCTGTTATTATAAACCTCTAACGATGTCACTTTGTTAAAAATATCGGTTCGACTTTTCTCGGTTAAACCGGGTAAGCGGGCATTCCGTGAAATTTAACGTTTATAAACCTGCCTCTTGATGTGAACACAAGTGTTGGACAATTGGCTAAAAGTTAGACATTTGTTTTAAACAGAAATCCATATTGTCAATCGAACCTGCAACCTCACATAGCGTGTTAAGTTTTGTAACCAACTGTTTTACCACTGAGCTCCTGTGGCAGGTGATGTGAAATTGTTCAGATTGTCATGTCATGACTCCGTGTAGTCTAGGCTGCACGTGTTTTTATTCTCGCACACTTTGAGGTACTTCCTTTTATACCCCGATACACTGTATTGTTTCACTATAAGATATGTCGATGTTTTCGTATTTTCCTGGCATTTCTTGCATTTAGACGGTTAATAAGTAGGATATCAACTCCCCACTCGGTCTTGACGGAGAATGTAAGCCCGGGGAGTCGGGGAAATTGGGTCGGGCCTCCTCGTGGGGAGTTTATATCCATAACAACAACACTTGGGAACACATCACATGGTGTCTGACAACACGAACTGTGTGTTCAATGATTCCGATCTGCTAAATTAGCATTCCGGCTATAAGATGGAGATAAGCTGTCTGAAGTGTGCACTGGTTGATATCCTGGCAACAGATTTGATCGATGTCGTCAGCGTACATGTATGTTTTCCCTACACTGCGCACTGTTCGATGACCCAGGCAATTTAATTCAGCAATGTCATTTCCTCACACTACACCGACTCCCCTCATCTCACTAGCCATCGATCAACGTTGTGAGGAATCCGCATTACAACTGGATCCACTAATTCCACTACAACACGTGACTATTACATTACGCAATGAAATGAAGCGTGTGAGTTTCGATCCTTATATAATTGTTGTTCTGTATAAAATTGCATATCTGATTTCTATTCACCATAAAAAAGAATTTTTCAAATATTGTATCTTGTGTAAATATGTATTTTGAAACAAGTCAAGGTCACTGAATAAATCCATAACATCTGCTACAAAACGCTTTAGGTCCACAGATGTGTAGTCGCCGTTGTGCTTTCTCGCTCTAAATCAATATACCAGTATGGAAATTGACATCTTGTACAAAAATGTATTTTGTTTGAACACAATAAGGATGAAAGACAGAGGATTATATTACAAATTTCTTGCGATTTGAAAGCATCCAAATCGTACAAATCTCGGTGATGAGTGAGTGAGGGAGTGAGTGAGTGAGTGAATGAGTTGGGTTTAACGTCGCTTTTAGCCGTATTCCAGTTATATCACGGCGTGTCAGCTTAATGTGGGAATAATGTCCGACGTTTAGACGTTCACCACCTTGGCTCAAACCCACGAGCACGGGTATGGTTCTGACAAACCTTGAAACATAATCGTGGTGAACCAGGATTCGAACTAACAATAAAAGGTTTCTGGCGTGCCCAAGCGGCGCAACTCTGGACCTCCTCAGCACAAATCCCCAACACCCCTTACTCGCCTCCTTTACATGGATGACCTTGAACTTATTGCCAATGGAGACTCCTATCTAAAATAAAGATACTCCTTGTTGAGCCCTTCTCTCATGATATTGGCTTGTCCTTTGGACTCGACAAATGCAACATTCTTCATCTAAAACGAGGTAAGGTAGAAGAGGGTGTATCAGTCAGTTTACTTGGGGGAGGAGTTATTAACCGTCTCTTGGAAGGTCAGGCCAATAGGGATGCAGGTTATAGACAAACTACAGACTGCCTATATCAAAGACAAACTTCGGGTAGAATACAAATGTAGACTTAAAAAAAAAATCTGGAGTTCAGAGCTGAATACTCGCAATAAAGTCAAATCCACAAATACTTATGCTGTATCTGCCCTTTCGTATTCTTTTCGTGTTGTTGGAGGAAACAAGAAATTCAGAATGATAGTATTGCATTGTGCACTTTTGCACACATTATTTGTTTGATGATCCACTTGTAAAGCATGTGATGCCTCATGATGAAAACAAGACCTGCTACAGGTTTCTTAAACGAGCCGAGGATGTAGGACATAATCTCAATGTCAATGTTAATTTTGGTGATGGTTCTGCACTGCTGGACGAGTGTCAACCAAGCGAAGTGCCATTTCAAATCAGCCCAGTTTTAGGAAGACTATTCGAACGAGCACTGCATCGAGTTTATGTACAGTGTTTTGAGATGAACGGCAACCCTGGAGAGTCCTTCGCTTGGGTGAAGTCGGCTAGCCTGAACGATGAAACAGAAGGCTTTCTGTATTCTGCCAGTCACATCCCACTCGAAACCGCCAATGTGTGATTTTGCATCAAGATGTCAAGATGAAATGTAGATTATTCAATGAATTTAATGAGACTGTCCAACACATTGTCAGCGGATGTCCAGCTTTTGCACAAACACAGTATCTTAAGCGACATGATAGAGTGGCTCGATCTTGTTTTCTTCGCCATGCTTGTGGGTTTGACACAGAGGTCCATCCATGGTACGACCAAAAACATGTAGGGCGTCATGGAAAATGACAAATACAAAATTCTTTGGAATAGGTCCGTATACAGCCTCAGACGTATCCAGCCCAACAAACCTGATTTTGTCCTTTTTGATAAATCCATACAGCCCTTCTGACAATCTGGGTAATGCAGATGGCTGCAGTGTTGGGGAGTCTTCACATTCTCCGAAAAGTGCTTCCTGGGAGTAGTCCCATTCCCTGTCTGGGCCGCGTGTAGAGGGGGCAAGGGCCCTGAGCTGATGATGAACCAGCCGACTGAGAGGATCCTGCATTTTTTATTTTAATCTGTAACTACTACTACTACTACTACTACTACTACTACTACTACTACTACTACTTCTACTACTGCTGTAGAGGGCGTCATGGAAAATGATAAATACAAAATCCTTTGGAATAGGCCCATTTACAGCCTCAGACGTATCCAGGCCATCAAACCTGATCTTGTCCTTTTTGATAAATCCAATGAAATCATTATATCATTGAATTTTCTGTCCCCTTTGACACTAATGTGATTGATTGGGGAAAAACATGGCAAATAGGCGGACCTCGCTTTCGAAATGTCACGCTTGCATCCCAAGTACCAAGTTATCCGACTCCCCATTGTTCTCGGTGCCTTAGGTTTGGTATCTCCCAATCTGTTGACTGACATTGGGAGAGTACCCGGGTTTCCTACCAGGAATACAACCCTTCTGACAATCTGGGTAATGCAGAAGGCTGCAGTGTTGGGGAGTCTTCACATTCTGGACTGCGTGTAGAGGGGGCAAGGGCCCTGAGCTGATGATGAGCCTAACCAGACCAGCTTGACTGTGCCAGGATCCCCCAAACCCTCTTTGCTGCATTTTTCTATTTTAATCTGAAACTACTACTACTACTACTACTACTACTACTACTACTACTACTACTACTACTACTAATCCATTTACAAAGCGAGAGGTGATGATCAGGATACAACAAAACAACGAAGATAATGATTTTAAAACAATTTGTATTTCATGAGATCTCGATGCATTTTATGGTACAACTCAAACGTTGTCTTGTTCATTAAATAACAAACTTCACATACAACACAATGATATTAACTGTGACAGATGGGCATGACAACTGGTGACACGAATATCAATAAAGTGACAACTGTACCACTCAACAATCAATTCCTTGTATGTATAGCATTATCTTTGTTTGTATCAGATGAGTTGATCATTAAATGCATTGTTTCCTGTGGGTCAAGGACTGACACTTAATTGTTCGTGTTCGACTTATACGGGATTCAACACATCCGACTCAATCTTATTGTCGTCTGGCCTAGCCATCAGGCAACAGAAAGCAAACCCACCAGGTCGTGCATTTTATGTAAATAGCATTAATATTGTTAGAAATATAAACTGGAGCATGTCTCTTGAAAATATATACTGATTTCGAGACATTCGATAATTCGACACAACCCAGTTAAACTGGTTATGCATACAGTAAGAGTTTTCTGGGACCGAACAATGAATTTGTTACAAGGGATTCGAAACATTTGAGTTCGAGATAACGGGATTCGACTGTACCTGTGGTTTTACAAATCTATCGAATGTGACAATACAAACTTTAGCCTGGTAAAAAAAATGGAGAGATCGTTTTTCATCTCACTTTGGTAGTATCTAACGGATAACCTTTAAAAAAATATAACGTAATACACTTCGAAGTATTCAAACGCACTTTTACCACGAGTAGTACGTGTCACACTTCACAATATCAAACGAAGTACAACAAGAAGTAACTGGTATAATACTTTGAAGTATCAGAAAATGACCCACAAGAAGTAATACGCATCCTATTTCAAAGTTGAAAGGCAACAAAATAATGACCACTACGGATGTAACGAAGATAAAGGTGTGTTGTAGTTAACCTTAGCGATCACAATAATAACATGCACTAAATATTTCGAACTGATTTAGAGGTCTGTTGTAGATGACATTTTCGCAGGATTCATTTTATGATAGGTACTGCTCAGCTGTTCAATATTCGTTTACCCAAAGCATGAAACAACTAATTGAAGATCGATGCGTATTGTTGACTAATGTGTATCAATCACATTCCTTTCAATTCCCTTCACTTTATTTGATTGGACATGCATTTTGTATTTTTTACATGCAGTGTATATTGATTTGTGTGGAGAAAGTATGTTGTAGTTCCCCTTAGCGATCACATTAGTAACACACACTAAATATATCGAACTGATATAGAGGTCTGTTGTGGATGCCAAGTATTGGTGAGCTGTGCTTTGAATGGACCTAGAAAAGGGAGTCTTTGATATGCATGGATGACCAGTTGAGCAAATATTGGTAGTAACCCACTTCCTCCTCACTTGTAGAAAGTTGCTTTAATTTTAGCATTTACTATCACTATAAAACATGTGATTGACGAAATTCGTTACAAAAATTGAAAATATAACTTATTTTCATGTTATCTTCCGACATGTAATCATTATGTGATCAGAAAACCTTTCCCAGTGGTTCAAAGCATAGCCTCTGATTTTTTACAAAAGGATCGAAGTAGCATTTCTGAAAACTTAGTCCTCCGAAATACCCTTCTGGGCAAAATATATACAGCCACGAAGGCACGTTTTCTTGTGTTTAAAGTCGTTACAGCTTAATACCAAACTGTCGAACAGACGTGTGAGCACAAATAAAAAGAAATAATTTTTTAGAAACATATTTATTTCCTTCTGACTCATACATTTTCGTACTACACATAATATTACTACACAACGACTATCGCGAAAGATTTACTTGTCTCATGTAAGAAATGAAAGACAATATAGTGATACCCATTAATGATGGAATAAATAATATTATGTAGCTGTTGAGCTATGCTCAAACCGCAATCTACTCTATGACAATTGTTATCATACGACCAGACAAACTCTCCAACGAGGATCTGACCTCAGCTGGAGTACGATTTATATAACCAGTCAATAAACCACATCGTCTAGAAAGGTCATTAATTTCAATATTTATCTTAATATGAAACGTCCAGAAATATATCTGTACAAAAGTGCATAATACTTATATGTTGATGCCAATGTCATAAACCTTTATGGCATGCATAATCCGAATTTGTCTGACTTTAAACGTTTGTATTCTGCTCATAGGATAAAATAAAAACTATAGATTTTATTTGCAGACGTCTTCTCGTCTGGCGAATATGCTTTAAAGGTCTGAGTTCACAAGGAGGATACTAAGAATATACGAAAAGCCACACTACCCCTCTTGCAAATTATAAGTTTGCCCACAAACTGAGATATCGTTATCACAAAAGACTGAATGTGGTTAATCGTATTGAACACTTTAACTTTTTTTTAAAGTATTATGCAATACTTTCGCTCTTCGAGGCCTCATTGTCAACACTATACACCGGGTGTCATGAGCTCGGTAGAGTATGCATGTACAACCACAATTTACTTCATTGCACAGTACCAGTGTATATAAATAATGGTTAATACACCTATTCACTTGTTAACATACCACATCAGGGATGTAAGGAGTGAAAATATTCAGAGAAAATATATACAAATTTCATACCCTCTGAACATTTGAAACAAACAACCCGATTATTTATATATAACATGGTTAGTATTTTACTTTATCGAAGATATGTATCTGGGTGCAAATGTTAGCATGGTTTGACACCGCTTTCTTTTTCATTTGTCATACTTTACAACCCGATGCCAATGTTAACATCAAAGCATTTAGACCATTTTTAGAATAGTAATATTTTTCGTGTAACTCACATTTCGAAAAATTAGGCACGTGTACTGCAATTTTGTGTATCAGAATCTTACACAAATGGACGAACGTTTGTCTGATACTGGAGAAATGAATAAAAGTATATTTATTGATCACATCTTATAGACTTTATATTTTAAATACACACTATTTGTGCCTACGTTAAAAATGCAAGTGTTTATAGCAGCAGAAACATTTGGTCAAATAGAATGGACAGAACTACTTGCATTTTCGGAAACTACATTTTCAAAAGTATTTTATTACAAGCTTTGCTTGAAATTAGGACTTCCTGAACAGTTTCAAAACGATGATATATTTCACTAAAACGTTAAATGTATGTACCTATATACCTTATTCACATAAACAATAGTCTTTCTTCAATCAGTATAACAACCTCAGATAAATGTTCACTCTGGTTTCAGAAGGATATCTATACTTGATGTTCAAAACCGGTACCAAGCTACCATTATAAATGTCGACTTATGATTTCGTTGTTCGTGGATTCATATACATGTGTGTATGATACATGGTCATTATGAGGAGAATGTTACATGGACATAATGAGGAGTATGATACATGGACATTGTGAGGAGTATGATACATGGACATTGTGAGGAGTATGTTACACGGACATTATGAGGAGTATGTTACATGGACATTATGAGGAGTATGATACATGGACATTGTGAGGAGTATGATACATGGACATTGTGAGGAGTATGTTACATGGACATTGTGAGGAGTATGATACATGGACATTGTGAGGAGTATGTTACATGGACATTATGAGGAGTATGTTACATGGACATTGTGAGGAGTATGTTACATGGACATTGTGAGGAGTATGATACATGGGTATGATGAGGAGTATGATACATGGACATTGTGAGGAGTATGTTACATGGACATTATGAGGAGTTTGATTCATGGGCATGATGGGGAGTTTGAGACATGGGCTTCATGGGCGGATACAGCTCTTGAAAAGGGGGTGCACACTTAAGATCTATTGTCTTTGGTGGTAATTTATACATGGGCTGGGTCAGGCGTTTGATTCATGGGCATGATGAGGAGTTTGAGACATGGACATTATGGGGAGTTTGATACATGGACATTATTGGGAGTTTGATACATAGGCTTGATGAGGAGTTTGATAGATGGGCTTGATGAGGAGTTTGATACATGGGCATCATGAGGAGTTTGATACATGGGCTTGATGAGGAGTTTGATACATGAGCTTGATGAGGAGTTTGATACATGGGCTTGACGAGGAGTTTGATTCATGGGCATGATGAGGAGTTTATACATGGGCATTATGAGGAGTTTGATACATGGGCATGATGAGGAGTTTGATACATGGGCATTATGAGGAGTTTGATACATGGGCTTGATAAGGAGTTTGATACATGGGCATGATGAGGAGTTTGATACATGGGCATTATGAGGAGTTTGATACATGGGCTTGATAAGGAGTTTGATACATTGAGTGAGTGAGTGAGTGAGTATGGTTTAACGCCGCTTTTAGCAATATTCCAGCAATATCACGGCGGGGGGACACCAGAAATGGGCTTCACACATTGTACCCATGTCGGGAATCGAACCCGGGTCTTCGGCGTGACGAGCGAACGCTTTAACCACTAGGCTACCCGACCGCCCCGTTTGATACATTGGCTTGATGAGGAGTTTGATACATGGGCTTGATAAGGAGTTTGATACATGGGCTTGATAAGGAGTTTGATACATGGGCATGATGAGGAGTTTGATACATGGGCATGATGGGGAGTTTGATACATGGGCATGATGGGGAGTTTGATACATGGGCATGATGGGGAGTTTATACATGGGCATTATGAGGAGTTTGATACATGGGCATGAAGAGGAGTTTGATACATGGGCTTGATAAGGAGTTTGATACATGGGCTTGATAAGGAGTTTGATACATGGGCTTGATAAGGAGTTTGATACATGGGCATGATGAGGAGTTTGATACATGGGCATGATGGGGAGTTTGATACATGGGCATGATGGGGAGTTTGATACATGGGCTTGACGAGGAGTTTGATACATGGGCTTGATAAGGAGTTTGATACATGGGCTTGATAAGGAGTTTGATACATGGGCATGATGAGGAGTTTGATACATGGGCATGATGGGGAGTTTGATACATGGGCATGATGGGGAGTTTGATACATGGGCTTGACGAGGAGTTTGAAACATGAGCTTGATGAGAAGTTTGATACATGGGCTTGACGAGGAGTGTGATAAATAAATATCACAAGGAGTATTATTGTGCATGGACAAGATGAGGAGTATGATACATGGATATGAAAACAAGTATGGTACAATGAATAGTATGATGAACAAGGTGAGGTGCAAGGGATGTAGCATGTATAAGAACGACCAGGATAAGAATCAACATGTACTCCCTTGACAAAGAAGAATATAAATAGCTCTCTATATATAATTGTAAAGGCAGGAATATATGTATACGTTTCAATTTCATTTGAATGCATTCGAAAACATATCACAAAACATTAGGGCAACTAAAATGTACAAAATGGTTCAATTTGCAAACACAAGTATTTGATTCCCCAGTCAAAGACAATATAACCATTACACCCTTTTCGGATAAATATTATAGACAAGATAATCATTCAGAGGGAAACTCGAAATGAGAGGAATGTCGATGTTAGTGGGAATGCTAGCAATGGAAAGCCAATTCACTAACGGGTTATTAATTTTCTTAATAAAAACTGTGTTTTCTGGGGTCGGTCAACCGTGTGTTAATGGAATGAGTATTGACTACCGGGACAATAAATGCACTTGCCACTTAAACGCCCGTTTCAATTATCAAGAGGAACGTCTCATGCATGGTGAAGTTATCATGCATACACAGCCAAAATACATTCCGTACCCATTTGAAACAAGGTACAGACTAATTACATGTTGAACAGTTCCGAAAACGTGATAGATAAGATTCCTATGTACACACGAAAAACACCCTTTTCTTTATTTAAATATATCCCGAACGTCCATAAATCTCTGGAACTATAGAACTATTTAGAAAAATGTATCAGCTACCTTCAATACCTGCTAATCAATTGGTGCTATAACATCTTGTTTTAACAGTTGTAACATGTAATGTAAAGAAGCAGATGGTGCGAATGAAAGAGTTGTCAAATACTATTGTCATGGAGCTATATAGTCAAGTGATTGGATAATCTACACGTATATCGATTTCATATCATGTGACGCAAAGGAAACACGGGGTGTTCTTAATTTTTCATGCTGACTTAACGTCATTAAAGTTGATTTTTTGGATAAAATGAAATATTTTTCAACTGAAAATCAAAAATAAAATAAGTTCAACTCAGCGGTATAATCATTTTTGCCCCTATTGAAAAAAATGGCAATTTTATATGGAACTATACAGTCACCGGTGCTAAACAGTTTTCCATGTGCATATTTACATATCCCTGGAAAGATCCATTCCCTTTCATGTCATCCATTCCCTTCCACGTCATAGATACACACATTCGAAAATGAACTTTGAAAGACAAAATACAATATTTCATAGTATTCCGATAGTATGGTAATAAACATGTGTACATTACATCTTGGGACATTGGATAACATGTCCTCTTGTCGCTCACACCATTCATTATATAAAAGATCAATATTGAAAATAAATTATTCAAAATATCGATCACTCATCACAGTATCATCATGCAGTGAATATATTATATGCATGTCTTTTGAGCAATTCATGTTGTAGCAAGATGTTGCATGTTGAAATATAAACTAAATTACTACATTGTTGACCAATCTTCCTTTGAAAGAAGAATTCTTCGTAATGCATTTACTGATATGAAGATTCGAATTAATTATTGTGATATAGACAACTTGCAAAATATTTGTTTTTAGGTATTTCATCTTACCCACTGATATAATTGAATGACTTTTTTATATCGTAAATTCGTAGCTATTTAATATTTAAAAAAATAATTTATTGATGAACATCTTGATATAAAGAGATATAAATACAATAGGTGTACGAATCTCATATGAATACAAGATTGTAAATGGCAACTAAACAACAAATATCAATGTTATGATAATGGTTCTACTTGAAATTAAAACCATACGTGTCCTCTTTATGTACATTTTCAACTATATATTTGTTTAAAGTCGTAAAGCGTTTTAAAAAGTTCTTTAATATTTCTCAGCTTTCTAACTAGACAAACACTCGTTGTGTTGTCTCTTTGAAACACCCACGGAGAGACAGAGTATAGTTTCATCAATAAAGATGTTAGAGAACATGCACTTACATGATGTTTACGTAGGTTTAAAATTATATTGAAATGGAAGAGAGCGGCCACGTGGTGATGTTAAAAACAATAACAAAATAGAAATGGTTTAATCTGTTATGAAAATGACCATTAGGGAACAACCATTTGAAATTGGTGCGAGTGGGAGGATGAGGAATGGGAGTGACATTGATAGAGAGAGGCATCTCATGTTTTCTTTTACTGCTTCAAGAACATACAAACAAATTGTTTTGAAACTAACAGACAAACTTTTTTTCAGACAACACACTTTGTTCCAACACATCCAGTGAACAATATTTATACAAATTATTTTTTTTCGATATAACTCGAAACAAACTCACTATTCACCCATCTTCCAAATCCACCCCTCCCATCCACCCCAAATGATCGGTGTCTTAACATTTACAAATGGATAGGGATCTAGCATTTTCCCACACCTACACTGCATTGTGAATGTAGGTAAGTCGCAGGGGCGGACCGAGATCATTATGCAGATTTCACAGAGTAAGTTATAGGACATCTTGCCATCAACGATGGACACCATATGCCTTATAGGCCACATAAATGAACACGGGAAGTAAATCCATGCTGTTATTGGAATGCACAGTTACGGATCATGTATGCAGAGTCACCAAAGACCGATCGGCCATACGAGAGGCACACACCAGGATCTCAGAAGGACTGTCCACTGAGGAGTCATCATCCAGATCCGCATCACAGTCATTATGATGTTCAGGGACGGGGGAAATGTAATGGATGTCTACAGTATTCTTCGTTGAACATATTTCACTGATGTCACTGTCCGATATTCCAGAATCCCCGGGTGTTTCTCTGTGAGGGGTAATCACAAAACGGATTTGACTCTCTCGGCTATTGTCCGATCCGGAACCGGAAGCGGAACCAGAGGACGAGCTGCCAAGGAGATGCTCTAGCTGCTTCTTACGCTCTCGCGTGAACTTATTGCGGTTGATCTCACTCTGATGTCTGTGGATGCTTTCCTCTATTGTTTCTCGCTGCTCGTCAATCTTCTCGGGCATCATGTATGCTGAAGTGGAAATTAACACAGAATTTTATCCATAATCGAGTGAAATGGGTTTGACTGAAAGTATTCAGCTATAGGCGGCAGCAAAATGTAGGAGACAGTTCTTCATTAATGGTGAAACCTACGAGTTCGGGTATGTTAGTATGTTTTTTGACAATGCATGGATCAGAACCAAGGGTGACCCTTACATTCGAATCCACGAATAGCGGATTCTGCCTCGGCCAAGTTGAACAACTCTACACAGCGAATGGATCAGTATTTCCTTTTCGGAGAAGAACTTGAAAGCTAGGCAAAGATTTTTTTATCCAAACTTAGTACATGCATTAGCCAGGGGCTGAAGTGGTGTCTTTTGCTATTGTAGGGGGCGGGGGATTTGTCATCTCCTGATGACTCTTGTACATGTATTTTTTTGAGGTAGTTGTAAATAGCCTCAAGCAATCTCCCTTAGATCAGTGTCCCTGGGCATTCCAGGGCATGATAGCCATGTAAGGATGCCCAAACACAAATATCTAATTAAGCTTTAAACAGCGCAATTTTCCAACATTTCAGGGGATATGTCGCTGAATTTATATCTTTATAATTTCCATTCCTTCATTTCTACGTTATCGCTGTATTGAAATACATGGTTGGTCTTACCTTTGAAAGACCTCGAAGAAAATTTCTGAAATTTGAAATTGAAAACACTTAACATTATTTCATGGTAACACTTTTCACAAGAACAAGAACAATAACAACAATGATACGAAACATTGTTTTCACAATATACAATTACGTGTATTATAATGTTAAATTTGGCTGCATGTGTACATTGCTATTGACATGTACCCAACATGTATCACTATTTCAACAATGGTTATGCAACACATGCAACAGTTTATTCGTATAAAGGTAATAACATACTTATGCATCAGAATGGTTTGATGTTTGTTTGTGTGTTGTTTACTGTCGCACTGAGCAATGTTCCAGCTGCCTGTAAATAATCGAGTCTAGACCAGACAATCCAGTGATCGATATTATGAGCAACAAGGTACGATGACATGCAATTAACCAATTCACCGAGGCTGACCTCCCGATCCATTAGTCGCCTCTACCGACAAACACGGGGCTACATACATGTAAAAATATTTGAAGTGAATGGCAACTAGAGAACTACAAGCTGTCTTACCCGTGTCATTTCTGACTTCTCCCCAGATCTGTTCAACATGAACACAAGGGACAAGCGAATCTAAAACATAGAAAGGATCGTGATGAATATTACGCACACACATTCGTCTTTTTAACAGTTATCAAGAAACATGTATCATATACTGAACAACAAAGGTTTCTGTGACATTGAATAAGATTTAATGCAAAAGTTTATGTTTTTTACCAAATCTGAAACAATTTCGGTTTGCAACAGAAAAAAGACTCCTGTAAGTGTTCAAATGGTTTAAGTTGCCATAATGACTTCAGAAAATGCGTGATTTCATAAAAAAACATGAACGTGCCAAATGTCAATTTACAAATCAATAGCGTGTGTGTCCACCTCTAGTTGCGATGCAAGCAATACATCTTCGTCTCATGGAATGGACCAGGCGTCGCACAAAGTCCTGTGGGATATCTGTCCGTATCTGCTGGAGCACGTTTCGAAGTTCCTGGAGTGTCTGTGGAACACGTGGTTGACGTCGAAGGCGCCGATCCATCTCATCCCACATGTGCTCGATTAGTGAGAGATCAGGGAAGCGAGCCGGCCAGGGGATGACATTCACATTGTTTTGTTGAAGAGAATCCTGAACAATTCGAGCAATATGAGGCCGGGCGTTGTCATGTTGAAAGGTAATGCCTGGGCTATGACGACGCAAAAACCGGTAGAACAACAGGGCCGATGATCTCGTCGCGGTAGCGCTGTCCATTGAGATTTACCTCTACCACTATCAAACGGGTCCTCTGTCTTGCTGTAATCCCACCCCACACCATAACGCTGCCGCCCCCGAACCGATCTTCTTCCATGACACAATGATTGACGTAACATTCACCTCCACGTCGGTACACTCGAATCCGTCCATCGCTGTGGCTGAGGTGAAAACGAGACTCGTCAGTGAAAAGAACTTGTCCGAACTGCATTGCTGTCCAGCGTAGACGCTGTCTGCACCACTGTAGACGTGCTTGACGGTGGTTTCCTGTCAAAATGGGACGTCTGGCGGGTCTTCTGGCAACAATCCCTGCACATCTGAGGCGGCGACGCACGGTTTGTGAAGATATTCGTCGAAGGCCAGGGATGCTTCTTGCAGTCACTGTTGCTGTCTGGAATCGATTTCGTAGGTGTGTTGTTCGAATCCAGTTGTCTTGTCGATTATTGGTTACGCGTGGCCTGCCAGGGTGGTCTCTGACTGCATTCGTCTGTGCCAACGTTGCCATAAACACAAAATGGTGTTTCTGTGGACGTTAAATTGTCTTGCAACATCACGTTGACTCGATCCTGCTCCAAGCATACCAATGGCTCGCAGACGCTGATTTTCGGACAGGCGTGGCATTTCGTAATTTTGAATAATTGCGTAATTTTGTTGTTTTTCTGAGTGGTTGTTGTCAGCACGAGGCTAAACAATGCATATGGAATCCCGGTAAAACGCATGTTTTTATACCCATAAATATGTGAAATGCATGGGGCTTGCATAAAAGTCAACTTTTGCATGGATTGCATGCTTTTCTGTAGCAGTTGGGTTTTTGTGACTTGATTCCAATATACAATACTGTTATACAATATTGAAAACCAAATTTTACTTGTTTGAAAAATACCCTAAGATATTGGTGTCACAGGAACTTTTGTTGTTGAGTATATATCTTATGGTAAAGGGGTCACTGGTGACCAAATCGGCTAAGCGCAGCAATTCACATTGCAGAGTTGCTTCACTTAGCCGCGTCAGGATCCGCTGATCTTTGGCTCGAATCTAAGATTCGCCCCGAATATGATCGTTGGTTTGCAAGCACCAACGCCATGTATGTGGGTTTAAGAAAGTCGTTAAATCTACGATCTGCGTGGCTTAGGACTTTCCTCCCACATTAGGGCGTTGTGTTTCAGACATATTCTTCGTATCTGCGTTAAACCACCTCACTCATACAACAACATACCTGACGCTTCATTAGGACAAGAAAGCAAAACACTGTCGTCCCCTGAAAACGAAAAAATGTACCATCTTAACATATGTAAGGAAGTACATAGTGAAAGCTCTACTCGATATGAATAAATATACATAACTTTACGCAGTGGTAAACGAGATAACATTCGAATGGTCGAGTAACTTTAAAATACCATGAACAATATCATATACCCATCCCTTTCCTACATGCGCCAGACACAAGGTCGAGAGATGTACACGAAGGCACAGTTCGTTAAGTCCCATACACCCCGCTAAACAGACATAATACGAATTTATCATTCAGTTCAAAAGTCTCAAGAGTTCTTTTGCTGAAATACGTGTGTGTGACGATTACACATCTCTTGTGACCTCCACTGGACTTCCAGCATGGTAACTCAAATGTGCGAACAGGAACAATTCTGACATGACTAGCTAGTGACATCACATCAAACATTATGATGTCATATAAACGATATTCGTACAGGCTGGTGGCCGACTTACAGGTGTTTTTTAAACAAGGGGCGACTGGTCAGTCAGATAGCAAGATTCTTTAAACTGTAATGATAAATATATGATGACGAATCACTTACTAAAGTTATCTCAACAAGAAGGAAAATGTACAGAAAGGAAGTGTGCGTATTGTGCTCTATGAAGGTCCCGGACACACAGGACATCGTCAGCAGGACCTGCAGGACTCCACACTTCCCTGCAGTGAGCCTGCGGAGGGATAATAATACAACTTGAACACTTACAACAACACTGACACTTAATATAATAGCGATTACCGAGACTCTAGGTTATTGCACCCCACTGCTGGTATTAGCTGCCATGCACAATACTTTGTCGAGTAAGAGTTTGTTCATTTAATGTTGCTTTCTATGAAAGCAAGAGCCGAATATTGTGTCAGAATATTTTGCCCAGAAGGTCTTTTTTTATGTAACACCTCAGGATAATTTATATTTTTCTGAATGTTGTGGAATGAACTATTTAAAAAAACAACACCCCAGACACACACATGTTCCCAGCCCCTCACAACCCACCCCACTAAGAAGATCAAATAGTCAGTACCATTAGCATTGCATGGCCAATATATAACTCAACGTCATCAAGCCATATTACGAATTTGTAAGCCACGATACTCGCAACTTTAATAACACTGTAGTAGATATATATGCATTGGTTTTATCATGGACGCATACGTACATATGTTTCCTTCTATCTTTATATCTCCATTCCTCTTTCCATCCCCGCACAGTGATGACACTGACTGTACAGAGAGTTAACTGGGCCTAAAGAAAGAAGCATAAGTAAAACTGTACACAGATTAAACTGAGCTTGATTCATCGCATGAGTAAAACCGTGCGTCATGTAGACTAGGCCTACAGACAGAAGATATAGCATGTGTAGAACTGTACAGAGATTAAACTGAGCTTGATTCATCGCACGAGTAAAACCGTGCGTCATGTTGACTAGGCCTACAAACAGAAGATATAGCATGTGTAGTCATGTTGACTAGGCCTACAGACAGAAGATATAGCATGTGTAGTCATGTTGACTAGGCCTACAGACAGAAGGTATAGCATGTGTAGTCATGTTGACTTAGCCTACAGACAGAAGATATAGCATGTGTAGTCATGTTGACTAGGCCTACAGACAGAAGATATAGCATGTGTAGTCATGTTGACTTAGCCTACAGACAGAAGAAATAGCATGTGTAGTCATGTTGACTAGGCCTACAGACAGAATATATAGCATGTGTAGTCATGTTGACTTAGTCTACAGACAGAAGATATAGCATGTGTAGTCATGTTGACTAGGCCTACAGATAGAAGATATAGCATGTGTAGAACTGTACATAGGTTAAACTGAGCTTGATTCATCGCATGAGTAAAACCGTGCGTCATGTAGACTAGGCCTACAGACAGAAGATATAGCATGTGTAGAACTGTACATAGATTAAACTGAGCTTGATTCATCGCACAAGTAAACTTGACCTAGGGGAAGAATATAAAGCATTTGTACCACTTAAACATGGTAACAAATGGTAACCAAAACATGCCGTTGAAATATTTTATAAGGGTATATTATTATGACAATATCCTTTGTTACGATTCATCTGTAGTGTTGTCAAAAGACAGGAAATTGTCCCACAAAACGATGTTAGTGCCCGTTACTGGAACGTGATGAAATACTTTCTATCAGATATGCCTAAACGTGTTTGACTAGCTTGTCTACATTAGCAATCTTAAAATGGAAATAATTTAAATTAATATTGAGTAATATATATGGACCTTTGCAACGACGTTGCCAAAGCTTTATATTAGTTTATAAGAAAGTATGTGGAATTGTATTAAATACATAACGTCAGCGTCAGAAAATAACCAGTCTCGATTATCCGCCGATACAGAATCCATTGGGATTGACACCAACCCAACTGAACCGAATATTCCAGTATCGATGATGTTTATTCTGGACTATTTTTTTATATTGAATTTGTCGCTTAGGTTCACGTTTTTCACTTTTGTCTTTTCTTGTGACGAGATACGTGCATGAATGCCACTAAGGTAATGGCGTATGAAATTCAGTTTCGTGTAGGATTCTAGAACAGATTCGGAAAGTACAGTGTTGCAAGCATCTGACTCACCACGACTAGAACTATAACAGGCACAAGGAAGGAGTAGAAATGCCAGTGAGAGTCCGACAACCAGCACCTGGAATAAAGGTAATCATAAAAGTCATATGACAAACATAATCCTTTCAGTTTAGCATCACGTTCACCCCACAAATATAAACCCTTTAGGTCAGCATCACGTTCACCCCACAAACATAAACCCTTCAGGTCATCATCACGTTCACCCCACAAACATAAACCCTTCAGGTCATCATCACGTTCACCCCACAAACATAAACCCTTCAGGTCATCGCCACGTTCACCCCACAAACATAAAAACTTCAGGTCATCATCACGTTCACCCCACAAACATAAACCCTTTAGGAAATCGCCACGTTCACCCCACAAACATTAAACCCTTCAGGTTATCATCACGTTCACGTCCAAACATTAAACCCTTCAGGTTATCATCACGTTCATGTCACAACCATTAAACTTTCAGGCTATCATCACGTACATGTCACAAACATTAAACCCTTCAGGTTATCATCACGCTCACCCCACAAACATTAAACCCTTCAGGTTATCATCACGTTCGCGTCACAAACATTAAACCCTACAGGTTATCATCACGTTCATGTCACAAACATTAAACCCTACAGGTTATCATCACGTTCACGTCACAAACATTAAACCCTTCAGGTTATCATCACGTTCACCCCACAAACATTAAACCCTTCAGGTTATCATCACGTTCATGTCACAAACATTAAAACCTTCAGGTTATCATCACGTTCACCCCACAAACATTAAACCCTTCAGGTTATCATCACGTTCGCGTCACGAACATTAAACCCTTCAGGTTATCATCACGTTCATGTCACAAACATTAAACCCTTCAGGTTATCATCACATTCACGTCACAAACACATACCCCCGTGTTATCATCACGTTCATAACACAGCCATGTCACTTACATTTGAAAGCACCATTTTGAATTGAGCTATGTCATGGCATCTCATGGGTGATAATGTATTATTGCCAATGTGCCACGGGGCACTCGCTAACAGTTTTGGTGTGTTAGTGAGCCATCAAGAATAAAATTATTGATCCATCTTTGATCTCAGTGAGGATCTTCACTACGAACTAGATAATTATCAGTTGTAATTTAGATAGTCCCCCCCCCCCCCCCTTCCTTTTCACTGAGATTGATAATATTCCCTTCAATTTCAGAATGCCCAAGCTTGTTTTATGAATTATACAGTGCATCAACCGGGTTCATATTGTCATCTTCGTCCATGTGTTTGTCCATCAAGATACACTCACCTTTTAGCAAACATCTGGTATTATCACTATTTGATAGTGATTCATAAACACATGCACATAAAATAGTCGGAATCGTAAATAGTAGATTTGTTATGAAAAAGAAAACTCTTTGTCGCTTTTATCTAGTGTTGAGAGACATCCTCATTTTTCCATTCATTAAATACTCATCATAAAAAGTGAGTGAGTATTTGTCTCTTTATTAGACTTGAATGATGACTATCAGTCGAGCTAATGATTGTTGTTGTTGCACAGACACAATGTCTCAGTTACGCACATGCGTCTACATTTCGATTGTTCTTGTTGCACAGACACAATGTCTCAGTTACGCACATGCGTCTACATTTCGATTGTTCTTGTTGCACATACACAATGTCTCAGTTACGCACATGCGTCTACATTTCGATTGTTCTTGTTGCACAGACACAACGTCTCAGTTACGCACATGCGTCTACATTTCGATTGTTCTTGTTGCACAGACACAATGTCTCAGTTACGCACAAGCGTCTACATTTCGATTGTTCTTGTTGCACAGACACTATGTCTCAGTTACGCACATGAGTCTACATTTCGATTGAAAATGGGAGCCTGACTTTGGATAATAGTTCCCCTTTAAAAACAAACAGGAGTGCGAGAAAATATATGCTAACAAATATCAATATAAAGCTGAGCCACATTAACAAATTAACAAACGCGTTCATCTCTGAGTTCAAGACACTGCGTCTATCTAACAATCTATTGATGTTTCCATCTATCAACAATCTCAATCTAGCTTACACTACACTCTTTGCCATGCTTCATAAAGTTTAAAGAGGGGAGCAATAGGCAAAAAACGTGGCCTTTTAATTTTCTTGTTTTATGACGAACAGGAAGAATAAATCTTTTGAAGTGTGAAAGTGATGAAACGATAGAAGTCGCCATGTGTTTCAGGCGCTACAATGTGTCCAGTTTTTAATAACGCCAAATCTATCACAAACGGATCGAATTGTCAGTCTTGGTTGAGGTACTTTAAAAAACAACCCCATCATGTTCACTGGAGCAAAGTCAGATATTTAGATGATGTAGTATAGTCACGATATACTTCAATTAAAAATACATTGCAAGCTGACACTCTTTTTAACTTTGTCTTTATGCTTCAATGCTATGGTTAGCAGTGTAGTGTTAGAGAGTGTCAGAAAGTTTTTTTTAACATCTAAACCCGTGGGTGTTAGAATTGGACCTCGGCAACCTCCTGGTCTTATGAGGCCACCAAATGGATCAGGTGGTCAAGCTGGATTGTATGGTCCAGATTGGAATATTTTCAAAATGCCGTCAAAAAGTGGGAACATTGCTGAGTGCGGCGTTAAACACTCACGCGAGAATCATCTATAGTCGTCTCAGCGTAATGTACACGCCTTTTCCTGACATAATGGTCTACAACCATGTTTGATACAGTGGTTTGCATAATGTGTTTGTCTATCATAAAATAACAATTTTTCCTGTAGTGTTTTAATAACTTCGTAGCTTCTTGTTTATTCGGACTAGTTTCCGTTACAAAGGTCTAACAGACTTATATTTCACTTATTCCTCGTTTTTTTACAATCATTTAGCGGATTCTATTTAATTGGTAATTTAATAACTTCGTCGCCTATTTAAGCTTCTTATTTCGTTTGCAGTTGTTTAGTTTCCACAGGAATAAATATTCATGAATATTCTGCGTATCAGTCTACCAGACTGCATTATAGGCGGATATGATAATATGATGACAGCGGCCATTACACTTTCACAAAGACAAAAACGCATACTCCGACCTGAATTACACATACGTTTTTTTCCCCTGGTCAGATTGTCATGTGCCAGAAAAGAATGTCATGACACCTTATACGCGCCATACCTACCACTCGTGACAACTTTCGTCGTAACCATATCTCTCCGAGGCGACAACGACACTCCCGGTTGCCAAAGTAGGGATTCCTGGAAGGAGACAGAAACATGAGTGAGTGAGTGAGTATGGTTTTACGCCGTTTTTAGCAATATTCCAGAAATATCACGGCGGGGGACACCAGAAATGGGCTTCACACATTGTACCCATGTCGGGAATCGAACACGGGTCTTCGGTGTGACGAGCGAACGCTTTAACCACTAGGCTACCCGACCGCCCCTACAGAAACATGAGGCAGAGGCATGTATTGTATGAACTGGAACGTGGGGTATTACCTACTTAGTATTTCACTTATAACACAGGGTGGTAGCTTAGTGTGGGAGTGGGGTCAGGTAGACCAGTGGTTGAAGCGTCGAAGCCGACGACCCGTGTTCAATTTCTCCCCGATTCCATTCACAATGTGTGAAGCCCATTTCTGGTCCTCCCCGCTGCTGGAATATTGCTAAAAGTTAAGCGGCGAAAAACAATATTCACTCACTCAATGAACAATCCTTCGGCGAAAAATGGAGTGATAGTGTTTCAAGATTTCACTGAAAACCGCATACAGACGTTTCCATCCGTATATAGTTCGTACCACACTACAGTCAGTAGGAAATGTGTGTAAAATTAGACCTGGAGCAACGTTTATTTATGGGTTAAGAGTGCCGCCAGACTGTGTTGTGTAATGTATAGTCACATGAATTTGTGAAACTAGTAAATCATGTTGCAATATAGATTCTTCACATTGCTGGCCGAGATAACCTATCTTCTACAGCCACCCGTTGATTTCTATTTCTATTATCATTTTTTCAAAAAAGATTCAGTTTTATGCTGACATGAAAACAAACTAACGTCTAGTAAACTGCCGGGCAAAAGAAAGCATACACCGATACCTGACTGTGGCTAACAATGAAACAAACAAGCAAATGTCACGCCTAAGAACCGAGTTCGATTCTTCACATGGGTACAATGTGTGAAGCCTATTTTTGGAGTCCCCCGCCGTGATATTCGTGTTGTATTGCTAAAAGCTGCGTAACACTATACACGCTCACTAATGTGGCAGGACATTACAAATGGATTTGTTGACGTATAAGTAAACTGCCGAGCAAGAGAAAGTATTCACTTGAAAGTTCACACTTCTCTCGCTCAGTACCATGTACTCTGACAATGCGGACTCCATGTTCCTTGAGACGCCATGTACATGTCACCTGTTGTGAGATACTCATTGATATAATGCATGTTATAGCGTCTAGGACTCCCGTATCAAATACATCGAATAACTATTTCTTTTTTGTTTCATTTTAGACACCGTCAAACATACTTTCCGGCAGTTAATGCATAGGAGAGCAGCACGGATATGGTGCTGACTAAAGATGAACAAACGCGAATCTCGGATTTGAACCCAGTATCGATTATTCGTTTGTTGTTCAATAGCCCAGCTCTATGACGGTTGCCTGTACATAACCGACTATGGACGAGGGAAACATGTGGCTGATTTTATGAGCGACCTCTAGGTACGATGGCATGCAATTAACCAAGTAAACGAGCATGTACACCTGATCTATGTAGTCGCCTCTTCACACAAACATAACATGATCCCTGTGTTAGACATCTAAGACGCACAGCTTATTAAAGTGACAAATTTGCGACTTTGTTGCCTAAATTACTGAGGCCTTCCATGGCTATCACATAGTCTCTCTCTTCCTCCCCTCACACTATGCAGGCGATTCTGTGCTTCTATCACGGATTATCAAAGCAACATGCATACACAGCGAATCGAGTACGCGAATGAATAGCGTTTTGCGCGCGGTAGGAATTTCCAGTTATGTGACTCTGGCATGTGAATAAACAGCCAGACCAGTGGTTAACAACATGAGCACCGATCCCTGTCGACATTGTAACCACCTGATCCTCATTTTAGTCGACTTTCACGACATGTGGCCGCACGGTGGCACACTCGTCTAAGGCGTCGCTATTAACTGAGCAGAGATGCGTCCGTTGGGCACACAAGAAACCTATGATTGTGGGTTCGAATCCCGGTTCGCCCTGATTATGTTTCTAGTTTGTCAGCACCATACCCGTGCTCGTGGGTTATTGGAACTATGACGAATTATGGCATCCATTTAAAAAAAAACCCCATTCAAAACATACTGAAGTGATAAACTAATGTCACAAATATCAAATATAAAATATCTTTACCATTTAAGGTGTATGGCACTGGTTATTGATTAAAATGAGACTTCGTCGAAAATGTGTCAGTAAAGCACAGTAAAAACATAGATATTCAACATAATATTTTTTACTCATATAACAGATTATTATTTGGGGCATTTTCACGTGCCAACCAACTCACATAAATTTGTGTGAAGTAAATTGCAATCAATAATTTCGCAGCGAAATTGACAGATTGAGGCACAGACATCATAGCTTGAATTTCTTTATCAGAAAACAAGATTCCCTCATTAAGTGCAGATAACAGGGATCAACATTGCCCATCGTTGAACATATTCCGCTTTATGACTTTCGTGTCGCTCCTAAAGAAAGTGTTCCTAATTACGCTGCACATGTTCGGTGGTTGCCATAGAAAACTGCAAAAGAAACATTTCTTCTGACAGCCGATGGCACTTAACTTACGTAAAATGTCAAAGTTGGAATAAAGTTGAAGTCCATTGGTTAGAAAACTTATCAATATTTCTAAGAGTCAGGTACAATTTGCACCCGGAGTATGGAACGTCATCATTTTCGTTTGAAAGTAATATATATTTCGTAAGAACCTACGGCCATCTTCTTAGTTGTAATTGTTAGATCATACTTTTGTTTGTGTGGCGGGGCTGTTCTCAATCGATTTAAAGCATGTAAAAGAGTGAAAGCTATGTTTGAGTTTCCGTCTTATGAGCGGGTGAGTGAAAATGCGAGAGGTATCACGAGAAACATGACAAGTGTATTGGTGCACGCCTGTCTGTGGCAACATCAGTGGGGCAATGAACCGACAGGGGAGACAACTGGTGTTGAGTATGAGTGTGTGAATGAGTGAGTGAACGAGAATGAAAGTAGTTAGCGCTGCTTTGAACAGTATTCAGTTACATTAAGATGTAGCAGCTTAGTGTGTGAAGAAAGCCCGATGTACGGAGGTCGTTGATTTTTATCACTGATATAACTCTCGCGAGCCAAGGTAAGTACTCACAAACCGTGCATCTTAAGCGGGACGAACGTTTAATCACCGGATCCTGACATGGCTATGGGACACAACTCTGCACAACGAATGACATATTACGTCAATAGTTTCTAAATTAAGTCAACAATCTCAGAGAACAGGTGAAATCATTAACTACGGTGTGCTTCGTATCTTGAACCATATGAGTAATACAACCCGTATTGGTGAGGAAATTGGGTTTAACGTCGCGTCAGAGATTATTGCACTTATATAGCGACATGCATGCACGTGTGTGTGTGTGTGTGTGCGTACGTGCGTGCGTGTGTGTGTGTGTGGCTGCTTGTACTAGTCCTGACTAATGCCGATTTATAGTGCTAGCTCACTGAGATACCATGCCGCAGTTTAACATTTATACCCCACTCAGACACAAAATACTGATTCCGGCTCGACCAGTCCTTGTTTTAGGCCCTTAACGCCGAGCCCCAGACAGGGTAACAACGAGTACCATCTTTTAACGTCTTTTGGTATGACGCGGCCGGGGATCGAACCCCATACCTTCCGCTCTCCGGGTGGACGCTCTACCACTAGACAACGGAGGCGGTCACCCGTGGTATTGGAAATGAAAAAGTTTGAGAAATTCCCGAAAATATGGTGTTGACGGGAAATTTTACGGTGAACAAATAAATCTACCAGCAAACATACAAACTGTTTCACCAGTCATTCCTTGTCTGACATCACATGACATACACCGTTGATTCATGTGATATTTCTGACAGTTGTTCAGCCTATCTCAAGAATGATACTGAAAGGTATGCCTTTTGTCCAACATCAGTCCACTGTCAATATCCCCGTTCGTAGTTAGATAAAGGGACATATATTCCGTCATAGTGAGTATTTGAGTGAGTGGATGAGTGAATTTTAGTTTACACTTTACCACTTTTGTGAAACCCACGAGCAGGGTTCAGGTTTTGTCAAACCTTGACAAAGGGCGAATTTGTTTCTTGTTTCCAAGGGACGCGAAACTGCAGAGCAAATGTGGGCCACCTGGGTCTCTCCCACCCAGCCTCCCCATCACTTTCAGATATATGCTAATAAGTTGTAAAATCTGGCAAACTTTTTCAATGTGTTTGCTTAAATAGTGGTAGTGGGGGTAAGAGGGTGTAGAATGTAGGCGATGAGATGGGGTGGGTTTAATGTCGCGTTCAAGAAAACTGCATTTACATAGCGACGTGCTGGCATGAGTGCGCGTATTTACTTGTACCAGCCAGGAGTAATGCCGTTTTATAGTGCTAGCCCACTGAGAAGCTCTGTGGCAGTTTAACATGAAAACTCCACCACTCAGACACAGTAAAAGGAAGCATTAATATGGTTAAATGGCCCGGGTGACATTTGGCCCAGGGTGCTGAACCTAATTTAAGTAGTCTCATTTGAATTATCTTCAGACGTCTGTTGAATAGGTCAGGCGCAGACGTAAATGTAGTTATAGCTATTTTGAATCATGCCATCGATACAACGCTGAACAGTTAACCGTTTTACTCGTTTTACTTCTTACAAGTTAGTTCGACATAACAATATCCTTTTTACGGATCCGACCCAAATTGCACAAGTAGGGAATTTTTAATAGGTATTTTGAGAACGGTTCCTATAGTTCATTTGGAATTTTTGATACAGTTCAGTTAATAGACCCCTGTGGGGGTTCAGGGTTAGCACTGTAGGTCACAAGCAATCTATGATGGTCGAAAGAGGCGACTTAATGGCTCGGGTATGGCCCGACCTGTATGGCGTGAATCGTTTCTCATGATATCAATCACTTGATTGTTTGACCTATACTCGATTATTTTCAGGCCGCCGTCAAATAGCTGGAACATTGCCAGGCTTGTACATTGAAAACAGATAATAAATTGTGGTCTTTTATTTGCACATCCGCGCATACAAATGATGCAGTGGTAGAAGGTGAAAATTAAGATGAAATAAAACATGCAGGAAGAGGTAAATCCTCGATTATATAGTGTACTATATATTAGTTCTATTGAGATAAAAACCCTGGAATGTCACAACGCTACAATAGCCGTCCAACCACATAACTCACATGAACGAACAAGTTAGTGACACGATAAATTCAGCACAGTTAGACAACCTACCCCATCCAATGAGGAAGTACTTGAGGAATCCCCCTGACACACTATGCCGGGAGTGTACTGTGACAAACATGTGGACAGCCTCAACGAAGAGGAAGGCGAATGCAGCGAGGTAGAAGAACTGGAGTAGGATCTTGCCGGCGGCACACAAAGTCTGGAAATACAGAGATGGTAACATGATTGCGTCTGTAGTGAGTGAGTGAGTGAGTGAGTGTGTGAGTGAGTGAGTGAGCTCACAATCGTAGGTTTCTGGTAAGCCTAAGGGACGCAACTCTGCACGCCGAATTGCGTGGCTTTAGACGACAGGGTCACCCTTTCCCCCCGTTGCGTCTTTAAACCTCGCATATCATTGTTAGAATTTCTGGTTATCTCCTACAAAAGAATAATCACACATTCTGTTGTGTGTGTTATGTGATTTTTATGATGTAATGAGCGAGTCGTATCTGTGGAGTCGTTTATCCACTCTTCGTTCCCACTCACAAAGATCACAGGGGTAGAATATATCTCCCAAATGCGAAACTGGATACTCTGGTAGCGCTCGTAATTTCGCCAAAGAAATACCACAAAGTATTACCAAATGTGTAACTAGTCTATGTTTCTTTTACATGCCATGAAAGTTTATAGCTACAAATATATGCTAATCATAACTGGAATGCACTAAAAAAGTTTATGATTCCGATGGCGCATACTTATGTCGATGCCTCGCGTCCGCTTGATCACTCATGCTAATTTAACTGAAAAAGTGTGAGTGAGTGTGGTTTTGCGCCGCTTTTATCATTATTCCAGCAATATCACGGCGGGAGTCACCAGAAAAGCGTTTCACCCATTGTACCCATGTGGAGAATCGAACCCGGGACTTCGGCGTGACGAGCGAACGCTTTAACCACTAGACTACCCCTCCACTTTAACTTTTTCAATTTTGTTCCCTTTTAAAAGAAGTAAGGAGTGTATACTTGATGTTTTAAACCAAGGTCAACATTGTATTGATCAATAATTAGAAACAAGTTATCATATTGGTAAATAAAATAAATATATATAGCTAGGCTAAAGGAAAATAATAATTCTTGTTTATTTCATTGTTAGCCACCGTCAGGTATCGGTGTATGCTTTCTTTTGCCCGGCAGTTTACTAGACGTAAGTTTGTTTACATGTAAGCATAAAACTGAATCTTTTTTTAAAGGATGATAATCGAAATATTATTCAAGGGGTGGCTGTAGAAGATAGGTTATCTCGGCCAGTGCGTTGATCGATGCTCACGATGGCAATCACTGGATTGTCTGGTCAAGACTCGACTATTTACAGGCCGCCGTCATTTAGCTAGACGCCGAAGATCCGGGTTCGATTCCCGACATGGGTACAATGTGTGAAGCCCATTTCTGGTGTCCCCCGCTGTGATATTGCTGGAATATTGCTAAAAGCGGCGTAAAACCATACTCACTCACTCATCTAGCTGGAATATTGCTGAGTGCGAAGTGGAACATCATTATCGAAAAGCAATTTCTGTTTTGCTTGTATCATATTTAGACACCATCAGACATGGATGTATACTTTCGTTTGCTCGCCAGTTGACATGAGTATCTACCCAGAATAAAGATGTACGGTCCGTTCCATTACATCTGCAATTGAACACCCCGAAAACCTCTCACATTATACAGGTGATTGAATGAGTTTCGTTGAAGGCAACTAAACAGTATTTCAGTCAGTTTGATGAGTGAGGAAAAACCGAAAGGATGAAGGTCTACCACGTTTAACACTTTGGTGAAACCCACGATCATGGGTATGGTGCAGAGAAATATGATATGGGGTTTGAGCCTAAGATTATAGGTTTCTGACTCTGGGCCTCTCTTGCAACGCGCCCTCCCTTTATTATTAAGGATGTCGGTCTGTAAACGTTTGACATGAAATAAGCCTGACACAAATTATCATTGTAAAACGTTCGTGGACATTTGATAGTATATTTATGTGGTAAGGCGTAAGCTGTATGACGGCAGAAATAGCTGAAATATCATGTTTTATTTTCGATGTCCATGGAACTTGAATCCCCCACGACGCGTTAGAAGCACTTTTATGAGTAATGAACGAGGCTGGTGCACCGTGAGAAAAGGTTTCCCTACACTGCCGCAATCCATCATCCAAACAACCAGATCAAAGAAATATCCTTTCTTCTTCCTGGGCAGTAATACAGTGGGGGCATATCACAGGACAAATTGGGCTACTGCGTATATCCTGTACATAAATATCTCAACCATCAATGACAAGATGACATGACGTACAGCCGTGTGTGTGGGTCAGGTCAGGCAATTCAATTTGTCCTTAGATAAAGTTCTGTTGTCAGTCATGCAGTCATGTTTTCATGGAAACAAATGGGACAAGCTCATGCTGTGTGATGGCAACATAGAATTGCAATTACAGCTTCTATTCCTTCCACAATCTATTTGATGAATAAGTTTATAATATCAATATCCTTCTCGGTGTAAGGGCTTTGAAGCGCGAAGCCCATTTCTTAAGCCATTAACCACACGAATATTTGTTTACCGACTCTCTAAATATCGTTCTCCATACCGGTTGGGGGGGGGGGGGGGGGGGGGGGGGGGGATCAAGGGGGATCAAGAAATTAACTTCCCCTAAAGTTTGTCATGGGATAGCGGTGGGTAAAGTAGTAAAAATTTTTTACATAACTGAATACTTTCTGCGATATACAAAAATACAGTAAATCTTTTGAGTCAACGTAGTATTAATTCCACTTGTCCTTCCTTGATTGTTTAAGTATTATGGCCAAGGTTCAAGGCAGGGATTTGGTGGTAAAAATCTGGACTCAGCAATTTCTTTTTGTATGGATATTTATGGAGCTTTGGAATCCAGTACAACAAAAGATGAATAGACATGTCTTCAGGTCAGACGAAAACTGTCAGTACCGATGCGTGGCTTTGGCAGATGACTGCCTGTATTTGGCATTATTTGATATGTCTCTTTTACCATAACCCGTGAAGATCCGGGGTCTTCAGCAACCCATTCTTGCCGTAAAAGGCGTCTATGCTTGTTGTAAGAGGCGACTAACGGGATCAGGTGGTCAGGCTCGCTGACTTGGTTGATGCATGTCATCAATCCCAATTATCGATGCTCATGATATCAATCACTGGATTGTCCAGACTCGATTATTTACAGACCGCCGGCGCGGCGGAAAACATCAAACCAAACCAAACCCAAACCAAGTCTTTTACGAAGTTCTTTGATCATCAATTTATGTGGTGATGCTGACATATAATGGTTATGTTATTTGAAACATTATCAGTGGAAACAACTACAAACATTTCATGCTGGGCAGCCAGACTTCGAACGACAGCTGGTGGACACAGAATGGGTATATTCCAATTCCAATTCTGTTTCCTCTTTTATATTTTGTGCATTCTACCAATGGCAACATCACGCACGCTGAAAGACATCCAACAAGTTGATCTTTTCTATTGGCCTATGTATTGGCATATCCATAATGATTAGAAAGTTGTGATCCCAATTGGCAGGAGACTGCTTATGATATTTTGGTCCATATTTGAATAACTGAAATGCTTCTATTGTCAACAATAGAGAAGTCACTTGTGATTTTTTAACCAACTGGTGATGAGTCTTGGCACCTACAAGTTGTGGAATATATCTGTAACTGAAATATACCTTTTGATTGTACCTGTATCCGTAGATTTGATACCTGAAACATTTAATTTGAAACCGAAAGCGTGAGGTTTCGAATTTGAAAACAAATACAGGTATTTAATCGAAATTCGAAACCTCTAAAATGAAAACACAGTAGGCTTAACTCCATTCTTCCATGGCACAGTCACAAATGATAGGGCATCGTTTGAGCTTAATATTTTCAGTAAGTCAGGAATTATTATATAAAGCATTATTCTAACTGACATTCCGATAGAAAACGAAGTCTAAGCATCATGAAGCGATAGACATTGTCACAGTGCGTGACAGTAGCGACAAAAGGTGATGCACAATGACGAACAATTACTTAAGGGGTGTATTGTAGTGCTCAGTAACACACTGAGTTCTACAATACATTTTCTAAGTAATTGTTCGTCAAATTTTCCGCCTGAAATTACCAAACATGCCGTTAATAATGCATGAACCGCAACACTTTTATTAGCAACCTTAAATAAGTAAGATCAGTATTTGCAATTACCAAACGGGCGGGCCTGCGAAACAAGTGCATCTGAATAAATAGTTCATGGTAATGCCGTCATTAGCAAAATCATGGCCGAAAGAACAATCGATATCTCTGACGGCCCAATCAGAATGCAGGATTCTAAAATGTCATTGTAAAATAAATAATGTAACATATCGGTTTTACCTGAATCTGGGTCTTCCCAAGACAAGCGATGCATATAACGTTGATGATGGTGAGGCTGAGCACGAAGTTGATGTGAATATAGTGGGTCTCTCCAACTAAGTGTCTGCAAAATATTGTCATATAAAAGGTAGCCATCGAACACCCGTTTCAAGCGCTTGTTAATGCATAAACAAGATTTACATTAATTTACTAGTTTTAGAGGTTTCCTACACACACGGTTAAAACCATTGTGAGTATATAGGGTCACCGCGCGACTTAAGCCTTCCTGTCTTTGAATGTTTTAATCTTCACATTGTAAACATGTATCTAGAACGGCAATAACAAATAACATTAAACCGTCGTTCTGTCTTTTTATGTATATAAACTGACGTCCAAAAGAAACTTTACCAGAGTTTGAAATCACTCTTGCCCAAAAACAACAAAACATACATGCATGAAGTTAAGTGTATTGAGAAGATCAATATATCAACATAATCAACACTGAAAATGACAATCATACCGCGACCGAGAATGACGTCAGAGCCCCCCAAAGTTGGGTGTGGTACAAAACTCGAGCTTTCAGAATCATGAACAATAGGCAGAGTACATAAACAATCGCTCACGTTCAATAACAAGTCATTAGTAGCGTGTGTGACCACCAAATGCCTAAATACACGCAAAAACTCTTCGACGCACAGAAAAAGTCAGTCGTCTGATGAGGTCACGTGGGATTTGACGCCATTCTTCTTGGGGGGCCAAGATCAGTTCTTGCCGGTTGGCTGGAGAGTGTGGTCGTTGTCGAACACGACGATCCATCAAGTCCTAGAGGTGTTCTATGGGGGACATGTCGGGTGAGCGTGCAGGCCACGGCAGGACGTTGAAGTTGTTGGCTGCGAGGAAGTTAGTGACAATTCTGGCTGTATGGGCTCTAGCGTTGTCATGCTGATAAATGACACCACGTTGCTGCTGTTGGAGAAATGGTAGGACAACTGGACGAAGAATGTTATCCATGTAACGCTGAGCTGTCAAGTTTCCGTCAACGATGACCAGCGGTGTCCTCTCCTGCCAACAGATCCCTCCCTACACCATGACACTCCCTCCACCATATGGTACGACCTCCTGTACGCAACACGCCGCCGTTCGTTCACCCCTTCGGCGGTAAACACGTTGTCGTCCATCAGCCCTAAACATACAGAATCGCCTTTCGTCAGTGAAGACAACCCTCTGCCAGTCACGTCGTTGCCAAAGTCGTACAGTCCGGGCCCATCTCAATCGCAGACGACGATGTTGCGCTGTCAATAGCTGTCCTCTGTATGGTTTAAAAGCCCTGATTCCATGAGCCCTGAGTCTCCTGGCCACTGTCGGTCGACTAACCCTGTGACCTAAGGCATTTGTCGCCGATGACGTTACTGTCAGGAAGCGATTTCGGAGGTGCAAGGTACGCAAGTACCGGTCATCATGGGGCGTGGTCACCCTGGGTCTGCCTGGTTTTTGGCCTGTCAGCGGTCCGCCCTGTCTGTCTGTAACGTTGCATCAAGTTGATAACGGCAACACGGGAGCAACCGATGGTTCGTGCAATATGGGCGTGGGTGGCTCCCATCTGTACCATACCCAAGGCTCGTTCACGTTGTTTGACTGTGAGTCGTGGCATTTCTTTTGTGTTTTTTTATAACTGTGGATGTCTGACTTGCCGTTGCAATCGTTTTATACCCTTACCCGCACGTGCATTTGCAGTTGTCCGTGGTGCACGTGTTTTTCACTTTTTCGCGTGTTATCTCGCAAACATGTAACAGACGATTAACATTTTCTGCATTCACTATTGTTGTATTTAGGTTATGTGTTTTAGATAGACTTCATCGAAATTTTTTTTACTTTGTCTGAAATTTATATTTTCAGTTGGTAAAGTTTCTTTTGGACGTCATATATATATCATTTTATTAGTCTCTAAAGAAAAAGTACGCTAAATCTTGATAACCTATAAAGCATCATACGAGTAAGAAGGGATGAAAGTGCAGACCCAGTAACTTCGTATAGAAAAATGACATGGACATGATTCATGACTATCTAGTTTTTCATTCTATTTATGCTCTTAAATAAGTACTTTAGATATAGATAATCTCTAAAGCACCACACGAGTAATATGGCAAGTAGTTGACAAATGGAAATGTTACCTTACTAACTAGTTTATCAAACATCAATACAGCAATGGACCACTAATTTTAGTTCGTTAGAACCGTAGTTTGTTATAAGCATATATACAACATCTATACAGCAAATGGCCGGGACCAAAAATTAAGTTCGTAATATCCGTCAGTTCGTTATAAGTGTGTTCGTTATAAACGTATTTTACTGTATTGTGATCAAATTTGTATCTGTCTCATTAAAATTTCAGGAACGTCCTACCTCCATGTGAACAGATACGCTATGAGGGTTAACACCAGTCCGCACATCGATGCCACACAGCCAGCCAACAGTACCCCTTCATAGGTATCAGGAATGACTGGAATCTAAATGAAAAAAACAACAGATATTGCCTTATCACATACATAACACACCACAAGTGTCATTTCTAAGTATCAATGAAGACAGGATCGGCATGTGGATTTCAACTTCTTTCTTATATTGAAATGCAACTGTTGGTAGAGATGCTAGCACATTATCAATAAAAAGGGTACTAGCATCTGTACCGATAGGTTGCATTGGCAGATAGAAAAGGACTTATAAAGAATGCATAAGTCAATCATTCAATCATCATAAAGATCACAATAACATGCACGCATATAGCAAAGGTAGGCAAATGTCAACAACACAATGGCATGCACGCCTATGATAAAGGTGTCCAAATATCAAAGGCTTTAAGTGTCACCAAACTTAACAGGAATACGATTTAAAGTACTTAGATTTATTATTCAGTACTCGGCAAATAAAGGCGATAAAACCCTTCCATATTCATAAGAAATCGATTGTCGATTGTACGACTTTGAATACAATTTCATGAGCATGTGTTTATGAATCACTATCAAATAGTTCGCGAAAAGGTGTGCGTATTCTGCCCCACCGGTGGCTCCCGTCACAAACACATGCAAAGGCAAGTTAAATGTTCACCTGGAAAAAACACGGGAACATATGGTACATGTCAAAATAGGGAACTGCATCGGACATGATGTCACTGATGCGTCAAATTTGGAAATGCCCTCCACATGTCCACCATAACACTTTTGAAAGTTTTAGTGAAGCCTTGAATGCTGTAACCTTGATCAAACAGTTTTTGAGCAAGAGTCTTGTGACGCTCTTTAAATCTTGAAACGGTTAAATCCGGATTAACGGGTTTCAGTGTACTGTAAATATGACCCATCCACCCATTCATCCATCCATCCATCCATTATTCAATAAGACATAACCTGTCAGATACTTAAACCACAGAGACTTACGTTTAATTCTAAACCATTTCAAAGAAAAGACATTCATTATCCTCTTGGTATGTATATTTCAATTCTAATATGAAACCATACGTATGACAAAAGATGTATCATTTGGAACCTTCAGTTATGACAATTTCTTTACCGTAACGTTTATTTGTTTGACAACAAGTGCAAAGTGACCAGGGACGTCACACCAACAGGTTGTGGACGTGGCATTCCTCTGTATGACGTCGCAATCGTGAACAGACCAATGACCGTTCAAGACATCGCTGAAATATACAAATGTAAAGTTTGTACTACGTGCCTAGTATCAGTCTAATAGAAACAAACATGAAAACAAAAATGTATTTATCAACCATGTCACGAATTAATTCCTGTAAAATTCCAGAAAATATTTCCTGAAAATTACACCTTGACACAAATTAAGAAAAGACACAACTTTATGGATGATAACGTCTGGTTCACTTCATGTGGATTCTGACACCGTTCTCAAGGTGGCATGGAAATAAAGTTGTATGTTTTCTTATTTATTCATCGACTTCTAGAATGTCCATCAAACAGTTGACTCAAAGTATTAACTTGACTTAAAACAATGGTATTTAATAAGATTAATCTTATCATCTCTTGAATCTGTTTGTCAGTACATATATGAACAGTAAAATAAATTAAATATGAATCCAACTTCTAAAACCCTTTGTTGTGTATTTCATTTAACTCGTATTTATTTAGTCTCAGTGGTGATGAAATATCTAAATATTGAAAGAACAAAACGCACTTGAGGATTCCTCAAACACAATGGGGGTAGTATTCTAAAGGGAAAAGCAGGGTAATATTGCAACTATCCAAGCATAAACAACACCACAACCGATCATTCTCCACATGCAATGTTAAAGCCCAATAAATCATGCACTTTATCGGTTTTCTTTATTTTACGATTGTGTTTTTTTTTAAATAAATGAAATAAATACAGTTTTAATCTTGAAAAATGTGTCTACAAACGGAGTGTATAGCCTTTATATATCATTTAATGTCTCAACAAGCAAGTTGTCACATCGCTAGTATTCATCTTATAACTAATGCTTTGTCGCTTTTTTGTAATGATGTAGAAATGAATGGTATAGTATCCATCACAGCAAAAACGACACACAATGGGAGTTGACTGCTGACATCCCTTTAAAGCAATAACCTATTCTGAATTACGTTAACGAATATTATAAACGTCATGTTTGATCATTGGCACTTTCGCTGATAGAATTCGTATCTAAAAATAACTTTAATGTTATTTTGAAATAAAATGCATTAAAGTTTACCTTTTATCGGTAAAAACAATAAAAGAATCATACAACGCATAAAATACACCAATATGTCTAATACAAAATGAACCCATAGACATCCATTAGCATAATGGTATAGGTTGCAGGTAGACTAATGCTTGGGCTTTATTTAGTGTCAAGATATATACCACAGTGTAGTCTTAACATCGCCTAATACTTACTGGTCCGTAACAAATCTATAAAATGAGATAACAAAATCTCTCATGACTATGTCCAGATGGAGTTGAAATAGGTCATGTCTAGGCCATGCCTAAGCCAACATCATCGCAGCAATGACTGTTTGATATTCTGTAAAGTGTGTGTGTATCTGTGAGTGGGTGGGTGAGTGAGTGAGTGAGTGAGTGAGTGCTTGTCTCCAACAAACCTATATTCTAAAACGCATAGATATGGACAAACGTCATTGATACTCTTTGTAGTGACTATAATGTGATGATCCAATATGAAACGTGAAAAACATCGATTGTTGATGTACAAAATCAATTGAATTCCCCTGGGTGGATGGAAAATATACCATCGTAAAATTTGCTCTACCGGAACATTAATAATGTAAGGTATGCTAAATAGGTTTCATATATAACAATCCTCACTTACAAATGCTAACAAAATCATATGAAATGGAAAATTGTGAAAATGTATTTTGCTATCAATATCCGTGATTGGGGCTTATCAATTATGGAAATTTTCATGTTCTTTTGTACATCTGTTTCAAAGGCCAGTTTACAGTGTATGCTGTTAAAAAATATGCAATATATGCATAAACGGCTCTGCGCAATAACAGGAAAACTTGAAAAATGATTATATTGAATTTTATGTCACATATGTTTCTTTGGCTCACAGCATGAACAGAGGCAGGAAAGGGCTTATGTTATTAACGCCACAACACAACAGCTAGTTTAGAAGAACGATTACAATTTTACAGCAATAACACAGCCATTACAACCTCAGGTACAACAACATATTATATATGATATAACGCACAAATACTCCAATGGGCGCTGTTCATATCTTCTTCCGAAATTAATCAGGTGTTATACATAACTTTAACTGAGTCATACATGATTCCTACTGATATTCAAATGAGGTGCTATGCATGACTTACTGACATTCAAATGAGGTGTCATGCATCATTCTTACTGATAGTCAAATGAGGTGTAATGCATGACTGTTACTGATATTCTATAGGAGACGTTATAGGTGTGTGGGGGCAAGTGACATTATGCACATGGCACAGATCACACATGAAGCACAGCAACGCTGAAGTCGGAGACGAGTATTGACGCGTGCCAACGCACGGCAAGATTGACTCTAGGGAGCGTCCTTGGCCTCGTTTCTTCCCCAAACCGAAACAAATGTGATCTAATGGTGTGTTTCCATTGGCGAGGTTCGTTGTTCGAAATTGACCAGTGTTCACCCAACAGAGAATGGGTACCCGGTGGGATGATATGATCATGTAATCCTCTTAGAGGACATTGCCCCCTTGACCGGGGTAATAATTGATTTATGCCATGAACATGATTTCAGGCATGGATACGACGCACCAAAGATATCCATCTATTTTGCTGTTACTGGTATTCTTCAGTGGTGGTATACCTCCTTTCCTTTTGTTCATTGATCAGATTCTTCAGAGGCCTGATACTTTACGTGACGATTGTAAAATGGACGTATTAAGTTAACTCATGTGCTCCCTATTCATAGCTCTCTTAAAAGGCGAAGAACAACGTAGCTAGCTCGCTATCTCTATTAGCGCTGACTGTTACTGTCACACAATTCAATCACCCCTTAAACAGAAATGCTCCGAATAGAAGCTCAAGCTGCAACAATGAACATCAATCAAAAATTACCTCCATTACATGATAGTATCGATTTCTTTAAGAAACATGGTTTTCTGAAGACGAGGTGAATGCGTACACGCGTTCTGAGTCCATGTAAAAGATTATGGATAACATGGATGCCATGCATGCAACGCTGTTTACATGTTGAAGTGCCTTAGTATGAACAACCGAGTGGCACAGCCATGCATGCAACGCTGTTTACATGTTGAAGTGCCTTAGTATGAACAACCGAGTAGCACAGCCATGCATGCAACGCTGTTTACATGTTGAAGTGCCTTAGTATGAACAACCGAGTGGCACAGCCATGCATGCAACGCTGTTTACATGTTGAAGTGCCTTAGTATGAACAACCGAGTGGCACAGCCATGTATGCAACGCTGTTTACATGTTGAAGTGCCTTAGTATGAACAGCCGAGTGGCAAAGCTATGCTAGTCTGTCTCTCAGATTCTAGAGAATAAAAAATAAAAAGGCAGTCAAACTCAAGTCTAGAATGATTTGGCAAGTCTAGATTGCCTCACCTCTTGAACCTGTCCAGATCTCTAGGGCTCACAGGCGAGATACTGGCTTGTTTGTATCAGTAATCTTAATCGGTACGCTGGTGTTTACAGCTGATACAATGCTGCGATGCTGTTTACATATTGCAGTGCCTTAGTATGAACAGCCGAGTAGCACATCCACGCAAACCACTCCGTGAACATGATGTAATGCCTTAGTATGAACAGCCGAGTAGCACATCCACGCAAACAACGCCGTGTACATGATGCAATGCCTTAGTTTGAACAGCCGAGTATCACATCCACGCATACAACGCCGTGTACATGATACAGTGCCTTAGTATGAACAGCCGAGTAGCACATCCACGCATACAACGCCGTGTACATGATACAGTGCCTTAGTATGAACAGCCGAGTAGCACATCCACGCATACAACGCCGTGTACATGATACAGTGCCTAAGTATGAACAGCCGAGTAGCACATCCACGCATACAACGCCGTGTACATGATGCAGTGCCTAAGCAGGAACAGCCGAGAAGCACATCCACGCATACAACGCCGTGTACATGTTGCAGTGCCTTAGCATGGACAGCCGAGTAGCACACCCACGTATACAACGCCGTGTACATGATACAGTGCCTTGGTATGAACAGCCGAGTAGCACATCCACGCTTACAACGCCGTGTACATGTTGCAGTGCCTTAGTATGAACAGCCGAGTACCACCCCACGCGTACAACGCCGTGTACATGTTGCAGTGCCTTAGTATGAACAGCCGAGTAGCAAATCCACGCATACAACGCCTTGTACGTGTTGCAGTGCCTTACTATGAAAAGCCGAGTAGCACATCCACGCATACAACGCCGTGTACATGTTGCAGTGCCTTAGAATGTACAGCCGAGTAGCACACCCACGCATACAACGCCTTGTACATGATGCAGTGCCTTAGTATGAACAGCCGAGTAGCACACCCACGCATACAACGCCTTGTACATGATGCAGTGCCTTAGTATGAACAGCCGAGTAGCACATCCACGCATACAACGCCGTGTACATGTTGCAGTGCCTTAGTATGAAAAGCCGAGTAGCACATCCACGCATACAACGCCGTGTACATGTTGCAGTGCCTTAGAATGTACAGCCGAGTAGCACACCCACGCATACAACGCCGTGTACATGTTGCAGTGCCTTAGTATGAACAGCCGAGTAGCACACCCACGCATACAACGCCTTGTACATGATGCAGTGCCTTAGTATGAACAGCCGAGTAGCACATCCACGCATACAACGCCGTGTACATGTTGCAGTGCCTTAGTATGAAAAGCCGAGTAGCACATCCACGCATACAACGCCTTGTACATGTTGCAGTGCCTTAGTATGAAAAGCCGAGTAGCACATCCACGCATACAACGCCGTGTACATGTTGCAGTGCCTTAGAATGTACAGCCGAGTAGCACACCCACGCATACAACGCCTTGTACATGATGCAGTGCCTTAGCATGAACAGCCGAGTAGCACACCCACGCATACAACGCCGTGTACATGATGCAGTGCCTTAGTATGAACAGCCGAGTAGCACATCCACGCATACAACGCCGTGTACATGATGTATGAACAGCTAACCGATAACCACAGCCAAAGCTGCAACGCTATTTACATGCTAAATACCTTAGCATTCACAGCCGAGTATACTTACCGTATTGTGTAAGGGTATCTGCCAATAGCAATCTAATGTTTCTCAACACCCAACGCCTTACTTACATATCATCGATAGTTCAATAATGACTGAGGAGAGAATGTAATTCAATGTAATATGAACCATATTCTTACACAAACACAACCTGTTATCAAAAGCAGAATTGAAACTTTCTTTTTTAACAACATGTTGAACGCCACAATAATGATTGGTGAGCGTTATTCTTTTTTTAAAACCTGTTTCATTGGGTCTGTTTGTTTTCAGAATCTGAATTGTAAAATAATTTTGACTGTTATAGGGATGGTTGCTTTGTGTTAAAGCTTTAGTTTTATCATAATGTATTTAACAACGGACCAAGTACTTTTTTAGACGTTATTCATAGAAATAACACTACACTGCTGAAACAAAATAAACGAACTAAAAGGGAAAAGACTGGACAAACCGAACAAAACATGTAATTTTCCGTAATGTCCGTAAAATGGGGATCCGGAGTAAAAGGTTCAAACTGGTACCGTCTCCCACAAACCCGGTTTTTATGCTCTCGTCGACAGTCTAAACAATTCTGAAATATAGCTGACTTCAATCAGACTAGCACTTTGTTCAGAATATCAATAAAAGATGTTTGTTTGAACCAAGGCGTTCTAAATTCAATATATGTGTCTAACTGTCTGACCAAAGCTGATATATATGACCCTTCCGTGCTACAAGTCACTCATCGACGTTTAAGAAATCATGGATTGTAGCACTCTTGAAATCGATTCTCCTCTCTTTGTTGCCTTATAGGCTTGTGAGTGATGCCATGGGAATGCCAATGCCATTTTGTGGACCGCGAGTTACATCGTTGCCACGGTGATAGATTGTTTTATTTGAAGAATTTCCTACATTAAAAATTAACAACGGCTGTAAAATGACACATTCATGTACACCTACCTGCGAACAGTTCTCCATGAAATGCACGTAGTTTCGTTTGATCCTTGTAGTATCACCTTAAATTAGATGAATAAAGAGATAAATACATGACTGAGTGACTGAGTTGTATTACACATCACACATTCCTTGCGTCTTTCAATTACCACATTCAAGATGCCATTAGGAGAGTAACGTTTTTTTCGTCGTTTATGTCAATATTCCAACAAAATATAGGAATGAGGCACAAAGAACGGGTTACACACATTGATTCAAACACGGATCTTTGGCGAGATGAATTAACGCTTTCACCACTTGTCTATTCCACCAAGATCAGCTTGACATGTCCCATGGCCCTTATTAAGCAATAACATTTAGGACATGTACAAAGTCTGTGGATTAGGAAGAGTTAGATTGTCAGATGAGTCACTACATCCAACTTTGCCATGCCAGCCAACTATGTCACATTCGATGTCAACTTCGTGATGTCCGGTGAAAAGTTTGTCTTGTTTGGAGATATATTCGTCAGATCCGGAGTTAACTTTGTCATAGCCGGAATTGGCTTCGTGATATCCAGAACTGACTGTCATGGCGGTTTAATATCGGATATAAAGACGTAGGGCACATCACTATCAAACTTAAGCCATACGACCGGGTCAACAAAACAAAAAGTAATCTCAGTATTGTAATTTACATATATCATGTAAGAAAATGAAAGCGGTGAACCTTTAAGCTTCTCGATATGGAAGGGCGAGAGGGTAGCAGAGCGGTTAAAAAACTCGGCAAAAATACTTAACCTCAATCACGCGTATTTGGAGAGTCAACTGTCTCCGAAAAAATTAAGATATGGACTGATAAAACCAAATATTTCTGTTTTAGAAATGAAAAAATCTGAACAATACACGTTTGTTTAAGCCTTAAGCTAACTAAATAGGTCACTACTTACAGAATGCGGATGCTTAAATACTATTTCAATTTTCCTGATCTTCTGGAGATAGAAGTTGTCGAGGGGAAACACTGATCGTATTTCTGTGATGAAATCGGGATCATGACTGAAAAAGAACCAGAAAAAAAGTATTCAGATTTGAGAATTTTAAAAACAAAAAATCTTGCTTTCATTATTCTTTCCAACAAGAACCATATTCACTTTTCCCATGAATAAAGTTACTGTATAAGATTATTTATTTGTACAATTACTGTAACTATACATAATGCAATACAAGCACAATGCATTGTGGAATAGAACATAATGCCATCAATCAACCAAAGTATACCTACATGTTCTCTGCATAGTTGTCATGTAACAATGAGTACATATCAACGTAGTGACATATAAACATTGGTTCGTGGCTGTACACAACATCAGAGTGGTCTGAAAAATAGAGAATAGTTTTTAGTCTTTCAAATCCAGCAGTGTGTTCCAAATCGGGTAGTTTTGAACTTTCCGATTTATAAAATAAAGATATATATAAACATGTAATATGTTAATCTTCAGTGAAAATTAAGCCAAACATGATTATTACGTGAAATCCGAATTGTAAATTTTTAACGACCTGCATGTACCTGAATGTCCATTTGTTGATATTGAAACCTTTTCTCTTCGTAATCGAGAACCGCGGGCCAAGGTCGTCCCATACTTCTCTGTATGGTTAGCCAGCTTTGGTAGACTTGCATTAGGTGGTACAATCCGAACATTCTCCATCAGCGCCACTGATGAAAGATACAGAAGCATAATGTCTGTTTCAAAAATGTACATCTAAACGACGATGCAGTAAAAGTGTGATGTCAACTCATCTGAGAAACAAACAACCAATTAATGATGAAATACAAATCAGTGGGAGGTAGTAAGTGAACAAGTTGGCAAGTTATATGGTATGATGTTAACAAATCTAGGGAACATTATTGGGACGAACCGGAATTCGAACCCAAATTCATAGGTTTCTGGCGTGTCCAAGGGACGCAACTCTGCACTCAGAGGTGAGTTGAGATGAAATCGATTTTAACGTCGCGTTCAAGATTATTGCACTTTTAATAGCGACATGCGCGCGTATGTTTGTTCGTGTGTGCTTGTACAAGTCCGGACTTATGTCGGTTTGATAGTGCTAGCAATAGTTTCTGTGAGGTTTGTCCTTGTAACATAATGGTGAATTTAAACCTCAATAGATGTTGCTTTCTTGGATATGCCTATATTTCCGTTGACATTCATCCTATCAATAGGGACGGCGGGTGCTTAAAGCGTTCGGTCATCACGTCGAACGGCCGGTTTCATTTCCCCACAAAAGTACAATCTGTGAAGCCCATTTCTGGTGGCCCCCGCCATGATATTGGTGGAATATTGCTTACTCACTCACTCACTCACTCACTCATGTCAATAAAAAGGGAGATCCTACGAGTACATTAACTATATATGCATTTCACTGGCGAAATATACAAACGCATACTCATTAACGGACTTCATATCTTGAGCAGAACAATCAACACAAACATGCATGATCCTGCTGAGATTTTTCAACATTAGTCAAAACTGTTTGACTGCTTTACTAAAATTGATATTATACTTACCTATTTTGTCGGTTGTGATTTTTAGTCCAATTGAGAAATTGAAATTTCTGAGATGAAGTCCACAAGTCATCTCAGCAATCTGCATTACCTTTGGCCCAACATACAGGGACTGAAACAAAGCGCATAGACAGTCAAATCTCGCAAGTCCGGGCCCCGTTAGCCAGAAAAACTCGTAATCTGGACGGTTACGGCCGGGAATGTTTAAAGTCAAATATAAAACGAAACACCCATTTCCATTATCAGAAGAAATATCTACTAAAAGCTGATTCCATTGTTCGATTCCGATTATATCATTAGCATGTGTTTATAATTCACTGTCAAATCGTCTTCGCGAAAAGTGAGCGTATCCTGCCCCACCCGTCACAAACACATGCAAATGCAAGTAAAATGCTTCCCTGAAAAACATATGGTATAAGTCAAGATAGGGAATCGCATTGTATATAATGTTTGTCAATGGTGCGTAATTTTGGAACCATTAGCAGTTAATCCGTAGATCCGGAAATGCGATTTCACTGGAAACGGTATTCGTTCATATTGACAGGGTATCATTATACATCAGTATGACACCGAGAAAGTTTTGACACGTGTAATGGCAAGTTTCGTACCTTGTCACATCATGTAAACGTGCAAAAACAACCCTAAAGTAAGGTTTACACAGATCAAAGCTTTCCGAAGAGGAGTATATTTTTCAAATATGTCCGAATCATAGTGTCAGTAGGAATATTTTATATTCCTTATAATTATCATCAATACCCGACTTGCCAAATAGTAACAAAACTGATCATGTCTAATAATATCAATGGTCTTGTCCTATATTTGGAAAGAAATATGATTACATTATGACAGTTACATGTATATGCTTTGACTACCAATTGTATACCTACTTGTGTGTATAGGTGATTATTTAATCTGATATAACGACAGAGATTAATCAGTCACGATTACCTTCCAAAACAGATTCCACTGGGCGTAAAAGGAAAACTAGTGATGAATGGACCACCGAAAATCTTATACCAGAAATTGTAATCTTGTCCATGAGGACTCCTATATCGAATCGAATAAAGAATTTCAGAATCTCGGTATGACTCATTCAACAAAGTCTTAAGTGAATTCGAATATTGATCCACGTATGAAGAGCCTACATAAATCGTTGCTTACTCAGAATTAACATTATCATATTTCCTCACCTCTTTTTCTTCACTTGTTGTAAGAAGAGCCTCTGCCATCAAGATGTTCGTAAGATCAAGAAGACTCTGTATAGGTACAATGAAACAGTTTAATGTAATTTCAAATTGAAAACCCTCAATACATATAACTGTTTAGAAGTGCATTTGTATATGCTTTCCCTGCATCTCGAGTTTAAGTTTCACATTTTCTAACGTTCTTACAAACAGAAGCACACGACGATTGAATATAAGACTCTTTGCTGAAATGGATAGCATTATGTACTTGTTAGTTGATTTGATAATGCATAAGTTTCCTGTTGTCGTCTATATGAGCAATCTTATCTTGAAGACACACGTATTTACGTTTTACATCTTTCTATATTAAGAATTATGGTGGCGAAAGTAATGGCGGCGACGACATTAAATATGGTGGGTTAAAAAGATTTAAGACAAAATCAATTTATCTTCCTTCTTATTGACATTTTTTTGCCAAAGGGCCTTTTTACTATCGGGGGGGGTGGGGGGTGGGGGGGGGGGTGGGGGGGGGGGGTGGGGGGGGGGGGGGGGGTGGGGGGGGAAAAGAAAAATAATAAATACCCACTTTTGCAGTTCAATATTGAAAGTGGATTCTCTCGACAAATTTGCATTATCCTATTTCAGTGTGGGTATTACCATGAGAGAGTACGATCCGTTCCTGGGGGCGAGTGACGGATATTGTGCCAGCGTTTTGACAAATGTGTGAAGAATTGAGGAGGAGACATCCACATCGCCGGCGTACAACTTCCCCCTCGCTTGTCTGATTAGGCCGTACAGATCTTCCCATATAGAAGCCATCTTATCATGCTGGTAGCCCAACTTGATCTTCTCAAGCTGTCGGGTATGTAATACGCATATGTCAACTACAGTGGCATGTAATAAATGTATTTAATTGATATCTTGTATGTTTGAGTCCAGATCTTCTAAACAGCTGCATCTATCTATTTTCTGCCAACTAATCTCTAAATTAATGCGCATGTTGTTTTTCACTGAACAAACTGCTTTGAACATGTCGGGTTCAAACACCTCATTCGGTCCGATTATGGAATTTGGTTTGTAAGTACTCTTACACACCCACACAAACACCCCACCCCCACCCTCCCACACAGCCCCCCTCTCTCTCTCTCAAACACACATACACTAACACACACACTCCCTCTCTCTCTCCCCTCTCTCTCTCTCACCACATTCATTTACACAGACACTCCTTCCCTCCCTCCCCCTCTTTCTCTCACACACATACACTAACACAAACACTCCCTCTCTCTCTCTCTCTCGTTCACACACACATACATAACACACACACTCCCTCTCTCTCCCCCTCTCTCTCTCACACACACATACACTTACACACACACTCCCTTCCTCCCTCCTCCTCTCTCTCACACACATACACTTACACACACACTCCCTCCCTCTCTCTCTCACACACACATACACTAACACACACACTCCCTCCCTCTCTCTCTCACACACACATACATAACACACACACTCCCCTCTCTCTCCCCTCTCTCTCTCTCTCACAAACACATACACTTACACACAAACTCCCTTCCTCCCTCCCCTCTCTCTCACACACATACACTAACACACACTCCCTCCCTCCCCCCTCCCTCTCTCACACACACATACACTAACACACACACTCCCTCTTTCCCTCCCCCCCTCTCTCACACACACATACACTAACACACACACTCCCTCCCTCTCAAACACACACACACACACACACACACACACACACACACACACACACACACACACACACACACACACACACACACACACACACACACACACACACAAACACGCACGCACGCACGCACGCACGCACGCACGCACGCACACACACATGCCCTCAGTGTGTCCAGTGTAGAAGATCTCCATCCAACAAATAACATTGTCACAGTCGAGCAATGCACACGTCGGCCTGATAATAATCAAATCTGAGTATATATCTATGTAAATGAAAAAGATAATTAAGATGATATGAAATGATGTCCCCTGTCAAATGTTATAACCACATGCGATGATATAAAGTAAGGTTCCTTATCATTTGTTATAATCCGATGCCACGATATTGTCATGTACCTCGATCAACTGTTAAAATAAGATGTTATGATACAAAGTCACGTTCTTACCCTATCAAATGTTATAATGAGATGTCCAGACTGGCATTTGACAAAGTTCGGCTTCGACCATTCGCAACGCTGATCGATACACTTGCACCAACGTTTAGAATATCCTGTGGACAAATGTCAGTCTGTACAAGACTATTCATCATAACGACATCAATCTGAAAACTGTCATTACAGTATTATAAATAACGACCATCATTCATTAATACTAGTAAGTGTGATTTTAGAAACAGCTGTCATATGGCCTGAATATTGCTGAGTGCGGCGAAAAAAAACCTCCACACAAACCCACATAATATGTATAATAACAGAGGCGTAGAGCCTTAGGGAAACTACACGAATTTAGGATATGAAAGTGTTATGCATCATCGAAATGATATTTGTAAATGCCATGTTCAATTATGGCGTATCTTATGAATAAACATAATGATATGTCTCACGCGACAATATGCTCTCTAGAAGTTTTGTTTGTTTCAATGCTGTTTTCTGGTAAAATATAAAGTTTCAGAAAAGATTTTGTTTGAAATGTATCTGAACACACATTGAAGTATAAAGAAGAAGAGACGACATGAAAAACACATATTATGACACAATGCTTTTTAAATAGAAACAAAATGAATAGTCTAGACATGGATGATTGGAAAGAATAGAAATAAATCAAGGAAAAAATAACATTGATGGGTTAACTAATTGAGAGCATTGTGCATTTGATATAATTTCGAGGAACAGTTAACTGTATCCATCAATAATGTCAAGTGTTTCCTGCAGAACACACATGGAGCGTTAAAGAATCCACCCTACCTGTCAATTGAATGTGGACATGAACGGTATTTCATTAAGGCATTAGAACAAGCAGGCATATCAAAATATAACATATACTAATAATGCTAAACTATGAGTATATTCATACAGAAAAGGAGATTAATACTGGTTAGCTGAAACAAAACAGGTAACAAGACACCATGCTTTTTATATATGCTGTAGGTATTCCCATGCATATGTTGTTCTGCAGAAGGATATCTACACTACAGATTCATGCTAGAGAATCAGGAACTATAGAAATAATCAAATTGTAAATCTACTATGAAACATAAAATAGTAAATATTAGCATGCTAGCCGTTCTAACAGAGTTCTATGAGAGTGTTGCTGAATTTTGTTCAAGAGAACTTGTCTGCATGAGAGAAGTTCAGTTGTTATATCTAAGAGGTCCATTTACATGACACCCTAATTGGTTTATCTTTGGTGGAACATTTTTTTGCTGAATTCCTATATGTTTATTCTTTTTGGAATAGCCAATTAAGGACACAGTCATCATAAAGACGACATACAGTCATCATAAAGGCGACTAGCAGTCATCGGAAGGGAGGCTGACAGTCATCATAGAGGCGACTGGCAGTCATCGGAAGGGAGGCTGACAGTCATCATAAAGACGACTGGCAGTCATCGGAAGGGAGGCTGACAGTCATCATAAAGACGACTGGCAGTCATCGGAAGGGAGGCTGACAGTCATCATAAAGACGACTGGCAGTCATCGGAAGGGAGGCTGACAGTCATCATAGAGGCGACTGGCAGTCATCGGAAGGGAGGCTGACAGTCATCATAAAGACGACTGGCAGTCATCGGAAGGGAGGCTGACAGTCATCATAAAGGCGACTGGCAGTCATCGGACGGGAGGCTGACAGTCATCATAGAGGCGACTGGCAGTCATCGGAAGGGAAGCTGACAGTCATCATAAAGACGACTGGCAGTCATCGGAAGGGAGGCTGACAGTCATCATAGAGGCGACTGGCAGTCATCGGAAGGGAGGCTGACAGTCATCATAAAGACGACTGGCAGTCATCGGAAGGGAGGCTGACAGTCATCATAAAGGCGACTGGCAGTCATCGGAAGGGAGGCTGACAGTCATCATAGAGGCGACTGGCCGTCATCGGAAGGGAGGCTGACAGTCATCATAAAGGCGACTGGCAGTCATCGGAAGGGAGGCTGACAGTCATCATAGAGGCGACTGGCAGTCATCGGAAGGGAGGCTGACAGTCATCATAAAGACGACTGGCAGTCATCGGAAGGGAGGCTGACAGTCATCATAAAGGCGACTGGCAGTCATCGGAAGGGAGGCTGACAGTCATCACAGAGGCGACTGGCAGTCATCGGAAGGGAAGCTGACAGTCATCATAGAGGCGACTGGCAGTCATCGGAAGGGAGGCTGACAGTCATCATAGAGGCGACTGGCAGTCATCGGAAGGGAGGCCTATTGGTTTATATTGTCTAGGTAATTACCTCACAAGCAAGGTAGGATCTGAGAAGGAGATTTCGTGTTTTGAGTCTGAAGAAGATCTTCGCATATACATCACATATTTTAGGACAATGAGATGCTTGAGAAACAGATCTATCATGACAGTGAATTTATTTATCACAAGCAAACTCCCAAATATAATGACAATAATGCCCCCAAATGGCGAACAATTGACCCATGTCTTAACCAACAATGACGAACGACAGACACATATACTCATAGGCGTAGCTTACTCGTGTTCATTTTTATAATACGGTGATATTTTGAAGCTCATAGCTCAAATCTCGTATAATTATTTCTGAAGATTACATATACACTTTTGTTATATATGGATGAAATCGGAATCAAGGGCTTTCTAAAATTCGTTTATATATAACGATGAAATGAAATGACACGGGCATTTCAATTATCAGCAACTTAAACGGTCGTTTAAAGTAAAGCCCCTCTTCTAAGCAAAAGGTTTGAGCCCGTATTCAATGTACAAAGGGCACTCTGATTTAAAGAATCCAGTTCAGTCCGAGTTTCTGTAAACGTTATTCCGACGAGTGAAACATCGTTAATCAAATGAAATTGTTCCGATTAACGCATTTCCGAGTAACGAATCAGAAGTACGTTGCCAAATTACTGGTAATTTATCTATATTCTTCCAAAAAATAAGAAACGCAATACCGACCTTAGCGGACCAAGAGGTGCAAAATGAAGAGGTTGAATGTGTTATAGTGTCCGTGACAAATTTCCCGGATCAAAATGATTACAATAACGACATGCAAAACATTAGTCGGGAAACACGTACGATTCGGAAAACCGCACACAGTGCATCAACAAAAGGGCCATGGAGCTGAACGTACTGCACGTGCAGCAGCACTATGAACGGTATTAAAGTGCAGGGGTTTTGATTGCCTGGCATCTGCGTCAATCGAACAGTTACAGTTCAACAACATGCTAAGATTAACAGAAGTGCAAAGCAACAACGTCATATGCCGCTTACAGGCAGGGGAATCCCGTTTAGCTGTAGCCAGAGTTTTTAATGTAGCGCCCGCCAACATCACAAGGCTATGGGATCGGTTTCAACGGCATGGGCCAACACGTGATCGGCCAAGGTCGGGACGAACAAGCGAAACCAACCCCGCCCAAGATCGCTACATCCGACTGCGCCGCCTACGTGAAAGGACGACCTCAACCGCACCCCAAATACTCAGACTGCGCAGAATCTACGACCAGACCGTACGAAACCGTTTAAGAGCAGCAGGTCTACGAGCAAGACGTCCTGTTCGACGCGTCATATTGTGTCGACAACATCGCCAAAAACGACAGCATTGGTGTCGTCAGGGTATGGCCTCAACTGCGATAGAGATGGAAGATGAAAGATGGAAGAGCACGGGTCTACAGACGTCGGGGAGAACGTTACGCCGGAGACTGTGTACAGGAAGTGGACAGGTTTGGTTGGGATAGCGTTATGATGTGGGTGGCTATCTCTTATCATGAAAGTACAGGTTGGTCCATATGCAGGGCAATCGTACGGCTCAACCAAACATCAACGAAATTTTCCTACCACACGTCCTCCCAATTGCAGCCAACGGCAACGGTGTATTCCAGCAGGACAACGCCCTGCCGCATACAGTGGGATGAATTGGATAGACGGCTATGCCGACGTCAACTCCAACGACAGACGTTGCAGCAGTTTGCTTTTGCGTTGCAGGCCGAGTGGGCTACCATTCCCCAGGATGTGATACGCATACTCGTCTCTTCCATGGGCAGGGGATGTCAGGCGGCTATCGATTCCAATGGGGGACATACCCGTTGTTGATGGTAGCTGACCTTCACCTTGGACTTTTCCTATGTACCGATAACTGAGATTACAATCACCAAGTATTCTCACAACACCATTTTGGCTCAATACCTTGTACGGTTCCTCGCATAAATGTATTTTCCTACCTCACACAAATCTGGCTTTGCGTTTCTTTTTTTGAAGAGTATATATAAATACGTTTCCAACAATGAACATTTTTTTCTGGTAGTGCTTGTATACTATCGTATCTTGAATTGTTTACCCTTCTTGTTTGTGGCAGATATACTGTTTTACATAATTTCTATCTTACCAATTATTGGTTATATATTGATACATCTTATACACTACCACACACGTACTAAAATACGATCAGTTTGAAATTATTACACATCATAATGCATAGGTATGTAAAATGACATTGGCAGCATTACATATGTGATCCACAGGCACAGTATAATGTTTTGAACCCTCAGCTAAAACTGGAACGCAATATGAACTCGTTAAGCATAACATAAAAATGGTAGCCCAAGCCTACTAAATACACATTATGCCAAAATAATAAATAAACAAATACTGGTCGATAAAACAAAAGCTAATATCCGCACAGCACACTCTCTTGCAAGATTATATGCAAACGATCTCACATTGCTAACCTACTTGACTAGGAGCACTAGTATGAGGCACCTAGAACTTGACGTTGCCTCTGCGATTTACTCACATCTACATGCCCAGAGTTTCGAAACAGGTTGGTATTAATGAAAGCATGCAATTGGCTAGGTCAGCCTGACAGCTGCTATGAAGCGCTGACGCCCACTTACCCTTTCCGTACAACCGGTTCAACCAAACCAAATCTGAAAGAATGTTCAACACGTCCCAAAACCTGTTACATACACAACACACACAAGGCCACTACAAATCTGCAAAGGAAGGTTGTTGGTCAAAGCGAATCTAAATAGAGGGTTATAGAGATAGGGAGGTTGAATGAATGTCGCAGGTAAATGAACGACAGAAGAAGGCACAGGTGATGCGTGTACATACACAACACGCAGTTACAGAAAACTGGTATCAAAGAAGGCCATCAAGGTTATATCCATCTCCAAGAGTGAAGCAACTATCTACACATCACAGGTTTTAGTGAATGCAACTAAACCCCACCCTCTTATGGTTTGTATATATATATATATATGTACAGTTATATGTACAGTTATGATGAAACTATGAAATGATCTAAACTAAAAATTATCAGGCTGTGCAGTGTTCTTTCGATGATCATCTGTTCTGTTCCAGATTAGAAGATATAATGATCCTTGGTCTCTCATTCGTTACCAGGCTCTGGGTTTCGCAAAGTGGTAACTACACCAGTTACATATTCTGCTGACATGCTATGGTATAACTGAAAAGTTGAATATGTCTCTTTAACTGTCCTCTTCTGTATGTTCATTGTTCGATCCGCAGTTCGTTAGGGCTATACGGATCATTGCATGTTCTTGTTTTTTTTATAAGACTGTGCATAGCAATGCCCATTGTGGGTCTTGTTGTCAGTCCATGTCATATATAATGTCCTTGGGCGTCCTTTCAACTCAACACTGCAGTTCTTTACATATTCACACCTTGGGTATTATAGAAAGAGGAGACACCAATAGCCAAGACTATTAGCTGCACATTGTGACAACACATGCACCTCGCCAACTCTTCACAGCGTCTACTCAATACGTCCTTTTGTAAGAGCACTGCGAAGTTACACAGATTATCTCCACCAAACATTGATTATATTCTTTGTCGCTTGTGTTAAACCATATACACCAATACTGCTTAAGCACATGTAGTACAACGCAATGCACACACCACTTGTGGTGATAACATTGCAACACAGAATATTACACATATTGCACGTACATGTATGCACACGTTGCATGCTTGTACCATTTTGTGTCCAACTGCACAACCTTCGCCACTACAGCGCCTGCATACCGACATACAAAGCGCAATGAGCATTCGCAGCAGTTGGCATATACAGCGACAGCACCTGTTCGCCTGTTTAAAAAATACGTCGCACTAGCGCGCTCTTCGTCCAAGTGGCAAGTTGAGAGTCTTACCAAGGATGTTCAGATGGAGGGAGTACATACGCCCTGTCGCCGTTGCAATTAATATTGTCTTATCTGTTTTAGCAAATTATATCTGTTTGCATTTCTTTTATTGAAATTTCATGTCAGAAACCGCATCTAAGATAGCGTTGATGGTGCGCTCTTCGTCGAAGTAGCCATTTGAGAGTCCAATAAAGGACGTTCACGTGAAGCGTGTCCATATATCCGTTTGCCTTTCTAATTAACATTGTACTATGAGTTACATTTGATCTGTGTGTACTTGTGTTACCAAATAATAATTTGATGTCAGAAACTACAACATAAAAAGAGTGTTGACAGTTTTAGTAAATGCAATCTGAATGAATGTGCAGAGTAACATAGCAACATATGTGCGGCCTGTTGGGTGTGGGGTTATTGGCTTCCTCTCAACTTACCAAGCGCTTTTAAAACTCGCAAATCTGAAAATCATTCAATTTCAAAAGAAGTATGTCAATACCAAATCCATGTTAATGAAGCAATCCAGTAGACAGATATGATAGTGATACATATTACACATCTTTCAGTATCAACAAGAACGTGAAATTATAAGTAAAGATACTCCAGAATATAAAAGGGTTACTATCAATATCATAAAGTTAATATCATAAGTTAAATATATATGGGCAAAATATACCAACCAAATAAGTTATTTTATATGAATTGTTTCAAAAGCGTTTTCGGGCTGATATATCTTGATAGACACCTGAACACACGTGACCTAAAAGTAATCAAAAGAGCAATGAGACATATTCCAAAGGAAATGCTGTTTATTGAATTTTCATCTGAGCATCATTGTAACTTGATATGTTATGTATAATTTTATATGGAAAATGTTTACCTGTATATAACATCTGAACACATGGTCCAAGTCAAAATAGGGAATTGCATCGGACATAATTAGTAAGCTCCCCTGAAGCCTTGGGTGTTGTAACAAAGTTTGAGCAAGAATCGTATGACACTATTTGAAATCTACGAAGCATGATCGCTGATGATGATGAGTTGGGGGTGAATATAATGTAACTAATGAAAACATTTAATAATGACATATCAACATGCAGCTTACTGACCTCAAGCCCAAGTGTACATATATTATACTAAAATCATTTACTTTACATAAAAAACAAACGTATAAATATTACAAATAATCTCTTACACGCGTCACTACGTTGTTTTCAGCAATTTCTCAGCTATGTAGAGCCATAAAGTAATACATTAAAGTATAAAGTATATAAAGTCATTCAATATTCATAATACATATAGGCAGTTCTTCAATATTTCATAGTGTATACGATAAAACATTCAGGAATGAACGAAATAAGGAAATGTTTACCTCCGGTATCGGTTGGACAACGTTGTACATCAAAACATCCACCAAAGGTCTTCTTCCAAGTGATGCCCTCGTAAATATCTTGTAGACAGTAACCTTGAATATCCTCTGGAAAATAGCAAATAAGGTTCCCCATAGGAGTACAACCAAGAACATATTTTGCCATGGGGGAACTATGACATCTAAACATCAATACTTAAAGACTTAAAAGGATTTGGGTAGTGACAAACAAATATCAATAATCCATGGAGATGATAAGAAAACACGTAATATTGAGAAAGATCATCAAAGAAGTGGCAAGTCACAGCACTGAATTTATAGTAATCTGAGACAACACAATTCGTTGCGTCCCACAAGCTTGAGATAATATTATTTAATTCGATTTCCAGATTTGACTGATTACATTCTTGTTTTGTCGGCACTTGTCGGTTTTCACTAAAGTTGTGAACGTTAAAGAGTTGCATCAATTCAGGCTTTTCCACTAACATTAAACTGACCCGCCGTGATATAACAAGATAATACTGTTTAAAGCGGCGCAGAATCCAACTCACTCACTCACCCTAAGTACCTGGTGTCTTGACAAAGAGATGGGCAGTTTTATTGGTAGATCCTGCTGGGTTCGTGATGATACATGTGTAATTAGCACTATGTTGTGCATTCCTGATGTTGAGACGCCTCCCGGTGGGGAAAACATCTTCTATTATTTCAGACGGAGAATCAGGTGGTATTTGGTTGTCGTTCTTGAGCCATCTGTAGGTGAAAGTGCCTTTCTCTATCGTGTCGTCAGGGGATAGACACCGGAAGCTGGTGGCGCCACCTTTCGTAAGTGACACCGCCAGAGGGCTCATTTCCAAAAGAGGAAGCGTGATGACGTCAACGATGACAGATGCATTGTCTACTTCATTAAAATCCTCGATTTCGCAGGTAAATTCGCCTAGTGAGGGAAAATACACATTATTCACTGATGAAAATATACCACGATATTTGGGAAATGAATACATGTAAATATTCATACATACGTTTGGCTAACCTTGGCTATTTAACAAGAGCTAACATAGATGATGGCTATCCATGATTGTATTGATCTGTGATATAACCTCCCAATATTCTTGAAACTAATGAATCACCAAAACTTAATATTAGCAGACACAGAAACGTGTTACCTCCAAGTGCGATACGTCCATTTGTCTTCCAGTACGAAGAAGTAAAACGACGTATATATGTCCATTTTGGAGTGGCCCCTTGTTTCAGGGTAAGTGTCATCGTACACCGACGGATAGGACATTGCTCAAAAGATCAATCGTGTTTGTATGTTCCAAACACACAGTCTTCATACAGCTGGAATATTGCTAAGAGCGGCGTTATACAAAAAGAACTGAACAACGATGAGTGTTTCAACAAATGCGTATTTGTGGAAGAGCCATACCTACAGACATTTATCATTAAAACCATGTCATGAACCTTCGGAGTGTGTAGGTGGTTTAGAATAGTTCCCCTGCACTAATTGGAAGAGACTTCACGAAATCTGTTGTTGACAATGTTTGTTTAGACAATGAGACTGATTTTCAGTGATCCATTCAATTAATTGTTAGCCCTATGATGCCTTTTACGTCCAATGGAATCTGTTTCGGCAGAAAAAACGGGATTGATTATTCTCTGGCTTTGACGTTTTGTATTTATGGACACATTCCCAATTCTTATTTGCTTGCTTTTTAAGACATTTTTGACATAATGTATCTGTCAGGTGTCAGAATGTACGCAGTGCAAAGAATCTCATGAGGAGTGCACTATATAAGCATACAGGTTAAGAATGTATTGCATCTTACGAGAACACAGCAATCCTAGAGGGGACATTGTCGCGTTGTCGCCCTTACAAATACAATCTATCGCATTGTCGCGCTTTGGTTAATTTTGACACTTTATGCTTGTTTTGGTAAGGGCGACAACGAGACAATGTCCCTCCTAGGATTCCATTAACTGGCGAGAGTATCATATCTGCTTAAACATGTGGAAGTTATCCACTTTCATAACCAGGGTATGAAAAAAGTATGAAATTTACCGTTTTAGATCGAATGAAATATTCACACTTTTAATACAAATATTCTCGACCCTTGCTGTCCAATACTCAAATATTCCAATTCAAAAATGTAAACATGCATTGATGAAATATATTAAATAAACTAATGATAGGTGAACTTCTTTGGCAGAAAACATTGCCCATTCTGTATTTAACATTTTCGACAAATACTGTAATGCGTGGAAGCTCACCCCCCTTACTCGCATGGGCAGCACTGGTAGTTACCGTCTCACTTGTATATGTTTGTATGTTTGTATGTTTGTATGTATGTATGTATGTATGTATGTATGTATGTATGTATGTATGTATGTACTCAGCAGTGTACTCACATCTGTTCATTCATTGACAATACCCAGTCAGTAAAATATAAAATACTACATTTTGTTGGTAAGTCATGCATTATTTGAGGAAGTATTTGCATGCTGAAAATATTTTCTTCCAAAATTAATATTTTATAACTTAAATGCTACTTCTAAAGTTACCTTCTCGTCAATAAAGCTTTGTATTGATGAAAGCTTATCGACGAAGCTATATACATGCAATGTAGTCCAGCAACAAACATCCTTCTTCGGGTTCCCTGATAGTTCGATTATATATCGCAAATAAACATTGTACTTAGCGAGCCTTGAGGCCAATATATATTTTGCCACTATTTTCTGGAAGACATTATTTTGGGGAAAAAATGGCATGCCCTTAAAGGTACCATACCTCATTCTGCAAAACAGTTATAACCCAAAGACAAGACAAGCACCCGAAGAGTCCATGATTACTTCAGAGTGTGTACCACAATGAGATTTAGTTAATCAATAAGTATATGATCAAGGATGTCAGTTGAACATCGTTTGCTAAAATGTTGTTTATATGTCTCAGATGTAAGTTAACAACGTGTAACAATAATCCAACGTCTAGTTATTTGTTATTGTATGCAGCTGTTTTGTCTGTTCTTACTTACATATCGTGGGAATTTCTGAGCAGTAAAGTTAAGAAAAACGGTAAGCTTGTCGTAAGAACCAATTAGGGATCAGACGCTTACACTGTGCCACCTTGCACTGATGGCGTGGATACCATCAACAACTATTTTGACTGACATAATCGTGATTGATCTGTCGGCTGCTTAACTTAACTGACTAAATGTGACTCTGGTGTCGAACAACATGCACTCACTCACTATCACGATTTTCATTTTACAACAGCTTACAGTTTTACTCACTCATTCACAAAAACTTTAAACTCTCACCTTTATCATAAAACTCAACTCCGTCTATGTTCAGTACACTGATCTGTTTCTTCCTGATGGTCCGAGGGATTCGAATTTCCCATGCATTCCTCTGACTTAGCGTGGTGTTCAACAAGGAGCCGTCCTTATACCAGCGGTATTTCATCTGTCCTGACCCTCGGGCTGTACACATGATGGTCAGTAAGTTGCCCTCAACGGCTGGCCGCTGGCCGTAGTGTTCAACCCCCAACAGTTTCATCTCTGTGAAAGAAAAACGTATACATGGGAACGTCGTTGATAGGAATCGCATGGAAACACAAGGTCTGATTAGCACCCTGTTTGCCCAACTAGATCTGTATATTTTGAAATGAGGAAACCTTTCGGAAATATAGACGAATGTTGTGTGGATCAGAATATACATATGAATAAGGATCAGGGGTTTTAGGAGTAGTTTTGTGATATAAGAAGAAGGCTTCCTTGGTCGAAACTGAGGACAGTACAAAAATTTATCTGATATATATAGTGTTAATGACATCTATTTGTCATGTCTGCATGGACTGGGGCCGAGTTTATGAAAAGACAGAAAAATCGCAAAATCACAACCACGGTTTGGTTTTCATTGATTCTAATCTTATAATTACAGCAAGTGAACAGCGAAAGTATGCCACGACTGACGGAAACCCAACGCCACAACGCCATCGACCGACTGCAAACAGGAGAAATGTCTTAAGCAGTGTCCAGGGTTTTCAGTGAAGCACCAAGCACCAGTACAAGACGGTGGAACCGTCATCAGACACACGGGACAACACGGGACTTTCCCGGATCCGGTCGATTACGTTTCACTACTAGAGCACAAGACAGATTCATACGGCTACGTCACTTACGTGAAATAACCACCACGGTCACCTCTACGACTACGGCAATACCAGGATTGCGTAGGATATCAGACAAGACAATGAGGAACCGTTTACGCGCTAAAAGTATTCGCGGTAGACGATAAACTCGATGTGTCATTTTGACGGACCTGCATCATCGGCCGCGACGTCAATGGTGTCAAGGTCACAGGGTATGGCCACAACTGCGAAGGAGACAAGTTTGGTTCAATGACGTGTCACGTTTTATGCTTCGCCGTGCGGATGGTAGACGTCGTGCTTACAGGCGTTCAGGGCACGTTTTGCACGAAACTGCATAGAGGAAGTGGCAGAATTAAGTAAAACTGACGTGGTGCTGGTTCTGTGAATTTAAACGGCACAACGTTACACGGATAAGATTCTTTGGCCACAAGTCCTTCCGATTACACAACAAGCGAACGTCATTTTCCAACAAGACAACCACCAACCTCGCACGGCAAGGCTGACAACAGCCTATTTCAGGATTCATTACATCCAGGTCCTTTCATGGCCCTCCAGGTCTCCATACTTAAACCCAAAGGAACATTTATGGGATGCACTGGATCAACGACTGCGAGCACGTCAGCAACAACCACAGAACCTCCGACAGTTGGCACAAGCACTGCAGGCAGAGTGGGTAAACATTCCCCTGGCCACAATTTGAGATCTGATTGCTTCCACGGAACGACAAAGCCAGTGCGTTTTTTACTATAATTGTGGCCATACAAGATACTGAGAACAGATGACCTTCACCTTGAAATCTACTCTTCCACGTGTTCCATATGGAAACTGGGTCAATGACAATGATGTGTGCCAATATCCATCTGTTGTTTATTTATATAATAAATAAAATATACATCTAAAATCTCTTTTGCGTTTCTCTTTTTTGCAAAGTATATAATTTCTATCGATGTTTAAAATGGTTTTTTCTCTCATTTTAGTTATGTTCCAGTGGTTTAATGACAATATTGCTTAAGGTTTCCATTAGTATATAAATTGACATTTACAGAGAGACATAAAGGGTCCGCCTTATCATGACATTTTGTTCCGCAAAATTGCTTGGAAGGCTTGTTGGTTATGTAGTGAGATACAAAAAGAAAAGATTTGATAATGAAAGAGAATCAAATTAAGGGAGATTTATATTTTTGAACAACATACAATATCTTGATTTTTAGGTGATGCAAACAGCGTTAAGTATGATTAAACTTGAAAGAAAGAGAATTAATAGTATTAGTATTGATAATTTGTGTCAATGTGTTAACAAATGGACTGTCTCATTTAATTGAAAGGTTGGTAAGCTTGTATAAGTGTAAGCAGAATGAGTGTAGACAGGGTGAGCTGTAAGCAAAATGAGAAGTCACCAGGGCGTGCATCGATCCATGACACGGTTCAGTGACCAGATAAATGAGCAATTTCTTATTTTGAGGATCGCCTTCCAATGAGGTTCTCATGAAGGTACACACATCATATATACTACAGTTGATACAAACTGACTCAGAAGCTTTCTTGAAACAACATGATTTAATGTGGAACCATTGTGCTTTAGTGAGCTTCACAACAAAAAGCACATAGTAGTCGATTTTCTATCAGAATTCCTCACATAATGCTTCATATCTCCGACATGCAGTTATCCACTGTATTTCTATTTTCAGTGTGCTTGCTTGTTGGTTTACTCACTGTGTGTATGTGTATGTGTATGTGTATGTGTGTGATTCCTTACCCAGTGTGTGTATGTGTATTTGTGTGATTCCTTACCCAGTGTGTGTATGTGTATGATTCCCTTCTGCATGTGTGAGTATGTATGCGATCCCCGGCTGCACTTGTGTGTAATGCCTTTCCAATTGTGTGTCTGTGTGTGATTCCCTTCCGCCTGTGTGAGTCTGTGTGTGATCCCAGGCTGCACTTGTGTGTGCATGTGTGTAGGCTTTCTTTGATATGTGTCTTTTGACTAATCTTGTTTATGGAAATCTATGAATGGTCCCCGACTGGCAATATGTGTAATGGTGCTTATTACATTGCCTCAATCGAATACATTATTTGTCAGGAAGTCAAGCTTTTGAACACAACAGCACTTCGATGCATACATTCGAAAGATCTCGTTAGATGTGTAAAGCAAATAAAACGAGTTCCACTGTCAAAACTGTTGAGACGTTAATGGCTGTTTATGGTTGTGAGAATGGCAGTTTTGCTCCGAAGCAGGAGGAATGGTACTTGACTTCCGTTTCAAGCGTCACGTGTGATTTGAGATAGCATGTTATACGTTATGAATGCAATGAAACCAGACTTGGCCGACACTGGAATAATATGAGTATATTTTCACGAGGCGAATTAATATACACCCGCTCTAAGAGAGTTAAATCTTACAACATTCTGGCTGGTAGTTTATAATTATCTTTAAAATGTTCTCAGACATTTCTATATTTGGCCACAACGATAATTGTGGTAATATGGATAATAATGATATAATGATATCATGTCGATCGGACACATGACCAATACATTTCACAACGAACCGCCATTAACCGACGGTGCCTTTTTTCCTACAACGCCATAGACACGTAACAAGAAGAAAAGAGAAAAATGCCATTAGCATGTGTATGTACACCACTGCATCACACGTTAAAAGCATTACATTACTTGACTTGGAGACAAACCAAGGTTATATCATTCAAGGTTAATGAAATCATTTCAGAAAATCACAGAAACTCGGTTTTGGTCAGTAAATAAAATATGTACCCCCTATATATGTAACGTGAGGTAATATGTGACGTCTGATTATATATAGGGGGCATATATTTTTAGTTACTGACCAATAACGAGTTACTGTGTGAAGATACAGCGTAGCGTGGAAACATCCTCTAGAGATGCAGGCTCACAGGGAGTACAATAACACCAGTCAATATATTAAAATAGACTTTACGAGAACACCAAACATGCTCTTGACAGATGACTGCAGTCTGTAGGTCACCTTCATGAGGGAGTGCAAAGTTTGGGTGAGAGCGCGGCGGCAGACTCGAGTGTGGAGGGATTGGTGGTTGTGAGAGTGCGGCAGACTCGAGTGTGGAGGGATTGGTGGCTGTGAGAGTGCGGCAGACTCGAGTGTGGAGGGATTGGTGGCTGTGAGAGTGCGGCAGACTAGAGTGTGGAGGGACCGGGGGTGTAAGAGTATGGGAAACTCAGAACATGAAGGGTGTGTGTAGCTAGGCGTCCGGGCAGGGAGCGTGGAGGGGAGGAGGAGGGTGGAGGGGGTTGTGGTTGGTGTGTGAGGGGAACATGCCCCAGAATAGTTACACTTCCTGAGATCACACCGCCCTTGATTTGACACGGTAATTGGGAGGAGGAGGGTGGAGGGGGTTGTGGTTGGTGTGTGAGGGGAACATGCCCCAGAATAGTTACACTTCCTGAGATCACACCGCCCTTGATTTGACACGGTAATTGTCTGTGTTTCCCATATCTTGCCGGTCCTAAATTACCCTTCCGCTAAAAAATAATTGAGACAAAAGTGTTTTTTTATATCCATCCATTCGCACGCTTGAAACTATGTCAAGCCGCCAAGGACTAGATAACCTCGACCTATATTTGACACGGTACTGTTACGAGCGGTGAAAGAGCCAGCGGTAACAGCGGTAGCTCGAATTCTGCAAATGGTTTCAGTTCAGTGTGTAGAGACCGTCGCTGACAGAAAGCTGACCCTAGCTTTCACTCAAAACATGTTTCTTATGGTATGATGGGTTTGGGCCACGAAAAATCTTTCGTCTTGTTCTTCACGAATATGTTAACTTCAATATGCTTCTGCTTTTGTAATATCCTCTCCGTGACGCCAGATGACTGAAGTAGTTTCAAGTTCAATTAGCCTTTTGGGTGTTTTCGACCTTCCCCAAAAGATACTTTTGAATTGCTTGGTAGACGATGTCGGGATAAGAAACGGAGTAGAGTTGTGTCACTTAGTAGCGCCGTCAGGATCCGCTGATCGCATGTTCGAATCCTAAATCGTTTATGATGATTAGTTTTTCAACACCTTGGATAGTAGGTTTCATTTTTGGTTTTACTCACACATGATATTAACACCCATGATAGAACTAAAGTGCTTGTCATAGAGCTGTTTAACCAAACTCATTCACTCACTCAAAATACACTTACTTAAGAGGACCTTCATTCTGTAATAAATAACATGTCCCATATTTTCTTGTTCGGGTAAGTAATTCTTAAACAGTAACCATAAGGAAATAACAAATAACCAAAAAATTATGTTCACATTTTGAATCGTTTTAGACACACACTGATCACTTGCATATCCGTATAGAGAAGGGAGCTGTACATGTGCACGTTTCTTGCTAAAGTGACAACATCGAGTCGATAGCTTACAGTATCTGAACGTATTTACCATATAAAAGTAGATATATACAAGGAGCACTATTTGTCGGATCGGCACATAATGATAGCGGTGGTGGAGGTGCTCCGGAGCACCTCGCCTAACCCCCTAGCTAGCCTAAGGGTGAGTCCTCACTCTGTCTCTCTGGACCAAGACATATATAGTAAAGGTCACCCTGCACGGATTGAATCATAAATAACAGTAATTAATGAGAAGTGACACAGTCACAAAGCTCGTTGGGGTTGGCTGACATTAAATGAACAATCAACATTAATAAGAATAACAATGAGACAAGCATATTTAAATCTGTAATGGTAGTTGAGTGATTCTACACATATACATGTCATGGCTACATGGTAAATAGCCTTTGGAATTAAATGTCAGTTCAGTCAAAGGGTGTCCTGAATCGGTCTCCATGACAACATCTTGAATTCAAAATGTATATGTTTTAATCTAAATTGTTTTAATATAAATCTGTGGGTCAAAAGAAAGCATACACCCGCGTTTTAATGGTGGCTAAAAATATGAAGAAAAAAAAAGGTCATTCAACGGTGATGTGTTCCTTATGTGTTCCGGCGACTGTTTTCAGCCAAGTATTGTTTGTTTGTTTGTTTGTTTGTTGTTAAACGCCGCACTCAGCAATATTCCAGCTATATGATAGCGGTCTGTAAATAATCGAGTCTGGACCAAACAATCCAGTAGTTGACATCACGAGGATTGATCTACGCAACTGGTATACGATGACATGCATCAACCAAGTCAGCGAGCCTGACCACCCGATCCCGTTAGTCGCCTCTTACGACAAGCATGCGTTGCTGAAGACCAATGCTAGCCCGGAATCTTCACGGGACCTCAGCGTAGTAACGTTTTGATAACGTTTGTAATTGTTTAATCAAATCCAATTTTCAAGTGAATTCTTTCTTTTACCCTGCACTGAACACCATCACCTATCCATGCAAGACCGTATATCTTTCGCCTGCACGAATGTGAAACACAAGGAAAATGATTATCACGTCTACAGTTGAGTGAGTGAGTGAGTGAGTGAGTGAGTGAGTGAGTTAAAAGTTAACGTCACATTGGCAATAGTTCAGCCATATCGTGATTGAACAAGTGGTCTATGCACTGTGTTCTTTTATTGTATTTTACATACGCTGTGTTCTGTCTTGCTCTGAATACAAAACTTTTTATTATTATTTTATAATTATTGTTACTTTGTTATATTCAGCAATATTCATTATGACGCCAACTTGCGAATAATCGAGTCTGGACCAGAGAATCCAATTATTGTTATGTGCAAAACCCCACACCATCGTTGTCTGTCATACAGACCCTGAACCAAATAATTATATCTAATACAGCCCATGCAAGTCCACAATAGTGAGTCTCGATTACTGCAGTTTTAGAACATCAAGAGAGTCTCCGGGCTCCTTTTCATAATATTTTATTGATATAATTCAACAACTGCTTCTTTCTGTAAAATATGTTCATTGCTGAGACTAGATGTTAGTCAAACACTATCGGCGTACGGAGACAGGCAATCAGCCAATCCAACGACTCTGAACACCCGTTCCATTACGTCACCGCATACAGTGACGGGTGTAAATACTCTTAACCTGAAACCCCCTGGGATCGACATCAAAACGAATAAATGAAGAGACATTTTCCTTGTAACAATAGCGTCGTGATGTGAAATTGATATTCTTCTTGATACTAATGAATCTTTAATCGATACATATCTTTTACATTTGAAATAGAAATCACCTAGCCAATATGCTCTCGGTTTCCGTATAAGAGGAAGTGCATTTATAGCAAATGTAATTTGCCCTTACTTCACCTCAAAACTGGACTCTCGGACGAATTAGAAAATTATACAAGACGAATCCCTGAGCAGCGACAGACAGACAGACAGTTTATTCAGTAAGAAGGCCATAGGCCCATAATACAGACAATGGTTGATTGCATGAACTACGCATGCCAAGGAAGTAGTCGATTTAAGTTTCTCTTAGCCGTTGGACTTTATATATATATAAACATGTGTTTTATACAACATCAAAGTTTTCTGATGAAATAATTTCAGTAAAAGATGTTACAGTTTGAAACTTGATATATTGTTTAAGATACATATTTCTTAGGGCTGAATAACGCTCACATACAAGTAAAACATGAAATTCATCTTCAATAAAAGATATACCATTTTCTATACAATATTTACATAATCGTTCAGTGTATGGGACATTTGTGTATCTCCCCAAGTCAATTGCAAGTTTAAACTTGCTACATCTGAAACGAGTCATACATATTCTCAGATGTACCTGAGCAGCGACTGACTATAGGATCAGCTGATTTTAGAAATAGCCGAAACAATTGAAACATTCCAGCCTTCTACAAAATATTTCATTGATTTTCTCTTAATTTAGAAGAATACCAGACGAAGAGGCAAAAGTAGCCTGTGTGTGCATGTGTGTCGGTGTTAAAGTGTAGGCCAAGGGAGATGCTTTGCCGCAGTTTCACAGGGATACCATACTCAGACCCAGTATACTGACTCGAGGCGACCAGTCCTTGTTTTATTCCTTTAATGCTGAGCGGTCAGACGCGTATATATAGTTACTGATAACCAAGCCATTAAACTATTGTAAAAGGTAAACTACACTTAAACAAGGGTTTTGGAGTATTTTGGGGGTGGGGGTGGCGTAGTTCACCTTGGATCTGATACATAATCAATAATCGAGACAAGAGATTAATGTACGTTGTCCTAATTCACACGCCGAGCTACCTTCAATCACATTGACATCTGACCGTAATTCTTTATCTGTCAGAGACAAAACAGATGATCAAATACATGTAGTTATTATTAGGACAGACTATCTCCTCCATACTACTTGAGTATTCTATGGTGCAAACTACATGGTCCATTCATCGTTTTGCCTTCTCGATAGAGTGAGTTCGGTTTAACGCTGTCTTTGAACGGTATTTCAGTTATTTCACGACGTGTAAGGTTAATGTGGGTTTACAAATCCATGGGCACGATGAGGATGCTGACTAACCTAGAAATATAATCACGGGATTCGAACCAACGATCATAGTTTGTAGCACGCCTAAGTGACGCAACTCTGCACCTTAAATTGCGGCGCTTTATACGACTGGGTCACCCGTATTCCCATTCGATAGATCTTACATGAGACACACTAACAAGACATACCAAACAAAATGTGTGTGTTCAGGTGTGTGAACCGTTTTGTGAATTACCCAGAGTCCCCACAGCTGTTTTACTAAGACAGAATTTATGTTATGACTAGTAGTTCAAGAACTTGATCGTACATCTCGCTATACTCGCTTGCTGTAAGCTCATCTGTATTTTCTCATATTTGAGTATCTCACATCCCACCGGATGCTTTTTTCATATCCACACATTAGCACGCGAGACTATATGGCCTGCCCTCGTTAAAAATAACTATTTCCCGATATGAGATAACCTTGCTACGACCCCATCGCCCTATATTTGACAAGGTGCCATTCGGAGCAGAGGAAATCCAGAGCCTTGGCTTTCAACTTCGACACAGAAACTGTTGCACTGCGAACATAGCACTACTTTAAACTAATCAATTGTCAACCGTTTTCTCAAAATCTTCAACAAATCAGTTGTAAAATCAATTTTGTTTATTTTTATATTTAAAAATGTATTTCTCCCCATTGGAGATAAGCAAAACACACCAAAAATAATGTGCAGGGGCGACGCATTGACCCAGTGAAAATGTCCACGTAAGGGACACAGGTTTGTCTGGAATGACACGAAAGGCTTTAAGGAGTAACGCATGTTCTTGTTCTTTGACGACCGAGGTAATTACTCACCTGGATCTGCCTGATATTTCATGGCAGCATTGTCGACTTCTACACCGAATAACCTACTGCCCGTGGTCAAGAACTGCAGACCTCTGTAGACCAGTTCCAACTCAATGTTCTCAACGTAGAAGTGGAACGCCATGACCTTCTCGTCAGATTTATCTCTGTAAATATAATGATGACAGTATTATGTAGTATGTTTCAAATGACCATTATGCATACATAATGATTGCAAGTAATTACATGTACTCTAGTATTTAAAAAAATATAAGGGCAAAGTTTAAAGAAGCACATGGTGGACCCCAGTCCTTTAATAGAAACCCACGAGCATAGTTATGGTACTTAAGAGTTGGCGCAACTTTGCATAATGCACTTGCTCCATGGCGATTAAACGGATATGGTGCTGAAAGGATAATAATCCGGGTGAATCTCAAACACACGACAAGCCTATCCTTGGGTTAAGCGAGTTGCAAACTGCGGCGCCTAACACTTGTTCCCAATTGCTATATGTGCTTGCCACGTTACTAGGACCTAGTAAATATAACACCTCAGGGGGCTGAGAATGTAAATTGAATGTTCACCGATCCTGGGTAATAATTATATATCATCAGCTCAGGTCCCTTGCCTACTCTACACGCAGCCCAGACAGCGAATGGGACTTCTCATTGGAAGCTCTGCCCAGTCGAATCCACCCAGAACTTTTCGGAGAATGTGAAGACTCCCCAACACTGCCGTCTTCTGCATTACCCAGATTGTCAGAAGGGCTGTGTTCCTGGTAGCAAACCCGGATCCCCTTCCAATGTCAGTCAAAAGATTGGGAGGTACCAAACCTAAGGCACCGATCATTGGATTTATCAAAAAGGACAAGATAAGGTTTGTTGGCCTGGATAGGCATGAGGCTGTATACGGGGCTATTCAAAAGAATTTTGTATTTATCATTTTCCATGACGCTTCTATATATTCTGGGTCGTACCATGGATGGACCTCTGTGTCAAAACCACAAGCATGGCGAAGACGGTAATAAAATGACCGAGCCATTCCATCATGTCGCTTAAGATATTGTGTCTGTGCCAAAGCTGGGCTTCCACTGACAATGTGTTGGACAGTCTCATTAAATTCATTGCATAATCTGCATTTCATGTTTACATTTTGATGCAAAATCACACATTGACAGTTTCGAGTAGGATGTGACTGATCCTGAGCAGCAAACAGAGAGCCTTCTGTTTCTCTTTTCAGGCCAGCCGACTTCATCCAAGCGAAGTACTCTGCAGGGTTGCTCATCTTCTCAACACACTGCACGTAAACTCGATTCAGCGGTCGTTCAGCTGCCTCTCCTTGAGTCTGGGCTGATTTGATACGGCACTTCGCTTGGTTGACACTCATTTCTGTACAGCCCAGCAGTACATGAACATCAACAATATCAACACTGACATTGAGGTAACCATCATCATCATTATTATTGCAGAATGAGATATATTCTATGTTTACTAAATCAATCCTTATAGAATGTTCTCCGAGGATTTAAAATAAACGTAATGTAGTGGTTAAAAAGTTGTTGTTGTAAAGTTATTTAGCAAGGAGGTGATTGAGAAACATGCGTTCAATTTGGATGTTTTCAGCAAGGGAAATAAATTATTTGCTGAGGAAAAGCATATGATCCAGGTTTACATCCGGTAGTACTCTTGCACCACTACGCTTCTCTAGAACTGTGGAGCAGGCTATGCGAAGTAATTTCTGAGCTTATTTTCTGAAGAAATGTGTTCCACTTGCCAAGAGCAAAAAATAGAAAACATTAAGCGATAAAACTTGCATTTGAACCAAATGCTATCCACGGCTGTGAGTGAGTGAGTGAGTGAGTGTGTGAGTTATGGCATGTCTCGCAATTATAGTTATTCTTGTGTACTTTAGTGCTGCTACATTGCTGCTACAAGCTACAATAATGCTACTCTGATAACTACTACAACTACACAACATCAACGCTACACTGACGCTTGATGCTTGATGCTATAACGATGATACAGTGATGTGTCAAGTGATGCTGCTATGCTTTCGCGCTATTTTTGTTTTATATGCTCGAAAAATCTATTACATGATAGACTCTACTTAAAAAGGTCTATAATGGCCCCCATGAATCGCTTTATGGAATCACCAATCGTCTTAAACATGTAGATATAAAAACAGTAGAGTAAAAATAACAAACCTGACGCCATCAAATCCAAATCTTGTTACAGATTTTATTCCCGAGAGATCCAGGGTATAGATTACCTGTCGCATGAAAAGACAATTGTTTCATGATGTATATGTAACAGAAATAATAATAGAAGGTAACGTTCTTTATAAATTTGTCTTCCGACATTAGTGAGACAGCGATTGTATCAACTTATGCAACTTGGTTGTGTCGCATGTCGCAGACGTTTGCGGCTTTGGTGGAACCCACAAGAAAGGATATAGAATTGACAGACCAAGGGTCATTCATCACCCGATCCTGCCACGACTAAGGACACGACTCTGCACAGGAGAGCTGCGGCTCCTATATCCACTCGGCCATCCATCCCTCAATATTCAACATCATCATTAATAATAATGTATGTAATTGTGTCATATTGTAATGTGAGACATTAACTGAAATATGTAATGTTGAGATATATCTATTCCCCTCGCTGGCAAACCATGCGCTATAATTGAATCTGAGATTCGAACCTACAACCCTCTGATTCTTGTACTTAAGAGTCACAACTCGTTCCCCCTACGAACTTAAAAATAGAAATAAGTATAGCTGAACTTATTGAAGCAGAAGTGTTTCTCGCCATAATCAGTCCTTATCTGAAAACATCCAATCTTCAAGGCGATAGATAATTTTTGGTTTTGTCCGCTATAAAATCCGGTTATGATTTATATTCTTAGAATGTCACTATTGGCCGGATTTTAACGGAAGATAAATGAAAGCGTCAAAACTATAAAGACAAGACTGTCCAGAGTAATCTTTTCTTGTCTTAACTATGCCACCATGGTGCTTGCACCTTTTCCTCTGTCTGAGATGCAGCAGAAACCCTTGTCATCTGGTCCCCGTCCCACAAAGTATTCGTAGAGCTAAGGCGATCGTAACTCCAATACTAACTAACCGTATCTACTGTCATAAACGACTCGTGGTTTAGGTACAGCTTTTACAACATAACACATACCCGTCCTTTCAAGGTGGCCGTTGCATCAAACTGTGGTGATGTAAATCCGGCAGGGATCATCACGCCTTTTCTGACCGGTACAGTGACAGTAATTCGATACATTTCTGGGAATCAAAGAAAGGAAGTATTTGCAAAATATCCAACATAGCATTCAGGAAAAGAGGAGTGTCGCCGATATCCTTTTGTTCGACAGAGATCATGAATCTTTATATCGGACAACACGGCGTTTGATGCAAATACACAAAATAATATTCGCATTTATTTTGACTTGGTAAATGACACCTTTATGTTTTTACTTAGGTCTACCTCTCTCGTTCGTATTTCCAAATTGTGAAAATGGTGTTGAATCGTCAACAGAGTTGGTGAGTAAGTGAGTACGGTTTACGCCGCTTTTAGCAATATTCCAGCAATATCACGGCGGGGGACACCAGAAATGGGCTTCACACATTGTACCCATGTCGGGAATCGAACCCAGGTCTTCGGCGTGACGAGCGAACGCTTTAACCACTAGGCTACCCGGCCGCCCCCGAATCGTCAACAGAGTGAGTCTTAGCGATGGTTAGAATAACGTAATTACACTATCGTGTGATTGCTGATAGTTGTTACAACCAAGCTTTTTAAGGTAATATGTTGATATCGTACAAACCATATCACGCTTAATTTCAATTAACCCCGAATGGCAAACCACAATATCCCATACAAATTACCATTACGTCTTTGTTTAAAATGAAATCATGATGAGATGCGAAATTAAGATATTTTAATCAGATCAATCCAGTTTAGAGGTTGATGATCTTTGTTGAAGAGGTTTTTCCCCAGATGTGTTGAAAGGACACATTTGTCTGGATTGTAAGACGTTCGTTGAACTGTACTCAACTAACCGTATCTACACTCATACTCATACTCATCCGCATGCTTGAACAGAGACACTCTGGTTTGGACAGATGTGCCATGAACTATCAATGACACAGGACATAAAGAAGATGGCCTAAGAAGTAGTTTTAATAATGTATGAGTGAACCACTTAGGGGCTTTGTGGAAGAACTTGGTAACCTTATCTGCATTACCTTTAGAATAATTATTTACAATAGCAATAAAGGTTCTCCAGCAACAGGTTACGCCTTTTGCCCCACCTACACACGTGCATACTTCAGGCCTCCTCGAAAATTTCCCTCTAATGCCTCGTTTCACATTTATGGTTAGTTGTGCGGATCGGAGAGTTCCTTTGAAATTTATATGACAAGCACTAAATTATTAATTTGACAGTGTGACGTCAGTGTTTGCAACACACCAAACCTGTTCAATGGGGCAGCATATTATCAAAGCTTTAAGCCCGTAGTGCTCTTAATCTTGCATCACTACTGCACCATTATCTAACAAGGAAGGCGTATCAATACCATGATTTGGGGACTGAATGGCCATACTCGGGACACATTGCGAGAACTAGCCATCTAGCCACTAGCCGAACGCAGTAGATTACGGTTGGGCTTTTCCAGTTCAGTTCTACCAATGGTGCATTTTCATGATATGCTCTCTAAATCAGGGTTTGATGGTGAACGTACATCCTACTTTGGCATAAAGAGCCCCAAGCGCACTGTCATATGAAACCTTGCATGAAGCGCTCCAATTACATTATACTATATACCATACAGGCTGCATATGGGACATACATGCGTTATTAACAGTCATAGACATGTGAGTCAGTTTGCCTTGTGATTATTATTCCAGAGACAGATGGGATCAATACCAGCATGCTTCTCAAAGCTAAAGTTCTAAAAAGCAGGCCTCATTAAGACCCCGTGATAAATCTATTAAAATCAATATTCATAAAACAGATTGCGTCTCAAATCGTTAATGGGGGCATGATGAAGCCATTGAGATCATGAGACTAGCTCTTTGATTTAAAAGCACATACACAACGGCACCCTGACCGTAGCTTCTAGCATGGGTTTACAGCCTTCGATTTTCTATCTTCACCACAACGGTAGGCTTGATATGGGGAAATAATGAATCGACAAAGCTGCAAGGGTTACTGTAGAGAAACACCAAGAGCAGTGCAGAAACATCCGCCATATTTCGGACACTTCCACCTGTAATTTAGCTACACTAAAAATCACTTTGGCCTATAAGAAATGGGTTTTTTTATAAGGAAGAATGATCTATTTCTACATCACGACATGTCCACACGTTGCTATTTTGATGACTTTACATGATTCCCTTTTCCATGCTTATGGAATTTCGACTTTATAACATTAACTATTTCCAGATCATTTTTAGAAATGTTTTTTTTACATGACATCGGTACGTCATGACTCGCAAAGAACAATGATGAACGAAGCGTTGTTTATTCCACGATAAAAATTGTTCTATCGTGACGTCGTTTCTGGAGATTCGAACATGCGCTCGCAACTTGATGACGTCGTATATATAAAGATGTTATTTTTGAGAGGGGAGAGTCTTGTGAGTTGTTCCACATAGATGTAGCTGGTCAATGCATATAAACGCAGTAGTCGAACGATCGCATCCCGAATCGGGAGAGATATGATAATCAGTATTGGGTACAGGTAACCTGAGTGAGGAATGTAAGAATATACGGGAAATACCCACCTGTGCATAAAGTGGACCGGATTCTATTGAGAGTGTCATTATTATTTCCATATATATTGCGTTACCTATTTACCGATGCACACAACTTTTTAATGAAAAGGTTTTCTTTAGCTTTACGCTGCATGGCACCAGCAGTATTCATTTAAAAGAAAAGGAATATCTTAATATTACGCCTTTACTGCTACGCATTTGTCGAAGTGAGCGCTTAAGGGGATGTACTTTATTTTTGGGTCCTTTATTTGTTTTTTATGGACGCGCATTCTGTCCGTAAAGCACTTAGTTTGTCGAATCTATTCTTCAGGACATCCTTGGCGTATAATAACATAAATAATATGTTTTGCGGAGCTGTGCAGTGTAGTTTTACGCCGTCGTTAGCAATATTCCAGCAATATCACTGCGGGGGACTCCAGCTATGGGCTTGTACCCTTGTTGGATATCGAACCCGGGTTTTCGGTGTGAGCGAACGTTTTAACCACTAGGCTACCCTTATGGTAATGTATAGGAATTACTCATTTTGTCAGAGCATCTTCTTTTAACAGCGATCAAGGCATATACACACTCAGTATATACTCAAATCAATCATCAAAGAGGCGACTAATGGGATCGTGTGTTCAGTCTCGCTGATTTCGTGCATGCATTTCACCGTATCCCAAAAGCGAAGATCGATGCTAATGACTGGATTGTCTGGTGCAGATTATTTACAGACTATCGTCATATGGCTGGAATATTGCTGAGTGCGGCGTTGAAGAACAAATAGAACAATTATCATTACCGCCATTGTTAATCTTTCATTACTGCCCCCTTGTATTCCTGTTTGCATTCCTAGAAGCTTCTTAGCTTTGTATATGAATATACTCCCCTGTGTAAGCGTAACCAAACAGTATCCATATGTATTGATTCGATCATAATGAAGAGGGAAGAGGTAGCCTCGAAACGTTGTAACAAACACGTTTCATTTCTTCAAGAAACAAATTGTCAATTATTTACGTACCAAGGCTTGTAGTATTATGTAATTACAATATCACAATATGGGCTAGAGACTCCATTTCGTAGGCTTTACCTTTCTCCATGCAAGTGGCATTATCGGTATCCAGCTTAAATCCCTCCAAACACGAACAATAAAAGCTTCCATCTTGAGACTGTTCACACAACTGACTGCAACCAAGGTTCTCACAGTCTGAAACAAGACAACCAGGTGTTTTACATTTTACAAAAATGGGTTAGTCAGAACAAAAGAGATTAGTTCTGATACTGATCTGAGCAAATAACATTTGAATATTTAGTAATAGTAACCTAAAATGTTTTGCAATGGGTGCCGAAGAGAGTTTGAAAAAGCGTGATATGGTTACTTGATTATTGTTATGAACGGTTGGTGCCGTAACACACACGTTAGGTTCATACGGTTAAGTCAGAATAGAGAAATAATGTAGTGGAAGTAATAATAAAGACAGAAGATAGAGAGAATAGCTTAGATGAACATTTGACAATTATACGCGTAAAAGACGATACATCGTTCACGGATTAGTATCAGTTAGTGTCCCTTTCAGATAGGTTCCATTCACCTGACAGCTTTCCAAAAGCATCAGTAAATTACTCCATATAATATCCCAATGTATTGATATTTGTAGGGCTGTGGAGTTTCGTTACCCATGACAATCTTAAAATCACCCAGGACACAAACAGCTTTATACCTTCATATCACTTATTCTACTTGGTGTGATTAGCTATTGTATAACACAACGTCAAATCATTGATGATGTTTTCTTGCAGTTGTTTAACGTTTTGTACTTCCACCTCTGACGCTGATAACAGGAAATATGTTTTACATTTGTATCAGTCCCAACTTAGTCATGACGAGCATGAGTGAGTGAGTGAGTTGGGTTTAATGCCGCTTTTAACAGTATTCCAGTTATATCACGGCGTGTCAGCTTAATGTGTGAGGAAAGCCCGAAGTGATGCAGGTCTCAGACGTTTACCACTTCGGTGAAACCGACGAGCACGGGTATGGTGCTGACAAACCTAGAAACATAATTGGGGCGAACCGGGATTCGAACCCACAATCATGGGTTTCTGGCGTGCCCAAGGGACGCAACTCTGCACAGCGAGTCGCGGCGCCTTAGACGACTGGGCCATCCGTGCCCCCATGACGAACATGAAGTATTAGGGGTCTATTTTATTCCCGAGTCATAAACGAGATGTTTTTTGGAAAAGTAATAATACATGGATATTTTGTAATGCGCTGTAGGCCATCCGTTGACGGATGCTCAAAGTGCTGACACCATTATTGCCCCGGCAATTAATCAGTGTGCATTCGATTCACTCTCTCAGCTCCCCAGGGAGTATAGAACCCAAGCTGCCTATGAAGCACATAACCATATCCTACCAGGTACCCATTCACTGCTGGGTGAGGCATATTTTGAACAGCCTAAGGAGATACCACATGTGCTACACGTTCTTGTAGGTGGGGAAAGACCGAAGCTCCAGACAATGTCAGTAGCCAAGCTGCCGACAACGGTCATCCATCCAACCATTCTCCGTGACACGCGTTGGTTAACTTCACCTGATTTGTGACCTTTGTGGTGTACATAGGACCACATGTCATCACGGCCTAACAATTGTGGAAACCAACATACTCCCACCTGCTTTACAGAAAATATCAGTGTGTTGAAACATAAAACCACTAAAGCATGAAGGTCTATCTATATCTAATGGTCGCATTGTACATACTGTAAACTCATCACATGGAAACGGCAGAGGTACATTGGCTTCAACAGAGGCCGCTATTCTTTCCCCAAATATCTCATTTGTAACTTCGGAGTAGAATTGATCCCTGCTACCTCATGCTCGTCGTGACTGAGATCGGGCTGGTACAAATGTCGTGACTAGCTACTGAACAGTTGCCTTTCATCAATGCTTGGTCTGTCGAGGTTTGTCTTCAGGAAGCAATAATATATAACGGTATTTCTCAAGTTTCAAATGATCGTGGCAGAAGCCAAGAAAATGGGGATCCGAGTGCTGTCATATCCTGACGGTGGGGATAACTGTAATGTTAGTCTGTCACTGGTTTCTCTGGTCCAGATTAACACCTATGACAAACTTATTCACCCATCCCGCAATTGAACACAGAAACGACCACCTCGTTCACAACTCTAGAATCCAGGTGTTAATTCAGACCTTGATGTACAACGAACTTTCCTGATTACGAAAGTCCCACTGTTCTTATAGAAATACTGTTTGACAAGACAACCAAAACAAGGCACGATGTAACAAGTCACTGATCATATTATTAGTATGAGAATATTCCTCCAACGAACGAATGTTTCCTTATCATGCTGAAGTTTCAGTATTGAGAGTTCATTGCTGAAACAATGTTGAATATCAGCATATGAATACCGGAGGCAGGTATATCAGCTCATATCCAATATGACGGAGGTTGCGGAGACCACTATGGGTTAAACTACATGTATCATAATCTGTACCATCCCAATATGATAATTTTGACTACCATTCATATTCCAGGGTAGACACTAACCCAGTTTAGTCACTATAAACCCGAGGATGATTCATACACTTCATTTTAGTTATGTATGCTAGTCCTATAGGTACTTTTTAACATTGCTATATTTTAGCTGTGGCGACTAGACTAGTGACATATCAATGTTGCATTACTCTACGGCTTTAAAACCAAATGAGAAGGGAATATTGAAACTGCATGAACCCGAGATAAAACGTTATCCCTATATCCCGATAGTACGAATTAAGAACTCACATGCTACAAAGTTGCATATTGCAAAACTGAAGTCAGTGAATATTTTAAATTGGCATGCATCCATTAGCGACCGCACTTCACTAGAAACAGTTGTGTGTATGCTTTGTGAAAAAATTGTGGCCACGAAGTGGCGGGTGTTACCGATAGAGGAGGACATGCTTACAATATCGCTAACACCACAGTGATTTTATAAAGGTCATTACTAGTTTGCCTTTTGCGCCCAAAGGAATCTGTTTCGGCAGATCATCAAGACTGAGTGTTCTCTGGCGTAGCGTTTTGAACTAACAGGAAAATACCTTGGCGGGCAACTGAGATGAAAGTGTGCCTTCATCCTTCATCCAAATTTATTAAGCAATAGCACAATGTCAGGAGTTAAGCATTAGAAGTATTAGCTTAACAACACGCAGGAAAGATACAGATACAGAATGCTAGTGCAGTGTCATGTTATGAAAAAGCATTAATGCGACGCAGATTATGAAGTGAAATGAGAATACAGCAGACAACACATTTAGCAAACGCTCGACAAACACATGGACACGTACGCATTTGTATTAAAACTGGTTTGCAACAACTTAGCTGCAGCACCAAGTCTCTGTAGCTCGTCTGATATATGTATATTGGGAATGCTACATCGATGTCTAAAGCACTAACTGTAATTGCTATATAAGAAAACGATATCTATTAAGGGGTTTTGTGGGTAAAAACTTTTGAAGTACAACCGGGAATCTGACAAGGATCGGGTCAGCTACAGCTTATAATGTATTTCGAATAAATATGAATACCATAAAGTTTACTGAACTAGGACTTCCCTTGTTTGTTGTTCAATGCAACGATGCATTTTAGCAACGACCTACAGGATCAGGATACAATGATAAACTCAACCAAGTAATCAAGTCTGACTAGGCGATCCATTAAGTCGTCTCTAACTATAAGCATAGGTTTCAGGGGACCAATTATCGGGAACAACACTTGAAGTAAAATATCGGCCGAATGACATCGAACTGGTTTGTTAATATGGCTACCATACTGGGACCATATTGGAAATAGGAATCTCTCGAACATGCAAACGTGTCACTTTATTGGTCCAGTGGTTTTCAGCCGATGGAGAAACGCATCATGACACATGCTGGACTGGTTTTATAGACCAGGTACACTAAAACACATAAGACGCCACATGGTGATCAGATATGAAACCAATAAGTTAGATGTCCATGCAAGAGATTCCAAAGAACAATAAATGGTGAAAATCCATGTTCAGTATTGTGTCTTACATCACTTCCAGATTGTTCTCAATTTGGGGAATATCATAATAAATGGATGTTGACTCCCTTACTATTGACATCTGATTTGTCTGTAAATTGCAATTTCGAACTCTTTTAATATCCGTTTTCCATCCATCAGTCTCATAGTAGTGGGACCTCATGTGAGTCATCTCAGACTTTCTCGATACACTGGTTTCGTCCCTATGTGGGCAAATGTTTCGAAAATTAATTAACAATTAACAATATTGTGTTGTAATTTTAGTTTAGAAATCAACCCTTGGTCATTTTAGTCGTTATCACATAACCGTAAGATTGATCAGTTGATGATTATTTAACTTGGATTGTAAATTGAACTTCATTCAAATCCTTTAAAACAGTCTCAAATCAATACAAAAATAGCTATATCAAATTTTACAACTGACCGATTTGGATGGCGATCAACTTGAAATTCCTTTGCCCTGACCTGTATCAGTTGGTTAAACTCCATCAAACATCTATCTCAATTGATAGAAAAACAACATCTGAAACGTTCTGCCAGATCATGTATAGCCTATGAGCTACCTGACATGGAGCTTGACCTTTCCTTCATAGAAACGTGGTGGACGACGGACCCATTGTATAAGCTCCTCAAGTCTACGATCAATGAAGCTAATGTATGATGAGTGTTTACGTTATAAATGACACATATGACACCCAATGAATAATATAAACACATAGAAAAAATATATCTTTCAAGAAGAGTAAAAAAGGCTCCGCGTGTGATCATGACAGCTTGAAACTAAGCTGCCAGTGTCTCATTAAAGTCTTACCTTCGTGCATAGGTTCAACTGTAAAAGAATGCGTTAATGGGAGTGAAATTGGAGATGTGTTACTTGTTGACTGACAAAGACATGGTTTAGTAGTGAGCCTTGATTTGATGTATGAACATAATCCTGTCACCACAACCGGTCATGTTTGGTTTTGTGATACTGGAATCAAAATCAGGATTAATGTATTATGAGAAAGTGAATAGGGTTTGGATCGCTTGCTTCAGGTACAGCAGGACACCAGACATTTGCCTCATAACCATTTGGGGGAATCGGACCCGGGACTTCAGTGTGACGAGCGAACGCTGTAACCACGAGGCTAACCCGACGCCTTCTATGTATCTGAGGGGGCACGGGTGGCCCAGTCGTCTAAGGCGCCGCCACTCGCTGTGCAGAGTTGCGTCCCTTGGGCACGCCAGAAACCTATGATTGTGGGTTCGAATCCCGGTTCGCCCCAATTATGTTTCTAGGTTTGTCAGCACCATACCCGTGCTCGTCGGTTTCACCGAAGTGGTAAACGTCTGAGACCTGCATCACTTCGGGCTTTCCTCCCACATTAAGCTGACACGCCGTGATATAACTGGAATACTGTTAAAAGCGGCGCTAAACCCAACTCACTCACTCACTCACTCACTCACTATGTATCTGAAGGAGTGGTAGTACTTTGATTAGATGTGTAACAGGAATGATACCGTAATTAAACATCTATCCAAATTATCCAACACTGTAAGCGGGTATGGTATTATGTCGTTTTTATTCATACTATGGCAATGTGACGAATTTTTAACTACTACGTTGTCCCATCGTCGCTTAAATACTTGGAATCACAATACGTTGATAACTAATATGTGACAACAATGATCAGTTATCAATATTGATGAATGTATCATTACCCTTAAAATTGATTATTCAGTACCCTGATTTATGAGTATGAGAAATGATCACTTCTGTGTGATAGCACAGGGCTGTCATTTTCTCTGAATTATCCATTTATATAGTGAGTGAGTGAGTTGAGTTTAACGCCGCTTTTAACAGTATTCCAGTTATATCACGGCGTGTCCGCTTAATGTGGGAGGAAAGCCCGAAGTGATGCAGGTCTCAGACGTTTGACACTTCGGTGAAACCCGGGTATGGTGCTGACAAACCTAGAAACATAATCGGGGCGAACCGGGATTCGAACCCACAATCATAGGTTTCTGGCTTACACAAGGGACGCAACTTTGCATAGCGAATCGCGGCGCCTTAGACGACTGGGCCACCCGTGCCCCACCCCCTCCCCACAATATAAATAGATTCCGAGGACTAACTTATTAGTCCATACACCAAATACGTACCCACACAAGGTTTCCCCAAAACGTGACAACGTAATATGTATCGTTAGAAGAAGAAGTATCACACTATAGCTAGAACATCCACAAAATATGACAAAGGATCATGCTATCAAATTAGTAGAATGTTGTGCCCGTGCTTAAACGAATAAATACACACAGACTGTTGTGGAATACACACACACAAAGTGTTCGACAATGTACTCTACACAAATCCTAAATAAACCTTATATGTTAAAATTTCTTGATGAAAAACTTGACTTCCAGTTAGGTTTTACAATGACGAGGTTGGAATGAAAGAGAATAGGTAATTACACTGATGTCTTTACACCCGCATTGCAACTTTTGCATTAAATCAATGTCCTAAATTTAAATAATTTGAAGTAAAAAGCAAATGCAAAATTGTTACTTTTTTATTCATTAAATAAAATGTTAACTACCCTGTGTATATATACTGGCGGAAACAAATAAGAGAACACATGGTATTTCAAATAAGGCAGAGATGTAAATGTCTGTACTTCGGTCATCGCGATCGTTAAACAAGGTTTCGATCATCGTCAAACAATATCCAGTCATCACAAATCCATCTACGGCCATCGTCAATCTCCAGTCATCGTCAACAATCTTCGGCCATCAAGAAACATTTCCCTCCATATTCAGGTCACAATGAGAAACCAAGCCAAACAAATGTTTTTTTAATATGTGTCTCCTTATTTCTTCCCACCAGTATAGTTTCAACGTATCAGGATCGACAGGGTCATTTAAACATATTTAATTTAACTAATCTATAAAGTCACACAATATAATTGTATCACGTCTATAAATAGTTTTTTACAGAAAAAATAAATAAATATTTTTTTCCCATATGCTTTACCAAATCCCTACCTTGATGGAAGGGTCTGTCCGTCTTCAGGTGACACTTGCTGCCTTCATAGCCAGGTGGACACTCACATGTATTCACCAGAGAACCATAGAAGTATCTGGAGGAGAAACACAACAATTGTTTTGCAGTTCGATGTATTCGTAATTGAATGTGTCTGCATTCAGGTTAACCCTTAACTCGACATACATCGGTTAAGGCGAAACAACGTAAGACAACGTAAATCTCGTTCTTTTACCGCCACTTTGCTAATTTCGGATAACTCGACCAATTGCCCAAGACAACTCGAAATATCGATCGTGAAGTGTCACTGTATTGCATACAAACACAACTATAGAAATTCAACGCCAGACACTAATGAGTCTCGATTATCTGCCGAAACAGATTCCCTTGGTCATAAAAGACAAAATAGTGATGACAGTTATAGAAATGGCTCCCTGGAAATCAGTGGTGACAACAGGTGTTCAGGGTGAGCATGTCCTTCTCTGCCGCTAGAACATACTATAGCAAGCTTTATTTGAGCCTAATGGTCTCAGATTCCATTACCTGACTAATTAATTAGACCCGATTAATTTCAATTCACCACAAACGTACACGATCTGGGGATAGTTTGACAAACAATCCCGGACATAACGGCATATTGGTAAATAACTGCTGCCTACGCAACATCGAATAATTACAGGTCTCAGATGCAGATGCCGCCGGTACAAGCCGTTTTGACAGTGTACCCAGATATATCTCCCTTGGGACTAATATAAAGGCACCATCATCTCGTAGTCCGCTAAAGTACCGGTACATAATTTGAGGCTTAAGTGATAACATATTGATCAACATATGTGCCATTTAATGTTTGCGTGGGGTTTAAAGGGTTCACTTAGATGTGATAGTAAACACGTGATCGCAACTTTTCATTAGTTGCCATACTTCTGAAAGTTTGATTAACAAGCCTGTAAAACTCATCAACAGCGATCCTCCCTACTCAAATAAAAACATGGTTATATAGAAATGTGATTGGAATACTATTTCACTTCGTGGATCATTCTGGTATTTGTATTTTCATGGATAATTAACGTAACCGCTTTGGACAACCCCCGTCGTAAAATGCAACGTGCCTGAAAGATTGGCTCGGTGATGGCAAGTAAGCACTGACTGTTCATACGTACTTAAACAGAGGCTCCAGCAAAGTTTGCAGTTCCAGCACATGATTTATTCATATCATTCAAAACCATCTTTGTTTGCTTTTTGAAGATCAGTGGAACAGTTAATTATTACTCCAATTACACAAAGACAATTTGTTTTCACACATGGTGCAATTTAGAAATTCTAGAATTAGAGCACTTTTTCTTCTTGAAGCAAACTGATTTGTAATTTCTGCATTTTATTAATTGAACAGGTCCGACTATGGTAATACTCTATACATTATGCGCCCTTGCTGATGCAAAATCAAGAATGCTCCACCAGAACTTTACTAATCTTGTCCACTGAAAATTAAGTGTTTATATAGGTAAATGCAGATAATAATGTTTATTTCGTCTCTATTGCTGCGTCATGTAACAAGCATTTACTTTTTATACAAACTGAGTGGCGGGTACTACCGGTAATGCAGGACATGCTTACATTTTAAACGAACTCCTGGAGTCATCACTGATTTTCACTGATCCTTTCTTATAATTTTCATCACTATATTTCCTTTTAAGCACAGTTTCGGTGGAAAATCAAGACCTGTTATTCGCTGGCGTTGACGTTATATATTTGTAAGTGAATGTAATAGAAATACTTGTATCATATATCATATTAGGTTATATCTGAATCATCCTTATCTCCATTACACGAACGGTTAATTCGATTGACAGATCATTTCATCATTAAACATTGATTGCCCAACTCTACATTTATCAATTTCAGTTGTGTTTTTGTTGACGTTACCTGAAATTTGTAAATTCGTTTAGTGACTATTTCTTTGCACAATACAAGTAGTACCTATCAGATTATCCGTTTCAGTTTCACGAGTACGGCACACAATCTCTAGCGCGTACGTGAATGGATCGGATGGTCAAACTCGGTGACATAGATGATGAGTCACGTTTTATGCTTCGGCGTACGGGTTGTAGAGGCCGTATTTACAGGCGTCGAGGGGAACGTTATACACAAAACTGCATACAGATTTGGTTGTGGATGTGGGAATCCATCTCCTACACTGGTAGAACAGACTTGGTGCAAGTTCTGGGGAATTTAACGGCACCATGTTACACGGATGAGATTCTTTTGCCACACGTCCCTCCCATCATACATCAAGCGAACGCCATTTTCCAAGACAAGCGAACGTCATGGTATCTCAGTGGCACTATTAAATCGGCATTAGTCCACACACACACGCACACACACATATATATATATATAATAGTGGCACTATTAAATCGGCATTAGTCCGCACACTCTGTGTGTGTGTGTGAGTGTGTGTGTGTGAGTGTGTGTGTGTGTGTGTGTGTGTGTGTGTGTGTGTGTGTGTGTGTGTGTGTGTGTGTGTGTGTGTGTGTGTGTGTGTGTGTGTGTGATAAGGGTGCAACGCTACACCGATATTCCGATGCATCGCGATACTTGACCCACGATACGATATACGATAAACGTAGGCCCATTTATCGTTACGCCACGATACGGAACGCAAATCTCAAGTACAGCATTTCCTCGCTATTGTGCCTTCAAAAAATCGCTAACTTGGTTATAGCGCGTGGTAACGCATGGCCCCCAAAAACGTACACGTACTTACATTTTTAATAAGCTCAGGTTTTACACCGACAGATGTTTTTCCCCATCTCAAAAACATTATCAGCTGATCCCCGCAAGCACATAACTATGGAAATACCTGTCAGCAAATCCGAACTGAAGCACGCAATTCAATACCATTATCATACTATCTTGTTATTAAAACGTGTTCATTGTATATCTGGACTTGTGTTTGTAATATATTTTAATATTTTTAAAAAAAAAATCATTTAATATTGTTTTCATTAAGTTATGTGAAATCGTGTGTGAAGAGATACAGCAACCACAGTCAGATTACCGCTTTTGACGCATTGAAACGAACTTCAGTTGCTATAGAATGGATACATATATTAAAAATGTCATACTTTGACTCGTTAAAAGTCATATTTGTGGCAATTTGGCTAATATATGTCAACATAACGTTTTCGCAATTGAAATACATGTAGCGTGTGAAGTCCCTAGGGTGACTGGTCAAGTTGTTCCATGCGTAAAAATATCCTGCACCTGCAATCACCAGTACCAAAATGCTACACTTGTGGTTCTTATGATTTTAAATATATATATAATAAAAGCTGCAACTAAGGTAACACGCTATTGGAATATATTATTCCTGATAAAACAATAATTTCAGATTCAATTTCTTCGACCATTGCATCAAAATTCTTTGACGTTGTATCACTGGTGGAGCACATTAATTATTTTCTGGTGTTTGAACTTTGAATTGTTTTTAAGGAAAGTTAGAGAAAGTTCCACCTTGATGCTGAACAGCTTCAGTAGTCTTGTTATTATAAAACAATTTTGACTATTCCAAAATCATGAAAGGCGCAATCTTTAAGTCTTGTTTTTTTATCATTGCGTATCGAGATACATATCGTATCGTGACCAGAATATCGAGATGCGTATCGTATCGTGACCTTCCTGTATCGTTGCAGCCCTAGAGTGCCACTGAGATACAATGCCTCAGTTTAACATGAATTCCCCACTCAGACACAGTATACTGACTCGAAGCTGACCAGACCTTGTTTTATCCCCTTCATGCCGAGCGCCAGACATGGTAACAACAAGTACCATCTTTTAACGTCTTTTGTTATGACTCAGCAGGGAATCGAACACCGAGCCGGACGCTGTACCACTAGACCACGGTGGCGGTCTTTATCAGAGGAATTATACGTTTTCATTTTAATTGAACATAAAACACTGACCTTTCTTACAAGACTGACGTTTCTACTGTTAAACGAATTACCAAATTTACAAATGTTTGGCTTGTTGCGATACAGAGATGATATGTACAGTAGCCTGTGGTTACCGGAACGGGTACAATGTGAGACAGCATGCCACTCATTCCCATGCACGATTACACGCAATCAACCCAGTCACCGAGCCTGACCCCCGATCCATCAAGTCAAATCTTACGACCAGGTTTCTGGGAATCTGTTATAACGCTGGATCCCCACGGGGCTCGTCTTAAGTGATATATCGAGGTAAAATAGTGATATTTCCGGATTCAGGTGTACGGATTAAAGAGGTTTCACAGTACATGTTTACTGTTAATGTGAATATACATCTGTCGCAACTGTTTCAACATTATTACCAAGCAACATATTTAGCTGGCTCCCATAAGTAGATTGAGCGCTATCTAGATTTAGATCCCGCTGTTCATGTCTATGACATAAATGGTTTACTCTGCATGTGATTGTGTAAAATAATCTTTCATGTTTTATGATGTGTCATCTCGAGCTCACATTACTCTGTTGGAACGAGTGACGAATTATATGGCAATCATGACAACGCATACAAATGCAAATCCCTTTGTTCTGTCAGATTTTCGAGTTGCAAAATTGGAAAATCAGAACATGTTCTGTCTCTGTTGGTGTTTTTATCGTGTTCCCACAATTTTGTTGTTCTTGTTTAACGCCGCACTCAGACGCATTCCAGCTATAGGACGATATGTATATAACCGTCATACATCTCATTTCTCTACGTCACTTGCTTGATAACGGTGTTAGTACCTACACCGAAAAGTCGTATTCACTCTAATAAAGAAGTTGTATATTATCCTTGGAACTATCCCCATTGGTCATCATGCCAACTTTTATGACAATTAAAGAAGTTATATGACAGCGGGTTGTATATAATCGAATTTGGACCAGACAATCCAGTATAGATCGAGTATCGATCTACGCAATTGGGATACGAGGGCATGCATCAACCAAGTCAGCTGGCCTGTCCTCCCGATCCATCTCACGACAAGCTTAACACCTGGTGTCATTACCTTTTGATAGTGATTCATATAAACATGCTCATGATATAGTCGGAATTGAACAATCGACTCCGCTT